AGTGGCTAAACCTAGTGGCTAACCACTGTGGCGAGTCCTGCAACAAATCGTCTCCTTGGCGTTGATGTTTGTTGGTTTTCCCACCTGCATTGGCCTGAGGCGACGAATAGAGAGCTCTGCCTACTTCTGCTCATATGCACATGCGGTCTCAGCTGAGGCCACGGACAAAGCCGTTACCATGGTAATAGACAAGACAAGACAAGACAAGACCTAGCTGGCCACTACTCTTAGACCACGGCTCCGACGAGTCACACGTCTCCAAGCGATCGATGCCCCCATTACTCGGTTGGGCTTGACTTGTGCGGGACCGGGCGGTCGTCCACGATAATTTAACAATTGAGGAGCATCGTGCCCTTCTTTTCCGAATTCGAACGTACCAGGATATTCGGCAGTGCAGTTCTAGATTCTCACTTGCCGAGAGGCCCCAGCCCACTATTATATGATGAGCCTCTTGTTCCTCGTCGCCCCTTTCCCCTCACTTTTCACGCCGGTCTGCTAAGCGCTAGCATGCTCTCGCGCAGCTACGAGACGGCCGATCCTCCTTACGTGCAATGTCGCGAGCGTCGAACGCAGTGGCAATCAACTGGGAAGAGAGGGTCGATCTTGGTAGCGAAGGCGAACCTCGAACTAGAAATCATAAGGCCTCCACAGTGCCACGGAGGTAAGCCGAGCCTTGTTCCGGTAAAGAGCTCGATTCCATTCGTCCAATAGTAACAAGTAGCACGCAGTAGGGCACACAGGATGAATATGCTCGGCTTGGAACGTATATGCGAGTTTTTCTGCCTAGATCTACTGTAGCACCTTTAACGGACCAAGATCTTCTCTCTGCTAAGCTATGCCAATCATTCGTAACCGGAAACTCGGGAGCCTTAACAGGTACCACCCTATTCGCCCTCGGGATATACTACCCGAAGGATTATTTTCAAGCCTAGGTATGTATGCTGATACTTCGTAGCTAAGCCAACGACGCGTGACAAATTTAATTGCCCTGGATACTTTCTGAGAAATGCCCACAGAAACGTCTTATTAGAAGCATTACTGGGTGATCGTCAGAACAAAAAAAAATGAACTACGAGACACGTACCTTTCGGCCTTAAGGTCTCTGGGCACTCGCCACCATACGTGATATCGAACCGTGCATGCCATTAATAAGTCGGCACCCAGAAATGATAGACTCGAAACGTTACCTGGTAACCTATCTCCAAAGATACCGTTCTTACGAACGAGTCGTTCCGAGTCGTTCGGGTTTGGACGAGATGCTAGGTTAGGTGTCTGTGTGGATCCTCCATTGCATTTAACGACGATTGTCATCTGTGACAGTGTTTTCTAATCTTGGCTCCATTCCCGACGGAACCTGGTCTGTTGAGTGGTGGTTCTGTACGAGTGTATTATCAAGACGACGTGTCTTGTCAAGTCCGATCTCATCGCTCGTGGCAGTCAAGCGACGAACAAGCAAGCATGGAGTGGTTCGGAACGATTACTTTATGCAGGAAGTTGGTACCGCCGCCGGGCCGGACTCCGAGAGCGGGGGACCTGACGTCTGCTGCCAACGGCTCGAGCGACCGAGCGTCACCGATGGAGGCTTTAGACCGGCGTCGGCGGTAAAGCTTTCTAAGCGTGTTCCGACACGGACTTGTCAAGGGAAAGGCTATGCGAGACCGACGTGTCGGCCTCCACCGCCCTCAACTGGGCGAAATAGGAGCAACGACAAGTCATCGGGCCGTCGGAGGCCGTCGGATGCCATCGTACCGCGCTCTCACCGCACTCTCAGACCACCATATCTCCACAAATCCCGTCTTTCTCTGAGGTGGCAGACCCAACGGCAGACCCAATAGCAGACCCAATGCGGAGTTTCTCGTTCTATCTAATACGGTATTACCGGTTGGTCGACAGGATTCTCCCTTGAGTTTCTTACGACTTTAACCTATTCTACTTATAAGTTTCGTCAAAGACCAACTTCTATGCCCCCTTTTCAGAATTCTAGAAGCACGGGAAGAATCGCTGTTCATGATATCTTTATCACAATAGACCCTTTCACCTCTTTACCGCCAGAGTCGCACAAGTACTCATAATTGCCATGATCCCATTCCCCTGTCAAAAATAGCTAACATTGGCCAAGGACAACACCAAAACTCCATGTCTAATATATACAATACATACATACAAATTTTCTGTTCTCGGAACATATTCAAAATGTCCAAAGATCAAACTTGTTCTTTACAATTCACCATGGCATTCAGCGGGCTAATGAGACATTTATAGCTCACATTTTCTTCCTACGCGCCTAAAACGCCACGACCTCAAACTCTCAACTTGTCGACCGGCATAACTCCGAGTCAACGAAGGGTTTAGTCTTCCAGTCACCGACTTATTGCACCGCTCTTATAGACGCTAACGCTTCACGGGATTGGGTCCGCCGTTTCCGGGCGGTTTGGGCCGGGAGCCCACCTTACTACCGATACACCGCCTCGGCCTGTTTCTATACATATCTCATCGAAAGCACGCAAGCGGACGCAAACGGACGCATACGTGCAGCCACCTAAGTGACCGGCTATTTAGCATGCTTATGGCTCGGCCCCGCCTATTCCTTGGAGCTAAACGGCGTCGATCGACTGACTTGCGTCCACGACATTTCGCGACAGCAAATTACGCGGCAATCTAGTTGAGTGACAACTCTAAATGACGACCTCACCCCATCAGAATCTTGTAATTGGCACATTTAACTTCCGGGTTTAAATTCGGCTAGCGAGCCTATTACTTGTCATATGTAGGTGACCGGATAAGTACTCGGAAAGCGGGAACAAGGTGGTGAATATAACCTCAAGTATACCTAGGTTCGAGCAGGATCACGAACAAATCAGTTACCTAAAGTCATTCGATACCGTTAGGCTAGGAATCTCCTACTATCTAACCTAGAACCAAGCCTTTTATGTATACAAGTTGAAGCTAATATAAAAAAAAATACTATTATACTACCTACATATTAAATTTACCCCGTATCATAACACTTAGTTACAAGTAAAACATTACCTATATTGAACATCGTCTACCTTTCCACCTCTTCCACATAACATACATATAGACAGATATCTACCCGCCGTAACACAGATCCCCCTGCGTTGTTAATCTACGTTGTCCACGCTAAATTCTCAAATCCGACAGCCACAGAGCCATCAGTTGTTAGATGCATGAAACATACGTTAGCTCATAATTCCCCCTCTTTCGGAGTTGGCGAAGATAAGGAGAACCTAGCCTACCTAACTTAGGTAGACAGTAAGGTAGAGAGAACCTAGGCTATGTAGGTGTTTCCGTTTCCATCTCCCTTTTTTTCTTCTTCCATTTCGGCTGACTACCTACATAATACATAATACATAATACATACTGCAAGTACACCTAGCTGAGTGGAACAATGATCAGTTCATACCAAACTGAATTCATACCTAGGTAGCTTCTTGATCTGCCCAGGGCTTTGCTGTTGATCAGTGGGAACTTATTCGAATGCGGCATCATCAATGGTCAATTTCTGCAATCTGCAATCGATAAGGCATACCACAGCTTAGATCCCTGTCCCGGCCTTGCTACGCCGCATACCCCGACCCAGCCCCCGGCGAATCTTCTCCCCTTCTCCCCCTCTTTAGAAGGTGAGAAATTGCTAGAATGGTGCTAGGTTCCCCCCCCCTTTTCCCTTTTCCATCGCAATAACTTGCCTATTCCCCACCACGTACAGGCCAGGACGTGGCCCCTCGAATCGTTCTAGTCGATGTTAGTCCGCTGGAAAAAAAAATTTAATGGAATGGAATCGTGAGGCTGAACTAGTGTATCGCCTGTTACCCCCCCCCCCTTTTTTTTCCCCTTCTCCTACCCCATTCTCCCGACTTACCCGACTTACTGACTCCTCATCGTATGTACTTACAAACTATTGTTCCATTAACTAGTTACACTAGTTACCTAACCTATCTTATTGTCCACCGCCTTGTCGACGCTAAGTTGGCTAGGTAACCTTTTTGCTAAGTTCTGCCCGCCTCTTTCAAGTTTCGCATCGACTGCGTAATCTACTCATCATATTAGGTACTTGGTCTTTGTACATAGTTTTATTTTTTTTTCGCAGGTTTATTTTCTTTTTCGCCGTTAACCTTTTCGCTCGCCATTATTATTGTTATCATCATCGTTATTTGTTTGTCTGTCTGTCTGTCTGTCTGTCTGTCTGTCTGTTTGTTATTGGAAAAGACATGCGCCACATGTAACGCTATTACCAGCTGAGAAAATAAAGGCATTATTGTGAGAGACCGCCTTTAATTCTGTTGGTCGTTCACCGCCTTAGTCCCTCCCAAGGTGACCCGAGCTTTGGGATGCTTGCTTGGTTATTGCTGCGCGTCCCATCCGCATCGATATGCTGTATTGACCGAGCAATCCCTCCACCCCTCAAATCAAAGGCCCACCAAAGAACTCCAGTCTATCTCCAGTCTATCTATCCGATTTAGTATTTATCACATGGTAAAATCGATAAAGCGATAGACTCATGGCTATTTCTTAGAGCATATGAAGCCCGTATGAAGTCTTCTCGTTGATGTTACCTTGACCGCAATCATATTGTTGGTCTTAGTCATCTCATCTCTACGCCCTGAGTGATTTATTATCGTTATTGTCGTCATTATCGTCATTATTCAGACATCCTAACCGTCGCGCACCTGACCCTTATTAGTGTCGGTCCTACTCAATGTCTTTATTCCGGTGATCCCGACTCTTTGGCCGTCTTGCGGGCCCCCTTGCGAGCCCCCTTTTCGCTCTCTCTATTCTGGCGCGCGACAAAAGAATTATTTCGCGTCTAACAATCCCGTTTGTCTTTTTAGACGCATTATTTACGTACGTCGTTGGCCCCGCGATATCAACGAGTATATGGTAGTGTATATGGTAGTGAGACATATATACCTATTTACCTACATATACGATATACGTTCATACTTGAGTACGTCGCTGTCGCCTCCATGCCATTCTACGCCATGGCATCAATTCATAGCCTACCGGGGCTCGGATCGCATGGTTCGAGCAATAAGATAAATAAGTCGAGAGCTAGGACGGCAGTCAAACCCATTCTTAAGAAACTTTCGTCGCAATCCGAGAAGAATTCGTTAGATTTGGATAGAGGGTGGACAGATCAAGATGAGCAATATCAAACCCGCGACGGCTGGGTAGTAGGAGTAGGAGGAGGAAAGGGGGTAGCAGGAGTAGAGAAGTCGACTAAGGAGATAAACTTTACTTTGAACGAGGCTGGTACGAACCGATATAATCATGCCAGGTCGATAAGCGGTGCAAGCCATGTTTCTGTTGCGACAAGCAGCAGCTCCGGCCCGCGTCACCAAGTCGGTGCGCCGTTCGTACATCCTTTTCAGCAGACACCTCGGACGTCAACCCCGCCTTTATCGTATGCCAATTCGCAAACGTCCTTCTTCGACATCACTGAGGATGATAACGATGATAACGATGATAGTATTGGTAGCTGCAGCAATAGCAACAGCAACAGCAACAGCTTAGACGCAAGTCACAGCCATAGGAATAGCCTTCACATTCAGATGAACTCACATTCACATTCTCAACCTACTTTGGGCATACGCCGCCCGTCCTTAGCAAGTACACAGCGCACTTCGTCCTTTTCTGAAGTAAAAAATGCCCATACTTCAGCCCCTCATCCTTCTCAACACCCACCCCCCCTCCGAATAAATACTTCTCGGACCGTCTTAGCGTCTCCCACGCAGTCTTCTCGCCTCCCCAATGTTCCAGGTCGATCTGATCTACAACTCGATCGCATAACGGACTCGCCCATATCTCCGTCCAATACTCCCTCAAATCACGTTGCATCGCCCTCCAGCTCATCAACTCCGATGTCTCCCTTACGCTCTTCGTTCGACGCCAGCGGGTTCCCGCGTCTGCGCGCAAAGTCTGACCTGGACACAGCTACTCGCGCTGAACACCTTCGAGCAGCCCGTCGGAAATTCGAGCTGAGGGAGAAGGCCAAGGAGGAGAAATACGCCCGAGAGGAGATCAAGCGTCGCGAGCGAGCCGATAATAAGCGCGCTCTCGAGAAGGAAAGGTACGCGGCGGCTGTGCATAAGGAGCAGATGGCTGCGAGAGCCCGCCTAGAGGCAGCCGAGCTCGAGGAAGCAATAGCTCGCGGGAAGCATAATAGGAAGTTCAGCGGAACCAGTAGCAACCGCCCGAGCATAGCCATCTCTAGGACCAGCATGTCGCGACCAAGTACGTCGCGTAAGAATGTCCCTAGCCCCTTAGGAGAGTCGGAGAAGTTTGCTAGTAGCAACTACGACAGCATGGATGCGCGAAACCCACCAGCTTTTGGTTTCGAGGCCGGAGGGGCGCAAAGCGTCCCCTTTCAGCCTACCAAGCGCAGAAATACAGCTAAGAGAAAGACCCAGAGCACGTGGACTATGTTCATATTATGGCTTAGAACAAAGCTGCTCAGGGTCAGCAAGAACCGTTGACTTGTGCACCTCTCGGCAGGATCCCCCGCACATCTTATATCTTATTTTCAGGTCTTAGCCGGCCTACGGACATACATATACCCACTATATACACACATACACACACACCGAGCTCAGCATCGTCAAGAGGAACGATATTGCGCACGACGGAGGCGCCGTGAGTGGCAGGAACAAACCACGCATATCAATCGTTAGGTCATTGGCAACAAAGGCATACCAGCATATACGATATCCATTGCATTCACGACTTTCACTTTAGCATCGTTGAACTAGGCGTTTTGGACTTGGGGTTTAAGCAAGTCGGTTGCATTTTTTGTTAGATACGCCGTTGCATTCGCCTTGCTTCGTTGATATGGGGAATAAAGGAAACGGAAGGGTAAAACCTAGGTACCCTTGGGAGTTTTGCACTAAAGGCAAGAGTCCTACTAACGATCCGAGGTCTCTACTTGGACGGCTGGATTTATCATTCTTTCCACTTCTCTTCTGCGTTTTCGGATACTCGGCATTCAAGCAATCGAAGTAGAGACTACAGTACATCTACACTCGACCCTTTTCCCATCTACCATCACATCTTGGCATCACGTGGTAGCATGCCACAGCTCTGTGGGTAAGACAAGGGGTCGTTGGTTCTGGACAGGTCCTATTTATGCTCTGCCGTAGCATTACGGAAACTTTTAGGGAAGGGATATACCGGTGAATTGGAACCCGCAATCGCATTGGTAGTAGAATAGATATGGTAGCATCTACGGATGGAATGAATAGCGTTCCTTCGAAAACACAAATAGCAATGATGAGTTGCAAAGCATCACGCATAGTTTCGATGTGCTGAATCTTAAGTGATTGAATGAATGAATGAATGAGCAGACAGCTAAGGTATCATAGCCTCCTTTCCAATATATGACCAAATCTTACCTTAATCCTCGTACTATGGCCCAGTCAAAATGTCTATCGGCTTCTTGAGAAGGTCTTGTATAATCAGCCATCAATGTAGTTAAGTACCTACACATATCTTACTAATAAGTGCCTTTCATCGTAGTAATTTGGGCCTGTAAATAAACATCAGGTAGATCTTTATATCAACGAATGAAATCCAGATCTCATGCATATACATACCATATACATACCATATACATAAACACATATAAATAACACATAAACAGGAAGAGTCGGCACCTTATAAAACGTCACCACACCATTCCAAGCATATTACATAGTACATCACACTCACAAGCGTCTCGGCGTCTTCGTCAAGAGTCAAGACAGGACGGCCTGACTCTTTATATTTATACGCGGGTTGCCTTAGTCGGTCCTCATTGGTTTCTAATGTTATTTTTCTGGCGCGCGCCTAGATCTTTTAGTCCGTGTGGGGATTAGTGTAACTTGGCGGCTCAGGCGCCAAGATCTTCAGGGGTGCGTCGCACAGCATGTGTTTTTGGGGTGATTGCTTGACAGGTCCATGCTAGGTTACGAATGTAGATTCGTACCTTACCTAGGTACCTAGGTACCTATGCAGCTATGGGGTTTAAATTTAAGTCATTTCAGGTAATCTGTTGCTATGGTTAAGTGCATGAGGGTTTAATTTAAATTAACAGCCGCTAAGCAACATGAAAGTTTCGGGTAACAGGTAGGTAGTTACGAGATACATGTAATCTTGCTTTGTATGATTTCTTATTTTTAGGTATCTTTCGGTCAAGTTATTACGCGGATCCGTTCGGCAACTTTTAGGTACGCCTTAAATACGAACGACGGAAGGCAAATACATACATTAGGTCCGGCTGTTCTGGGCAATGCGGCTATGCCTTAACTATCGTTTTATCTCGATCCTAGTTTGACTTGCATGATTGGAGAGATTTGGTTGGTTCAACCCCATAATTCAATATTCCAATATTCCAATATTCCAATATTCCAATATTCCAATATTCCCATATTCCCATATTCCCATATTTCTTTCTCCCAAAAGAACAAGACCAGAATTGGGGTCTTTGCCAAGCTTTCTTTTGATTGGCTAATCAACCTGTCTTTCCCTTTTTGTTACCTCCTGAAATCCAATTTGAAATCTTGGCCTTTCCCATTCTTTGCCCTCTCTGCCAATGCAGTCCGGTTGCTTAGTTAGTTGGTGTTAATTTGTCTTGTCCTTTTTGCCCTTTCACGTCGTTGACGTCGAGTTCCACTATCCTTCAAGTCCAAACCCTCTCGTCTCCGAAACAAGTCGTAATTTACATCATCTCTAACCCGGCCATCCATTCGTTGTCAAGTATTTTCTATTATTTCCACCTCCCTTAATAGTAATTCGGTATCGAAGTTCGTTCGCTTCGCTTCCCCTACTCTCTTCCCGTAGATACGTCTCGCATACCATGGTGGGATTATCTACGCCGGTGCTGGCTGCGCTAGGCCTGTTCGCCGACAGGGCGTTCGGTGCCCTAGAGGTAAACCTCGACGACCCAAGTATGTACATATCTACCTATTCTCCCCGGTACCGTTGGGAATTGTCCCGTGCATAAGTAAAGGCGATTAATAGGGGATCTTTCTCTATCTAGATTCTATCAAGCAGGCTGCCGCACAAGTTGCCGAAGACCTTCTCACCTTCTATCATGGCGACGAACCCGGCATGGTTCCCGGTATCTTGCCCGGTCCTCCCCCCGACGGCGACTACTACTGGTGGCAGGGTGGTGCGATGTGGGGTACGCTGCTAGATTATCGACACAACACCGGCGACACGCAATTCGACGATCTGATAACGACTGCTATGCTGCATCAGGTTGGCGACAACGCTGATTACCTGCCGAGAAATTGGTCTGCGTCCATGGGTAACGATGATCAAGCTTTCTGGGCCTTGTCGGCCATGCTGGCCACCGAGATAGGATATACGGATCCTCCAGAGGACCAGCCGCAGTGGGTAGCGTTGGCGCAAGCTGTATTCAACGAGCAGACGAGCGAAGACCGAAGAGTTCCCGACGGACGATGCAAATGGGGTCTCAGATGGCAGGTTTACTCGACCAACAACGGATACGACTACATCAACAGTACGTCGGACCAGTCCAGGTGCTTACGAATAATATATATATATCAGACGCTAACATGATAACAGCCATCGCTAACGCCTGCTACTTCAACATCGGTTCCCGACTGGCTCGCTATTTTGGCAACCAGACCTATGCCGACCTCGCGACGAAAACCTGGGATCTGATCGATAATCTAGGCTACATCTCGGACAAGTGGGATGTCTACGACGGCGCCCATCTGCCTGATTGCAGCGACCTCAACAAAGCCCAATTCTCGTACAACGCCGCCATGTTACTAGAGGGTGCTGCTTTCTTATATAACTACGTAAGTTCCTTCGCTTCGTTTCGTGTACAAGGTTCCCGTGAAATTCCTAGAAGCGACTCTGGCTATCCCTAGTACCAAACCAACAAGAGCTCTTTCAAATACTAACATGATCACTCAGACCGATGGCGAGCAAGTCTGGAAGGACCGCATCGATAACCTTGTAGACCGTATGATCGAAATTTTCTTCCCTGCCCCCGCTCACATCGCATTTGAACCGTCTTGTGAAAATCAGCAGTGTAACTCTGATATGGAGTCCTTCAAGGGATTCACGCACCGATGGATGGGCACGACTATGCAGGTAGCACCCTTCACCAAGGACAAGATCCTACCAGTTCTCAAGGCATCCGCGCAAGGCGCCGTGAAGCAGTGTACCGGCGGTACTAACGGTCGGTTCTGTGGCTTCCACTGGACTAGCGGAGTTTGGGACGGCGACGTCGGTGCCAGTCAGCAGATGAACGTCTTAGGTGCCTTAGTCAGTCTCCTAGCTCCCGATGTCCCGGCACCCCTTACCAACCGGACCGGTGGTACTTCGAAGGGTAAAGTGAACGCCGGTTCCACCGACCCCGTGATGCCTACGCTCGCTCCCATCACCGGCGGCGACAGGGCGGGTGCGGGTATCCTAACAGCCCTCGTCATCGCGGGATCACTCTCGGCCTTTGCATGGATGAGCTTGGACTAAACGGAGGTGGATTAGAATACATATTGGAAAGTCAATAATGGAATTTCTGGCGTAGGCACGTGTTTTGCAACCACATCTTGATCTTTTTTGGAATTTTGTTCAGGAAACGAATACCCGGAACTACCGAATCGTCTAACCGACGAGCGGGTCTGTACATAAGCATCTTTCCCTTTTGGTACCTCTGTCTTTCTAGTCTGCCACAATTCATTTCTAGGAGTTCACAGGACTTGGCTGCCGAGATTCCGGCACGGTAGGGGAGGACCGCAGGAGAGTGGAAGAAGCAAGGAACAATCCAGAGAATTGGACAATATAGACTTAAATCTAATTCAATGCATGGGTGATACTGTTGTCCATTGCCTGATATAGTAGTTTGACTTGACTTGTTGGCTGGCGTAGGCTGAAACGGTATCAGTGATTATATGGGAGAGGGTTTGTTAAAGACGGCATCACCAGCAGGCTTGTGCTTGCTCCTGCTCTGACTTGACTTTTTACTAAACACAATCAATTATAGACAAAATAAGAAAGAATACTAGGAAGGTTGTATTTTAATAGCCCTTGTCTTCGTTTCCCCCTTATAGAGGTTATTTAAGAGTTGTGGATTGATTATACCTATGCCATTCATTCACTCATCCCACCCAAAGGTTACACGCTTGAACTGATCTTAGAGTATAGCACCATTAGTCTAGACCACTTAGCCAGACTTGCCTAACGAGTATTCGTAAAAGCCTAATATTATATGAATTTCTCACACGAATAATGAAAAAATCGACGTCTTGTTGGTGTCTGTATAATATCAAGGAACCAAAATTGACCGAAGATGAGCGGGAAAGCGGCAGCAAGTACGGGCAGTTTAGGGTGAATGTACATGGCAGGAATTTCTATCTCATCCAGGTCTTCTTTACTGTTAGATTATCGTTAAACAATATGTATAGAGTATGTGAAATAATCAACTTAGCCGCCCCCAGCAAATGTGTTCGACTTGGAAAGCTGACGATGAGCTTATAAATATATAACCTACAGTTCCTCACACATGCCCTAGGTAGTTCATATTATTCAAGCCCCCTCTTAGATTAATAAAGTAAGTTAAATATGATTACGAGTGCTTCTCTTATATGTACTTGAAGCTTTTAAGCCTTGTTAAACCAATAAGTAGAATACGTATTCGCTTATCTTCCGGGCCAGAGTACAGTTGAAGTTTGATGTCTCATCTTATATTTATTAAGGCGTTTAAGTTTACCCATATGAAAGGAGGTAGTGATGTGAAGCCTATGGGGTAGTCAGCCAGGCGAATTGGAAACCAAGTGCGAAAGTGTATTTTGCTAAGTCTTTTTCTAGTATCACTTTGCTTCAAGTTTCCTTCGAATTTCACACTTAAAAGTGACCCTGAAGTTATGCTGAATACAAGAGACTATAGACATGGTTGAAGGGTTGAAGAGCGCTTATAATACTCTGTAGATTGTTATGATTTATATGCCAGCAATGGAGACCTAACAACGTCTTCCTAATATGAAGTCATTGAAGGCTACCGACCACCTTGATGAAACGTGCCCTTGTTATGTCGTTATGTAAGTTTCTAGGAGAGAGGGGGGATATAAGTAAACGTTATGCATTAGAATTCCAAGTTCATCAAGTTCATTAGTAATGCCTCCAGTCACACCTGTACGACTTAATATATTACCTATTACCGTGGTTTCTTATCTAATAGAATTGCTTTTTGGGGACTAAATTCCGAGAGGAGTTTCCTTGTTGGGACTATATCGTAGTGGCGCTATTCGGACCTCAGACCTGCCATCATGGAGCTTATATCGTTCGGGTTTATCCATGCACGACCGCCACTGTTTGGATACTTCAATTAGGATGGATCCTTGTTGCGCCGACACCAAGTTTAAGCCCCCAACGCTTGCTAGATCCGAGCCGATAGCTCCGCTGAGACGGTAAGTAGCGGAGATCCGATATCTAATAATGACCTTAATCTGACTACAGATCTTCGGTTATGGGTAAGTGTTTGTGGATTAAGCTGCGGCTCCTCCAAAATTGAGACCTTGCGAGTCATACATACATCGGCTATGTCGATATTAGGTAGGTGCCGAGTTGTTTAGCTATTTCCCATAATTTATTCGTAGTAGAGAATGCCTTGAGAGTCAATGATACATGTATTAGGTAGGTACCTACTCACTGGGTTACATAGGTAGGTACGAACAATATGAACAATAAAGTTCAAGTATTTCCGATTGCACTTGCTGTATGTGATCTCAAGGTTGGATGATGTACATGGCTACACATAGTTATACAGTCTTAGTGCAGTTATCCAGGCAACTACGTCACCATTTTCTTGCTTTTCACACCTGGATTTTAAGCATGATTGAGACCTCTGCAACTACCTTCAATGTATAGGTGTACTTACCTCAGAGGTATGATGTATCTATAACTGATCATACTTCTAATACTTCTAATGCTATGTAGGAAACAAATCGATATTTATGACTTGTAACCTAATTTCACCTACTTCCCGATTTTGTCGATTATATTATGAATCTAATAAATACTGCAGCAAGGGATTGAATGTTATGACTACGTCAATCAGCCGAGTCTTGCTTCGTACATAGCTATTTTGTGTTTAATTATCATCTCTACCACCATCTTCAATACTTTTGCCTTATGTACCTAGACCTTATACACAAACAACAACAACAACAACAACAACAACAACTAGTTATTCGCAATCATATACATTTACCTATACAGCTATCAAATACGACCAGCGCCGAATCCCTCGCAAACTAATAAACACACGTATTTACGCGTATAGAAGCTAGCTCCAGCCTCCTTTTACACCTGGGTAGCGAGGCACCGTCGGAGCTAGCATCAGCCCTACGCACGCTTCGTCGCTTTCGTTCGGGCGACGCGAAGCACAGTGTGGATCGCAAGTCGCTTATACGTTGTATGTTAAGAAGTGAGGCGGTAGTGCCGTTCTGCCGTTCTGCCGTTCCGCGGCCCCGTCTAATCCTTGTTGACGCCATCGATAAACCATCGGAGCTTGTTACACGACCGCTGACGAGAAGAAGAGAATCGAGTGCCAAGGAATACTTATCGGTTTGTCGAGGAGTCTGGTACACAGAACACACCTATCTACCAGAGTACCTACTCGTCTTACTAGGCGATAACTCTCTCTGTAGGGTTGTAGGGTTGTAGGGTTGATCGTGGTAAACAGCATGCGTAAGTTTTTTTTAAATACTATTTTTTCAAGTGTTTCTTCGTTACCTTCATGTTTTTTCCACCTTACCCCTTTATCTGCCTTTTTTCTGGTCGTTATCCGTTATCACACCATGCACCCTTCTTGTATGCTGATGCGGGTGTCCATTCAACCCGACGCGACGCTACATTAATTCCGGCAAGCCTCCAAGTGGGGATGATCCCGTCTGCCGGCTTCGAATCTGTCGGTATCTGTCGGTATCTGTTGGTATGGTGTCATAGTGTCATAGTGTCATAGAGGGGCGAAAGAGATCGGGATTTACCCCTAGACCTTGAGCTTACGGGAGCTCTGTAAAGCTGTAAGGCTCAAAGGTTTTAAAAGAACCTGTCTCTCAGCCATCGACGACAAAGAAATTGCGGAGAAACGATGTCTTTATCAGGGGAATTTAATAAGGCTTGCGGCACAGACCAGCGTGTTAGCTAGCCTCAGGTAGGATCTACGTCGTATCGCCATCCCTAAAAGCAAGGCGGAAACCCACACAGTTTAAGTCTACAACGTTATTGTACAAGTCATCAACTACATACAGTCTAACTACAGTCTAACTACGGTCTACAATCCACTGTGTAGACGACACCGCTGAACTCTGGTGACTGGTGACTTGGCTGCTTGGCTTCTAACCCGGGAACCAATCCGCAAGCAGCACCCTTTTCGGCTTTACCCCTGGGCTTCTAGATTACGCCTTGACTTCTTCCAATTAAATCTCTCCCCACGCTATCGTCTTCCCCCAATTTTTCTACTTGCTTCTACGCCTATTTAGTCTAGGTCTCTCTCGCTGTCGGATTACGTCCTAGACACGTTCCCCCTCTTCCCGTTCTCTTTCCAGAACAATTACGACCTTGGCGTCGAATCTGCCAAAGCCGCATACATCGATGAAGGAAAGCTCAACTGACAAGGCCTCTAATATAGATCGCATACGCTCTTGGGCACGAGGTCACGCGTATGGAGGCTCTACACGTCCCACCGCGTCCAACTCTAACCCCATCCTTCCCATAAATAATACACACACTCAACAAGATCCGGAGAAGATCCGCCATGTTAGCGGTGCCGGTTCCGACGGCCATCAGGCCCTTTCTAATGGCTCCGCGAAATCTCAGGACCCCCCCAACTCCGGAACGGATACCCAGCATGCCGATAGGTCGGCTCCGTCAACATCTCAAGTGGAGGGGGCGGGGTCTGTCGTAGACGAAAACGGTACCAAGAAGAAGAAACAAAATGTCGTCGTCGAAACATATCACGAATTAAAGAAGGTGGTCCTCCACAGCTGGATCAACCTATTCTTGGTCTTCGTACCCGTCGGGATTGCTATCGCAAACATTCCCAACAGGAACGCCGGAGCTACTTTCGGTATCAACGCTGTCGCCATCATTCCTCTTGCGGCACTCCTTAGCCATGCTACCGAGTCTGTTGCCCGCAAGATGGGCGACACCATCGGCGCGTTGCTTAACGTAACGTTTGGTAATGCCGTCGAACTCATTATCTTGTAAGTCTCATCTGGTCATTTTGATTGCGCTCTTAGCTAACGAGTCGATAGCATGTAAGTTGACCATGTTCCACGATTCATTGTCGAGTGGTCTTGCATCCGTCAATTGGCATATGAATGTCGCATATTGAACTCTGCTAACCTCATACCCCGATTTGTAGCATTGCTCTAGTTAAGGTACATACTGAACCTGATTGCTCTCGTAATTCACGTTGCTAATTTCATATAGGGCGAGATTCGCATCGTTCAGGCCTCCTTGCTTGGATCGATCCTTGCAAACTTGCTCCTGATTCTAGGCATGGCCTTCTTCCTTGGTGGTCTCCGATACCGTGAACAGGTTAGTAGAGCACGAACTTGCCCCCTTTACATCCGCTAACATCTTTTAGATCTACAACAGCACAGTGACTCAGATGAGTGCCTGTTTGCTAAGTTTGAGTGTGATCAGTCTCATGTTACCGGTTAGTCTACCCTCAATCATATTTGGAATATTGCTAAACATTCTTATTAGACCGCATTTCATGCTTCCTTCCGAGACAAAACAGAGGCTGATAACGAGTCTCTGAAGATCAGCCATGGTGTTAGTGTGGTATGTATTTATCCACTCCGTATTTGTCCTCAATCCCTACTAATGTTGTCTGAAGATTCTTCTTCTGGTATATGTCGTGTACCTTTTGTTCCAACTGAAGTCTCATGCGTACATGTACGAATCGACTCCTCAACACATCATCGATGAGGAATCAACACCTGGCCCGGCTGCCGCATGGCTCGAGTCCTCTGATTCTGACTCGAGCTCTTCGTCGGACTCGGACTCGGATCACTCTGGCCATTCGAGGGAAACCATGTCTAAACGTGTTAAACGAGCCATCCGTGGACATCGCCGTAGAAAGTCTAGTACGGCATCGGTAGACTCTGACGATGGAGTTCGAACTCGCACTTCGTCCCTCGGAACCAATAGCGCCAGTCCTATCCATGAAGGGGGTTCTAAATCTGGAGACTCTTTGCAAGGTCCCCTCTCTTTCCCTCGAATGAACTCCACCGGTACTGAAGAGGCTATCGAAGAGGAAGATGAAAACAAGTCCCGCCGTAAACATAAGCGCTCCAAACGTAAGCACCGCAAGCGAGATAGGAAGGCGTCAACTGGTGTCGAAGGAACTATTCAACCTCAGAACATCGTTGGTGTTGGACCGGATGCCGTGCAGCATCGTGTCGCGAGTAACGGAGAGCCCCGCCGTGTAGACTTTGCCGACACAATCCCCAATGTCGAAGGTGAACTCGATGTTACTCCTACAGGACCTAGACGTCCCTTCAATAACCTACGTGTTCTTTCATTCCGACCCGTGGCTAAGAGCCTGGCACCGCCTGTTTTCACTTCGGACGTTGGAGCTGCACCTGCGGCATTGGTTGGACCCGTGCCGCGCGTGAGATACGGCATCCGCAGGACCAACTCTCTTCCTGAAAGACTTAACCAATATCAATACCGACCACCCGGAGCCATGATGCCTTCTCAGATTCCTATTTCCGTCCTAACCGGCGGTACTGGCGAAGAAGGCAAGGAGCACGGAGACGACCTTTCACGTGGTGCGGCTATTATCATGCTGCTGCTATCGACGGCTCTCGTGGCCGTATGTGCCGAATTTATGGTGGATGCTATTGATGATGTGGTCGCGAACAGCGCTCTCAAGGAGACTTTCATCGGTTTGATCATCCTGCCTATTGTCGGCAACGCAGCGGAGCACGTGACGGCCGTCACGGTGGCTATGAAGAACAAGATGGATCTGGCTATCGGTGTAGCTATTGGCTCCTCGATTCAGATTTCCCTGTTCTTGACGCCTCTGGTGGTTATCATCGGCTGGATCATCGGACAACCCATGACGCTTTACTTTACCCTTTTCGAGACCGTTTGTCTGTTCGTATCGGCCTTCATCATCAACTTCTTGATCCTGGACGGCCGAAGTAACTATCTCGAGGGTGCGTTGCTTTGCGCTACGTACGTAATCATCGCGGTTGTGGCGTTCTTCTACCCTGAGGGCGACGCCGCCGGTACCCTAGGTGCTTAAGGTGCTTAAAGGGGCATCTGGCCTTAAAGTGCATATTTAAACCTCTTATTTGACAACGACGCAATGTTTAACTCGAGCATGTGATATAACGTTCAGTCAGTCTATTATTGCTTTGATATTAAACTTGCACGAAGCGGGTTTATGAAGACTTATTTAACGATTTGACGCTACACGGTCAAGGGGGAGAGGAGAGTACGGAGATGAAATGAAATGTTCTACTTCTTTAAAGGGATGCTATCTACTTTTCGGAGTTTAGCCCCTTGCGATTTGATTAAATTGCCTTGATTTTTTATGAGATATATTTCTTTTTCTTTTCAGACAAAGCCGAGCCAGCCAACTTGGCCGCTCTGATGCAGATAGCGACGACGGCGTGGAAACACGCAGATAGCTTAAGTACCTACCTTAGTTAGTTTAGCGACGCAGACATGTAGACTTGTGGTTGTATGAGCTGCTTAGCGGATGAATTGGACATACTCTCATTTTTGAAGATAGATGGATATTTGTCCGAAGCGATGTGAAGTTTAGTTCTAGTTTAGGTATGACACTTAACGAGCGACAATATTATATTTAGGTACCTAATGCAAGCAAATGGAGGGACTGGCCAGCCAATCCCTTATCTATCTACTATATCTTTTCCTTCCTATTCACTCTTAAGAAGACACCCGCTAGTTATCCTCTAAATATAAGGTCTCTGTATGTCTGATTTATTCTCCGGATACATGTATCCAAGTAGAAATATTGCTATGATGCAATTAGGTTGGGTTAACGGGCATGCATTTGCGGTAAAGCAATGACAAATACCTAATAACTACCTAGTGAAGTTGCTTAAACTCAGCCACGACTTACTCAGAGGCTGTTATACATAGACGCGGGCTATGCCAGATAAGATAACTGTGGCATGACGTATGAATTGTATGTACCAGTAATAGATACCTATAAGCACCTGAATTAGTATCACGGTGACTTTGTCTTGTGCACAGAGTTAATAAATGTTAAAACATCAGATGCCAAGCAATTGAAGAGGTCCTAACGGTCAAATATTTGACTATTTGAACCAATACACTTCTTCACTTAATTCTTTTCTTTCCCCAATCATCTAACCCAACTTACATCCAGTACGCACTTCTCGGGATTATCACGTGCACTCCCATTTGCCCACTTACACGCTTATATCATCTATCATCTACCGTCTACCGTCTACCATCTACCATCTACCACCTGCCACCTACCACCTACCATCTACCACTTGCTATACTTATCATCACTCTCAACAAACACACCCGATGTGTTTCGGAAGCAAAGACAAAGACAAATCCACCGACCCAGCTCCCAAGCCCGCCTCAGTCCCTCAATCATCATCCACCATCGCCGCCAATCCTAAAGCCAGCATGCCGCAGGGCTACGCGCCGCCTCCCGGACCCCCGCCGTCTCGCGGCCAGGGTCAATCTCAGTCGTCTCCCTACTACGCTCCCCCGGCTGGTCCACCCCCGTCTCATCATCGGGAGGACTATGCGCCTCCCCCGGGCCCGCCTCCCTCCGACACAAAGAACAACCCGTTCTTCAACTCCAGCTCCGGCACGGAATACGCGCCCCCGCCTGGTCCGCCACCATCCCACGGCGGCCACGGAGATTCTCAAAAGGAAAAGCACCAGCAGCAGCAACAGCAACATGACTGGCAGACCGCCGTCCCAGACACCGCACTACTACCCCCTCCACCCAACTTCTTCAGCGGCTTCGACCGCTCGCCCGCGAACAACGCCACCGAGGAGGAATGCGAGGCCGGCGAGTCCTGGTGCGCGCAGTACCCGCTCTACGGCCCCATGGCCCTCAACCCGCCCGCCGAATCCGCCGCCCGCGCCGGCAACATAGCCGTGTACGCGCCCCCGTCATTCGCCGGCACCCTGACGCGCCTGCGCCCGGGGGTGTGGAGCGTCTCCTCTCCGCGCCACGGCCGCGACACCTGTCTCGCGACGTACCCGCCGCTCTACCACGCCGCGGCGCACAGCCCCCTGGTCACCGGGTCCCGCAACAACAAGAAGACGGCGTACTACGAAGTCCGCGTCCTCGAGCCCCGCAGCGGCAGCGGCAGCGGCAGCCGCGAGATCTCGCTCTCGCTGGGCTTCGCCGCCCCGCCGTACCCCGCCTTCCGGCTCCCCGGGTGGCACCGCGGCAGCCTGGGCGTGCACGGCGACGACGGCCACCGGTACGTGAACGACCGGTGGGGCGGCAAGGCGTTTACGTCGCCGTTCCGCGGGGGGGAGACGCTGGGGCTAGGGATGGAGTTTTGCCCGCAGGCGGGGGCGGCGGGGAGGGGGATCCGGGTCGAGGTGTTCCTGACGCGGGACGGCGTGGAGCGGGGGCGGTGGAATCTGCACGAGGAGACGGACCGGGAGCAGGATCTGCCGGTGACGGGGCTCGAGGGGTATCATGACTTGTGCGCTGCCGTGGGGGCGTTTGACAAGGTGGCGTTTGAGGTTGTGTTTGCGCCGGAGCTGTGGAGGTGGAGGGGGTATGAGGGATAGATGATGATGATGATGATGATGAAGGGCCTGATATATTTCATACGAGTGTAGGTTAGGTAGGTACTTAGGTATGTTTGTTTGAAATGCGGGTGGTTGTATCAATATGCCATGGAGTTTGTCTGTGCCTCTAAAGAATCCAGTTTCTTTAATCTAGTTACTTGCATTCTTCCGTTGATTTCGTGCTTGATCTTGAAGGCTTGGTGTAAACTAGTCCCCTAATCAATACTTTGATTATCCTATTTATTTTCACACTTCTCTTTCAGTATACACCTAATTTACTTGAGGTCAAATTTCAAATCAGGGCTACGAATCAATCATTGGACACCATGATAACATAACACAAATGCTCGGCCGACTTCAGGAGCAATAAGAAACGAGTAGACGTGCAACTATTTATGATTGGCTAGCTGTATTAAATTATATTAGAGTTGTTGCTTTTTTTTTTATTAGGAAAGAAAAAGAGTTAACTAAGGAGATCTACCAGGATTCTTTCCGCCCAAAGATTGTTATTATCTTCAAAGATATCTTCGTCTCTCCGTCTACTTTATCGCTGGTCCTTGTTCCTAGTAGCTCCTCGACCAATCGGCATTTATTCACAGTCTGCCCATACTCCGCGGCGCTGCATGAACCCCCCCGCTGCCAAGTCAGTCGGAAATCGTCTGGGCGCCCTCGAATGTGTCGTTCGGGTCCAGCGTAGTCCATCCGCTGACAGAGCCTGCTTCGATGCAGATCATCTTCTTGAAGCCGTCCTTGGGCTCGAAGTCGCCCATGCCTGCCGCCTTCTCCGTCCAGGGGTTCCAGACCACAACGTCCTTAAGGTTGTCCCGTACGATGCTAAAAACCGCCTCGCCGTCCTCTGAGACTACTACCGGGTTTGAGGGGCCCTTGGCCGGCGTGTATACCCTGTCTGTCTCGCCCGTGATGGTTATAGCGCCTGACTGTGTCTTTGCCTTAGCCGCGTCCACCTTGTCGATGTATTCTGACTCTTCGAGACCCGTCACCTGGATCTTTGAGATGTCCTGTTCGGCGTGGGGATTTCGGTTAGCTCTCGCTGTGCTATGCGCCCTTTATGCCTTTATGCGCAATGAGGATTACTTACGTCAATTCGCAGATACGTATGCAATAGGACCTGGAAATCGATGGGCTGTTCACCGTCGTTGGTAACGACGATGCTCGTGTTCAGGTTCTCCGGGGTCAATGTGATGCTGTAGATGATGGAGAAGGTGTAGGGCCATAAGCTCTTTGTATTCTCTTCTAGGGTGGCAGACGAGAGGCCGAAGTCGAGCTTGATGGAGGTTTCAGACGGCCCCGTCGACTCGGAGCTTGACTTGCCGAGGAACTCCCATCGTGAGTTGCGCGCAAAGCCGTGCTGGGGCAGTTTCGAGGTCGCAGCGTGATCAGGAGCCGTGCCGAATACCTAGTGATCAGCCATAAGTATTAACTAGCGCCCTTTATGAAGGTATTATCTTAAAACAAAGAGGTAAGAGGTAATAATTCGTAGCTTACGGGAAAGACGAGAGGAATGCCACCTCGTACGGCCTTGGATCCGTCGAGCTTAGCGGCATCGGACAACCAGAGCCTCTCTATTCCGAAGCGGTTCTTCCAGCTAATAACGGTAGCGCCATAGAGGAGGACCTCGACACTCTCGCCGGTGGGCAGGACAGCCGTGACTCGTGAATTGTCTTGGGAGAAGTTGACCTGGGGTTGAGGTGGTAGACCCGGGGTTGTGGCTAAGGCCAAAGGCTTCTTTGGTCGGTCAACCATGATCGCTAGTCGGTTGTCTAAGTCAGTTAGCTTCGGCAGGTCGAGTAAGGTAAGGCGAGGCTAGTTTGGTAGAGGATGGGTAGGAAATGGAGATATCAAAGAGGCCGATGGTAGATGGTAGATGGTAGATGGTAGATGGTAGATGGTAGATGTGATGTTGTATGGCGGGGTTATAATCGATAATCGAAGAGGTCAGGGTAGATACCTACCTAAGGGGTCTTTGTTGGTGGGGTAATACTGTCTATGTGGTATATGTGGTATATGTGGTATAGGTATGTGGTATAGGTACCTATGTGGTAGGTATATGTGTCCAAGTATAGCAAGGAACACCTAATTATCGAATGTCTGTTATCTCGGCAGTGAATTGAAGACGAGTATAAATTAAGCTGTAGACGCTCCCCTTTTAAATACTTTAAAATAGCAAAAAAACGGTAGGTACATAGGTAGGTTAGGTAGTTAATGTGGATTGTAGCTTCAACTGGCACCTTCAACTGGCACCTTCAACTGAGACGACCCTTCCGAAGATCCAAAAATGTACATGACAGTACAACACTACATGTACATACATAATGTATCTACCTACCTAGGTAATAGTGTACGTACATGGCACCGCATAACCTGAAACACCCATCCTTCCTGCCTGCAGCTATCTTTCTTAGACCTGCCTATGAGACGTGAGCAATCAGCCGGAACCGTCCCAACCAAGGGAACATCTCCCGAACATCTACACCCTCGGCTTAACCTTGGCCTGCAACCTTCGTCACTAACTCCACATCAAAATGCTAATTCTTCATCCACCACTTATCCATCACATAGAACAACTACAAATAATTAGAAATATTCCATTCGTATAGATTACCTAAGGTATCATAACAATGTATCGTAACTAGGTATCATCTACGTCCTAAACTCCTTGCCAATCAATGCCTTAGGTATGCTCATAACCGTATAGCACAGTAGTACCTAAATATGTTCCTCGTCATCCACCATTAACCTTTGCTCTACAAACCCCCGTGAAACCTAGCGTCGGCCCCGACTCTCCGCCTGGTATAGTTCCTTTTTGATATCGAAGAACATGTCCTCGATTTTGTTCACCTCGTCTCGAGTTAGCGTCGCTGTGCGGAGCCCCTCGAGCCCCCCCTTCAGCGCATCCATGATTCTGTCCGCTGCCGATTTTTCAACTACTGCTTCTTCGACCGGACGAGGCTGCTCAACATGAAACTCGGCCGCCTTCTCTGCATCTCCTTCCTCCTCTTGATCCACCATCTTCGTATCATCACCATCGTCTACTAAAGGTATATCATGCTCTAGTACTTCCGTAGGAATAGGCTCGACTTCTGACTGCTGAGACGCTTCCGTAATTATTTGTAAAGTTACTGCTTCCGTATCAGACTCGCGCTCGACGAGGCTGTCATTGGAACCCGCAGGCGAAGAGCTACGTTGAACGGCTTCTACAGCTGCGGGATCCTGTCTCGCCGGATCTTGCGAGATGGGGGCAATGTTAGTGTCTAACTCCATTGAAGTGTCGACTTCGGTATTAATTTCAGTTGTATCCCCTTCGATATTCTGGGAAACCTGGCTATTTGGTACTGATTCGATATCCGTGTCCTTGTGCTGCCTCCTCTTCTTTTGACTGCTGCTGGGCTCTTGGCTCCTGCCTGCATGCCGCTTCCTCTTTCTTTTCGACCTATTGCTCGGTGAATGAGAGCTTCCTGCCTCTGTAGGCGACGAGGGATTAATAGGCGGCGACTGATTACTCTCGTCTTCCTTGGACTCGGATTTGCCACACGGTTTCTTCGATCCCGTGCCCGCCGTGATGCACTCCGGAGACTGGACTCCCAACTCTTGAGGCTTCTCTGGTGATTCTAAATCGTGCTTGGTGGCTGGCTCGCATTTTCTAGAATCTAGCTCGATAACTAGACGTGCTAGGCTCCGCTCTTCGTCGTCGCTAAGCTCAAAAGAACGGTCCTTAGACTGAGAAGAAGATGGAAGGTTTTGCACGGTCTGTACACCCTTGGACGTGTTGCTACGGAGGACTCGAGGCGATCGAGACGCCGGGCTGGTGAGAGCATCCACGAAGACCTCGGGGTCGGACTTCGGCGAGGCGTCGAGAATTTTACCCGAGCGAGTTTTCCGTGGAGTAGTTGGTCTTCTGGGGGAATTGACCTGCGCAGGCTTATTTTCCACGCTTGTAGATATACGCTCTGGCCGGGATCCTGCAGCTTGATTCGGGCTCTCCTCTTTTACGGGTTCCGATACGTCCTCGCCGTTTCCTGCATCTCCTTGTTCTGAATGGCTTTCGTCCGCGGGTGCCGTTTGTCGCTTTGTAGCGGGAGATCCGGAAATAGGTGAGGATAGGATAGGGAAGTCTTGGAACACGCGAGTGACTGTGATTCGTGGCTTCATTTCTGCGAGCAAGTTCCGACGGGGTTCTGGTGGCGAAGAAGGAATATCGTCCGTCATCTCGTGATCAAAATCTATCATGGGAGCTTGGCCACGCCTAGGTGTTGGCGTGGATGCTACATAATCCTCGAGGCCTTGGTTACGTTGCGGCGTCGCATCCCGTTCTTGTTTCGAATCTTCCGCTTCGTTCGAGATCTGCTTTTCCGTGCTGGCTCGAATATGGGCAAAAATGACGGCGTTCTCTCGCTGTCGTTCACGGACTTCCTTCTGACGATCTGTCAAGAACTGAGATTCCATTGTATCGCGGCTGGGGGATGATTCGATGGGTGCGAATTGAATTTGGGAGTCGTTGTGCCGCAGTTTGGGAGTCGCGCTACGCCTAGCCGACTTTGGTCGAGATCGATTGGGGGTAATAGTCAGTCCCTGTTTAGAAGGCAACGAAAGCTTGACTGATCCAGGCGTTGTAGACCGCCTTGAAGATGGCCGCTTTGCCAGAGGTGTTTTGTGATGGTCCTGCTTGTCAAGAGATGGATTCACGGCCTCTGAATTGCCCTGTGATTCTATGAATGACGGCCCCTGCTCACTGGACGTGTAACTGGAGAGGTCTACGCCAGGAAGCACTACATCAACGTAAGAATGAATAGAAATAAGCACATCCTTGAGCTTTTCTGGATATTGAATCTCCTCGGTATTCTCGAAAGCGCGGTTCCACATGATCGCAGTATAGTTAACAATATCCCTATGCTTGCTCTGGAACGCCGAGCACAGCAGTTCCCCGATCGCGTCGAGTTGTAGGTTTTCTCGAGTATCTGTATGTAGAAACAGCCTACAGATATGATCCCATAGGGTTTCAACCTTGCGACTGTTAGTGCCGGGTGCAAAGAAAAAGAATATAGAAAATAATTCGTTACTTACAGCTTGGGCAATTGTCGTAGATTCTGTTATGCTGTACTGTGCGTTCGCATCTTGAATCCAGAGACCAATGCCATGTTGTAGGTGAGCTATTGATTTGAGACCCAGTGAGCGGCTGCATCGCATTAGGAAGCAACCAATCTCGGTAAACAATTTTACGATGATCTCGTCGGGGTCGTAATGCTCCATGTGCAAATAAGACGCTTCTAATAGGTGGTTTGTGAGGCGGTAAAAATTGTCGAAGGAGTCGAAAGAAGCAGATCTCGAGACGGCAATGGAAGTACCCCAAAGCCGTCGTCGAGCAGCGTCCAGCGCCTGATGATCTTTGGGGTGCACTGCATCAGAGATTAGATTAATGCCAGCCTTGAAACGAATAGGCGATATCGCATCATCGCAAGGCAAAGAGCAGAACTCTAAGAAATGCTTAGCTAATGGCTCTATCACCACGATGGCCAGTCCTGCACTGCCAGCCTCGGAGTAGACTCGAGTTGACAATAAATGGAAGAGCGAATCCCAATGCTCCCAAGGAAGATTGGGTGTGTCCTTGAAACCCCTTTCTAGGTGCTTTATAATCTCGCGGTACTCGTGGCCAATCGTCATCGATTCGCTTCCGGAGCTGGTGGTGAGATGGCTAGATTGGCTACTGTCCAGAGATAGGGAGAGGATATCAGATATGAAAACCCACGGCCCATACGGCGAGAGGACGTCCATGGGCAATGTCTGTATTAATTCGCGAGCCAGTTCAGTCTTCCCATGGGAGGAGGATCGAGAAATTACGAAGGGATCTAAGACAACCCTGATAAGATTTAATAAGCCGTCGTCATCGGGGATGCCGGGAGGCAGTGCAGAGAGGATAGAAAATAGGTGATGAAGAGGAGTTCGCGTTAAGCCCTGACCCCTTCCTGAACGATGAGAAGGAGTCGCTACTGGAATGAATGAGTTTTGCTTATTTAGGGAGAGCAGCTTCTCGGTGAAGGGTAACAGACCCAAAGACTCCACGATCGTCAAAAGGTATGCTTGCGTCGCATCTAGGAACCTTTGCTGAGACTCGGGTTGGGCGTCTGGGCCGTCAAGTCCCTGAGACCATATTCTCGCTAGTACGCTGAAAGCATGTGCCATAAAGGTCGCCGTGTCGGTGGATACCTTGACCTCCTTGGACGCAGCAGCCGCCACGGCGCTCACGAGGGTGCGCCAGAGCTTGCATGAGACGGATTCCGGACTTGCAAGGTCCAAAAAAGTCTTCTGCAAGATAGGTTCTACCACGGAAAATACCTTCGTCGCGTTTCGTCTAACCCATTTCGGATCCAGTGCAGGTAACTCGTCCGGTTTTACCAACGCATTCTCGGCGACCCGATCTTCCTTCCATAGTCGAGGCGTCGACGAATCGAATAGTCCAGTCAATATTAGAACTGCTTGGGTCAGGTTGTCAGGGATCAGAGTTGTGGGTTTCTCGGTTTGCTTGGTGTCCACCTCGGGAAATGCTAGTCCTTGGATCAGAGGCCTTACGCACGCATCCCAGTAGTTGTCGACTTGCGCTGTACTCAAATTCGGCCTGAAGGCGTAGTAGTAAAGATTGCGGATACCGGCTATAACAACCTTCCGCAATTCCTCTAACTGCTTGGTGTTGTTCTTTCTCTTTAGCTGGCTGATGAAGGGTTGGCACACTGTAACGATTGCTTTTGAAAACGACGTCTCGTTGAAATGTAGGAAATAGACGAGCCTGTTCCAAGCGTAGTTGGCTTCGAGTCTAGTGTGATAATCCCCGCTGTTGAAACATCGCTGGATAATCTCCAGCCACCATACGAAGAACTCCCACCTGTCAACCGGACATCTGAGAAGGAGGATGACGACACTCCAAACTTGAGGCACGGATGCGGATTGGGTCTTATCCTTTGTCATGTTTGTCAACCTCTCTACATAGTATTCGATATACTTGGTGTCGTCAACCTGTAATTGTAGTATCTCCATAACTTTTCTAGACAGCTGCTTCTCTTTGCCGATTGTGAAGCTAGCCTCAAGTCCTAGCGCGATAGCCGCAGCACGGATCTCTTTCATGCTACTAAGCATATCAGTAAACAGATCCAGGAGCCAGTCCGAGTGAGTGATCATATGGGATCTTGACTGCTTGACTAATCTTCGATATATCAATATGCGAGACATGATGATGCTTTTCCCCTTGATATGCTCTTCTATCTTGTGGAGCGAAGCTACCAACCGACCAACACGGTCGGCCGTCATGGTCTTTGCCGGGAAGTCCTGAGAGGCTACGACCTGCATCAGATGTCTCACGACGTCCTTGGGCACGGAAGCGTCCTCGAATGACCTAATACAGTGGTCGATAATTAAGACGCCAAATTCGGATGACAACGTAGAGGCGATAGCTGGAAAGTGGAAGAAGGTGCATAGCAGAGTAAGGGCGTGGTTCACCATAGACGAGTCGATATTTTGGTTTACAGCTTTTGTCGTAACATCTCGTTGTATAAACTGCATGAACAAGCTCATCTTATCCTGAAGGGCGATACGGTCGGGCAAGTTGTTGGATGTTTTCAATGCCCGTGCTAGCATCATGTACGCGTCTATTTTAGAGTCCCTATCCGCTCCGGCGAGCTGCTTGATAGTGGAGTCTAACATAGTTACGATGTTGATCTGATCGCCGGCGGTTGATGGATCTAGAGAGTGGAGAGGACTAGGGCTCGAAGTCTGCTTCAAGATAGACTTGATCGGTTTAACTGAGGCTACCGGCGAAGGGACAGAGGCCGGCGTTGTTTGCTTTCGAACATTTTCCTTGTCAGCGTAGGTTGGAGCTTCTTGATACTCGGCTTGCACCAAGAATCCGACCTTCTTTGCCGATCTCCGAGAGCCAGTGTTGGTATGGTTGGTGGGATCGGAAGAGTAGCTTGGAGGCGTATGTAGATTTAATCTGGTATCGACGGGCTGATTAGAGAGAGCGAGCTTCGAGGACGAATCCGTGTCCGTGTCTTGCTTCTTGTCTCGAGGTGGCGTCGGTGGTCTTGTAGGCAAGGAATCCAAACTTCTTGGAACTGATGCTACTTGTGATACCATGACTACTCCAGCCAACAGCTCCCACTGGGAAAAGGGCCTCCCAGATCTCCCAGAAACCAAGATATCATGCGTTATACGAACCGAACGACATCAATAAATTCCAGCTCCAACTCCAATTCCAATTCCAATTCCAATTCCAATTCCAATTCCAATTCCAATTCAATGCTATAAACTTCAATGAATTTCGACGAATGGTATAGGACGTATAATGAACGAACGAGATAATCTCGAGGGTGCTTTTGGTCGGATATAGCAAAGTGCGATTATGTCTGATATGTCTGGATGGTTAAGGCGGACCCCCTTGACCATTAGATATTAGGGAAAAAAGAAGAAACGCGTCGCGGTAAACTTTTCGCGTACGGATTAGTTTCTATCGAATTGACGCGAGAAGCTCGGACCTCCACTTTAACCCCTCGCGACGGTTTACGTAACGAATGTACTGAGGTACATATCCAAATCGACTGGCATGTACCCAGGTACCTACTCCTACCTATTGCCAGCTGCTCCAAGATTATTCAAACATGCGAACATGCGATATCCCTGCTGCGTCATCCTTGGACTCTGTTAATAATTGACCGTTGTTTTATTTCACGAAACAGCCTTGTGTTATACATAACCCCCTCGAAAGCCTCCCATGACTTTACTCTCTACACTCTACTCAGTACCGAAGGTAAAGAAAATAACATAGCCTCCTATACGAATTTTCGTGCTCGGCATTGCTTCATACAGCATCCCAACTTCACGTCAGTCCTAAACGTTTCCTTGCACAATCCAATAGGTTCACTACATATCAGATGGTCGTTGGCAACACGTAATTTACTTTCCTTTTATTAGTACCACCTCATTCTCCTATAATCTATTTCTCTCGAACAGTTTGCTTCCTAGGTACTTGATCTTCATCATTAGCCCCGCTCCATTTGTATTCTTTGCATTCTTGTGTTCTTGACATCTCATAACTACAACATCCTAAGTTTGATTTATAACTATTATAACTACCTAACGTACCTTATACATCATACCATCCTCACCTATCATGTCTTTTACCATCGTTCTATCCGCAAACATCTAAACTTTTGAATACATTTTGCTTACCATGGCTCAGCAGTCTCTTCGACCCCGACCCAAGTCGTTCTGGCGAGTATTTTCATCATCTCGTAACCGGTTAGGCGATTCAGAGGACTCCCTAGTCCATCCTCAAATGTCTCAACCTAGCCAGCAGGTACTTGCGGCCGCTACCCTTAGAGGGCCTGGTTAGTAGTTAATGTCCTGTACCAATGGCATAATTTTAATCAGATATGCAGCAAAGCTAGCCGCAGTCACAAGTTTGATGGAAAAACTATCACAAGATCTGGTTTCCGCCAGCCTACCCCCTCAACGTAAGGTGCCATTATAAACCACCTACCTAGTTATCCCACCTTAACATTTTAACTGCTTCAAGAACGCGATTCTGCCTTGGAAGAGCTTAAAATATACGGAAGAGATCCTCAGAATGCGGATCCCATATTTACAAAAGAGGTAAGTTAAGAAGCCATCAGTATAAAACCCCATAAGCTTACAGCTCTTAGGGCATAGAGATGCTCGCCCGACATGCATTTAATAGTCCATCCAGCACCACATCCAGAAATGCTTTGCGAGTTCTCTGCAATGCGCTACTCCTAGAGTCAGAGACTCGTCAGATTTTCGTCGACCTTGGCTACGGGGACAAGTTGTGTGACAAATTGCAGAGTGATAGTTGCGATGACGAATTTCTGGTTTCCAGGATGCTCTTTCTAACGACTTATGGCACGAACACAGACTTGACTGAGCTCATTGATAAGCACCATCTTGCAGTTGCTATTAATAAGAATCTTGAGCGGCATGCAAAGCGTCGCACCACCGGAAGCCCGGTGACGGATCCCATGGAAGACATGGCGCTCACGGAGACGCTGAAGCTCCTCTTTAATATTACTCACCATTGCAAAGACCGAGTTTCTTCGTTTACCTCAACTATATCCCACATCGTTACCTTATTATGTAAAGGTTCATTTCAAGTCCAGAAACCGCTGGACTCCCCTACCGGCCAACTAGTCCATGCCCTCCTTAACTTAGATATTGCCGCCAAAGAGGTTCAAGCGTTTCTCTTCCCCGAAAGCGATCCTAGCGTTCTGGCCAACCATCTGGTTGATCTACTATCCGCTTCGACCACTGTGTATGCAAATGAGGATCTAGAGCCATCGATTACACCCTTAGTTAGCGTGATCCGTGGGATTCACGAACACGCACCTGCGGATGTGAAGAAGTCTATACGCACTAGGCTTTTGCCAACCGAAGGCGACAGGACTGAAGTACTCGGCCGGACTAGTACTTTGCCTTCTTGGCTCTTGAAGAATTCGACGAATCCTTTAACGCCTCAGTTACGAGAGATAATATCCAATTTATTCTTTGATATGTCCGACAGAGATGCATCGATCTTTGTCGAGAACGTGGGCTATGGCTTTGCCTCTGGTTTCCTATTCAACCGGAACTTGCCGGTTCCTGATAACGCCTCAGAAGCGTTCAGCACTGCCGCGGGTGGACCTGGTAGACCCGTCAACCCCATCACGGGCCAGTTCCTGGATGCCGAAAGACAGCCCGAGGAGCCCGAGATGACCGAGGCCGAGAGGGAAAGGGAGGCAGAACGGTTGTTTGTCTTGTTTGAAAGGTGAAAGTTTCATTCCGATATATGTAGACATCAACTAACTTCTTGGTAGATTAAGAGCGAATGGTGTTATTTCTGCTGAGAATCCAGTGCGAACAGCTGTCCAGGAGGGCCGGTTTGAAGAGCTACCTGATGATTACAAGGAGGATTCTGATTGAACTGCCTAGTCTTTAGGAAGCACCAGAGCTGGGTCTCCATAATAATTTGCTTACAATGTATCATATATGATATATATTGAGATGTTATTACGCCTCAAGTCTGATGACTTTGGGAATGTAAAGTTTGGTGTATCTACGTGTATATTAGGTAGCCTAACTGACAACAAATCATGCCAATGGGCCATTTAAATAGACACTTAACATTATTTACTAACCTGGTAGCTTACGTATTTACCTTGGTAATTCGTAACGTTTTCAGCCTGGAAACTGGACTGTTTAACTAGGAGCAAATGATTAGTAGTGCGTTATATTTTGCAGGTGACTGTATCAATATTAAGACGTGGTTCAACCTTATGCGACTAGTATTAGGACTCTAGATGATGCACCTAAAATAAAGAATACTCTGGATATATCAAGTTATCAGCCTCCGTACTTCAACCTTGGTTTATAGTTCCTTTAGAAACAACTTCATTGTCTCCACGCCTTCTAGGTCAACCTCGTGATAGTTGTATATATGTTACGAGGTGGAACTAAATAGCATAGAAACAACTTTATTGTTCCGCAAAGAACTCCAACCCATTTACAGAAGCCTGTGGCTATACATACTGAATATGTCCTTTGCTCTAGATGTCTCATTCGTAATCCTGACAATATACGAGCTTTTATATATGACCCACGATTCGATATAAATATAAGGTGAAAATAAGAGGCATCGCAGACGACAAAGGGGAAGTGGTGATAAGCGTAGATCCCGACAATAGTCATACCCGCATAGGATTACTCGATTTAAGATTTAAAAGGATAACATTTTAAACATCATATTCAATCAACCGTACCTAAGTAGCCCTAGCAAAGCTTTAGGCAGGAACGCGGTAACCAGTAGCTACCACGTAAGGTTCCTTCCTTTCTTATTGCAACGCCTATTTCCAAAATTCCAAAATTTCCAATTCCCACGTCTTACCCATACACAATTCTCTTTCAACAATCAACAAACATTTCTACCCAGTCACTATCCCCTCAAGAACCCAAAGTTTCCTGGCCGATAAGTTACGACCCCTATAAAATACTTTATACATCTCAATTCTCGTGGGTACATATAAGTCAAAGCACCCTTACGGGGGCCACCCTAATAGGGGCCACCTTAAATTTTTAAACCTTCAAAATAAACACTTTAACTTCAATTTAACGTTATTTAATCAAATTAAATTTAATTAATTTATAATTTATTATATTTTAATAACAATATAATCTTCTATTATTAACTTAACTAACAAAATTTTATTTTTTAAATTAGTATTGAAATTATTAATTATAATTATACTACTTAATTTTTAAACTTTTAATTACTCTTTCTTTTTTATAATAGCTTTAATATTTATAAACATTAAATTTGAATTAAGTAATATTTTATGCCGTTTTTACGATTTTATATTTATTAATATCTTTTTTAAATATTTAACGCAGATCTTTATTATAATTAATTTTATAGTAGTTTTATTAAAGACCTTACTAATCTTATTAAATAAAAACCTTGTTGCGGGTTTAATAAACATTATATCGATTTTAAATAGTTCTTTAATTAAAATATTAATATTTTATAAATTTAAAAACGTTGTTAAAAGGATTAAGGCTATATTTTTAATAAAATTAAGCTTTTTTAAGTTAAAAATAAAACCCGAAAAAACCGGGGTAGTATCGGAAACTTCCTAAAACATAAACTAATAATTTAATAATTTATTCCAATCCTTAAAATAAATCTTCGTAACTTTTTAACTAGTTAATATATTATATTTAATTAAATATTTTTTTTATATTATTTAATAAACCGTAATAAATTTTTTTTTATTAAAATTAAAAATATAATATAATTAATATATTTTAATAAGTTTATAATAATAACTTTGTTTTATTAATAAAAATATATCCATATTAATAACTTATAAAACGTACAATAAATATACCGGAATAAAAATAACATAAACCTTATTTATAAAATATTTCTAAAAGAATTTTATTATAGTATGGTTACCGTGGCCGTCAAAGATTAATAATCGCTATTATTAACAATTTAATAATTTTGTTTCTTTTAAAAAAATTTTATAAAACCATTTAAATGTAATATCATTATTAATTTAGCTATTAAAAAACGTAATAAATTTTTAGTTTTTAAATTTAACGTTTTTATTGTTAGAAAATTATTATTATTATATATATTTATTTATATATATAATAAAAAAATTTAGAAATTAACTATTATTATTAATATACTTAATAATTAACGTTTAAATTTTATTACTATAATTTTAAACTATAATATACTTTTTATAAACCTTACTAATAATTATCTCGTTATCTTTAACCTTTTTTATAATCTTTATTTTATTAGCGTTATACGTATATTTAACCGGGATATTTTTAATTCTAAAAATTTTAAATTAGTTAAAAAAGATATTAATATTATTAGTTATAGTTTTGTTAATTTGTTTATAATTAATTAAATAAGCTTTAACTAATTTAATATTAAAATAACAAAATAAAAATTGTATATGTTAGTGTTTATTAAAAATATTAAGCCGGTAATTATAGGTTAATAATTTTTTTACAATATTTTTAAATTAATATAAAAAAAACGTATAGCTAATATGATTTAACGTAACGGCTTAATTGGTTAATTTCTTTTTTTAATATTTTAATAATTTTTAACGTTCTTCTAAATAATCGTTTTATATTTTATAACCTAATATTTGGTTCGTAAAGTAGTATTGTAATATAAAGTGTTTTTTAAACGCTTATTGTAGGGATATGCTGTCGAAAACGTTGTTTATTGCTGTAGCGCAACGTAATTAAGCTAAGAAAATAGGTATTTTAAAATTGTAAAAAAATAAAGATTTAAATGATAAGTTTTATTTTTTAATTGATTAAAAATTGATAAAATTATATAATAATTTGTATATAGACCTCATCGCGAACGCGTCGCGTTTTTGAGGTGGCCCCCACTAGGGTGGCCCCTGTAAGGGTGCTTTGACTTAGTACCTACCTAGTTCTGCAACACCCACAATGGCACCTTCATGCATCCAGGACGCATCCACCATTGGCAAGAAGCCTCCTCATCTCCTTTGCTCCAGTTCTATAGACAGAAACGTAGACGTTGCTGTTGCCCAGCCCCAACGTCCCGCGCGTCCCTCTACCGTTGTCTACCTGAGACCTGTTAAAGAGGAGACCGACTGGGACAATACCGATGATGATGATAACAGCAATCATAATTTGGAGGAATCCCCTTGCCAGAAATTACAGCGCAAAGATGTACAGAACAATACCAAAATCAAACCGGGCAGCACTCAAGAGCAAACTGGATCCGTCAATCAGCTATCTCGCAAGTCTTCGCGCATCCAGAAAAAGGCCGTTTTGAACGTGGCGAGAGGCGGCACTAAGCCTGTTCGTAGGGCCACCGGAAAGCTGTCGGTCGTCCTTGGAATTGCACCCAAGGCCAAGAAGGAGTATTCGCAAGGTTCTCGACGATCTACCCGGGTTGCTGCAGCCGCCGCTACTTCCCGCATCGCGGAGACGAGTGTAAGCAGTCCCATATTCTCATATGTGTATACGTAGAGTGCTAATAAGTCACAGAGCAAGAAATCTAAGGTCGCTTCCGAAAAGCCTGCTGTCCTGAAGCCAAAGTTCGAGGGCGTCTCCCGCCGTGGCCGGACCTCAGGTACTAAGGCCAAGGCTGAAGCCGCCAATAAGGAGTGGCAGGTCGATAAGATTGTGGGCATCCGAAAGACCAAGACTCGAGGGACCGAATACCTCGTTAAATGGGCTGGCTTCCCTGATGGTGAAAACACCTGGGAGCCCGATGGAAACCTAGACCACTGTCGCCGCAAAGTTGCCCAGTTCAACGCAACGCTTCCCCGCAAGAAATAATCCGAACGTGATGCTTACGATTCAAACTGAGCGCCTTGCGAACGTAATAGTTCGAAATTGCTGGATCTAGGCGTTGGATGAGACGGAGTTTGCTGGCGGCTTTCTTGGAAGAACAGGTTCTCGCTTAATATTTTCAAGAAGCTTAGGCTTCCTGTGCTTTCCCAGCTATTTTGATATTTCTTCTGTACGATGTAGTTGTCAGGGACAGTAAATAATCGCGGTGCTCTTCTCGCATTTGCCTTCGATAGTTGATAGGCCATAAGCCTGAGAGCCAGATGAAATATGAATCTTTCTTCCCTTCCTCTACTCTTCGACATCTTATCTTTATATCTCTAAGTTCCTTTGATGTGCATATGTCTTTATCAATACTACTTTATTGAACCAAGTATTCATAATTTCATCTAGTTAGTATTGCTTGATTCTTCATCTTTTTTGACTACCGTTTCTCCATCACCTACTTAACTCTAAACACACGCTACTTGATATTGAAATTTATAGGGAGAGCTTGAAACGACCATGGTTCTGATTTCGTTGATAAGTATACTATTTAAATAAATTTGCTAAGTATTATAAATTTCGTTTATATGACTAGCACCTCTTAGGGGGTAGGTTTAAGAGTTGTACTCTTTAGGCTTTTGGGTATTATAAACTGGATGCCGAGTAATTACTTCTGTAGAGGAGGTAGCTTATATGATTAGGTTATGTAAATAAAAATAATTACCTAGGAATATTTATTCGACTACTTATGCCGGCATCGGTAGATCGTAAGCAGACCGGCCCTTTCTAGGGTTTGGATAAAGACGTTGTGGGTTGCACAAAAGTTACTAGTGCAAGTTTATAGGAGAGCCTGACACGTTAAAAACTACACCATTGGAAATTTGGTTCTACGAGGAATATCTGTGTTCATTCCATTTGATTACTTGATTAATAGGTCTTGCTGGAGTAGAGTAGAAAATAATTGGTAATACCAACAGTGATTCTAAACCTCTTGTTGACGGATTGTTTAGAATGAATTCAAGTTCCAAAAATAACATTCAAGTAATAAAGTCTTTAGTATTTCTGTTGGCGATATAAACTTACACGCTGACTTACAATCGGGTTGCAGTTCAGCACACCAGCCACAAGCTTAGGTACATATTTGAATATGCCCTATGTACATGTACCTAAGTACCGACTAGCATTAGGCTTCAAAGCTACCTACATAAGGTACCTAGGGTCGATTGGGCTTAGTCCCTCCCCGTAAACCCAGCTGACAGGGTCACAAGCTGCCAGCTTAGACATTTCCTGCCTGACTGATTATTACGTATCGTGGCGTGTTATTTTTATCGCGCCAGGACATTTGTGTTAAGCCCCAGCTGTTGGAATTTTTATTTTATCTCAGCCTCATCAAATCCCCTTTCCTATCAAGTCTGTATATCTGGCCTGATTATACCGACACAAGTACTACAGACAGCCTGACTGCATCTAGTTGGGAAATAGAATAAATCGCGATGGAGGCACTGAAAACTGCGCTGCAGCCCTTGCAGCCCATTACGAACAGCTTACCTGCTCCCATTCGCGACCTAGGCGTGTCCATCATCGGCGAGACCTGCTACAAGACGTTGATCCTCGATCTTGACCCTACGGATTCGGAATGCCTTAAGCTAGCCATCTCCAAGGGCTTGGGTATTGGTATCATCGGCGCATCGTCTATCGTCAAGGTTCCTCAAATCATCAAGCTCGTCCAATCGCAATCCTCATCCGGTGTCAGCTTTCTATCGTATCTGCTCGAGACCTCGTCCTACCTCATCTCGCTCGCCTACAACTTCCGCAACGAATTTCCCTTTAGCACCTATGGCGAGACCGCCTTGATCCTCGGCCAGAATGTCATCATCACTGTCCTCGTTTTGAACTATAGCGGTAGAGCTAGCATGGCAGCGCTGTTTATTGCTGCCTTGGCTACGAGCGTTGTCACGCTGTTCAACGGTGGAATACTCGATATGCAGACCCTGGGCTATTTGCAGGCTGGCGCGGGAGTGCTTGGCGTGGCTAGCAAGGTGCCTCAAATTGCTGCTATCTACCAGGCAGGTGGAACAGGTCAGCTCAGTGCCTTTACGGTAAGTCCCCTCCGTGTTCTATACTTGAATGCCTACCTATGTAGCCAAGATCTGGATTATTCTTACCCCACGAGTCGACAAACTTCATGATGGTATATGATTAGGTTAAGCTAACGCGGCACGCAGGTCTTCAATTATCTTGCCGGCTCGCTCTCTCGAATCTTCACGACATTGCAAGAGGTGGACGACAAGTTGATCTTATACGGTTTCGTAGCAGGCTTTGCGCTGAACTTGGTCTTGGCTGCGCAGATGGTCTACTACTGGAATGCACCGTCAGCTAAGGTTAGAGGGAAGATGAAGGAGGCAGCTCCGGTTCCAGCTGCTTCTCAGAGCTCTGGCGTCTCTACAGCTACCCCTAAAAGTAAGGGGCCGTCGACACGACGCAGGGGTTGAATTCTTGTTACGTCCTGAACCGACTTTGTTGAGCAGGAATGATTTTTTAGACATCAACTATTGTAATACACGTATGTTATACCACGGCTTCTTACATGCTCTACTACTCGTGGTAGCCGATGTGACCTTTATCCAAATAGATTTTGGTATGTCATGTGCTACTAATCCCCGTGCCCGGGCTTGGCCCGTCGTCTACCGTTATTTATCAGGTAAGGAAAGAAAAACCTGGCAGGGACATCTGCATGGTTAAGCGCCGTGGGCAGCGTGATAATATGTATCTACATATCTAATATGCAGGCGAAAAATCGTTCTCGACTCCGCTTCCGGATCTATTCGGGAAATGGATCAGTTATAGGAAGACGGCAAGCTGGTGGTATGAGAAGGATTCGAGACCGATAGCCGACGCAGATCGGACTTGGGAGTCACATTAGACCTTGTTGTTGGTCATGGATGGTCATGGATGGCCATGTATTTACTGATAAACTGTCTGAGATGTGGTTGAATTAGTCAGATATGCCTGCTGCATCGCCACGTTTGCTTTTTGTTCCCGCTGTTTTCGAAACATGCGTGCGAGTATCGCGATTCTCGATAGGTGCCCGCTTAGTTGGGAGTTGGGAGTTGGGAGTCGATGTTCTTTGTTTCCAGGTATGAAGGAAAAGGGTGTTGAGTTTCAAAGCCAAAAGCAGGTGCATGACGGTCTCGCGCAAGCTGCGTGGACTCTGACGTGATTGGGACTGATGTAATTCATTCTTATTTATTACCTTATGTACTGACTAAATATGTCCGTATTAATCAATGGAATGCGGATTGTAGGCGGATGTACTCGATACTCTGGAAATACTACCGGATCGGATAACGATATGTTAGTCCGCTCAGTTCGTCTCGGTGCTATTAATATGCGACATGATGATAACAACTGCGGTATTCGAATCCCCAGATTTCCCAGGATCCATTTTAGTCTGAATAGCTTATCCATTATTCAGGCGTTAAGGAGCAATAAAAGTTGTGCGACAAGGGGTACAAGGATGATTTATGTACTCCGAGGGGTGAAGGTTGTAAATGTTTGCCCCTTGCATCTCTGGGCGAATCACGCACACGATGAAGTTCCGAATGTGGAAAAGGCGGGTGAGATACTTCCTTCTGATAGGTTAGCGGATGTAAGACCCCCCTGAGCCACTTCTTATCTAGGCATAGCGGTAGGGTATTCTTATCAATAATCTGCTCCACGGGGAAAAACAGCGGTGTCACTTAGCGTACCTTTCGCCATCGTTAGTTGTGATTACGCCAGTCAAACGATCCGATTTATCTGTCCCACTAACCATCTTTCTACATACATAGTAACAATAATCTTACGGATTCCTTTCGAACGATACTTAGTTTCTTGCTTCATTGTATTTATTGTGTCGTAGTACTTTACCTTAGCCTCTTAAATAACTAACCTAACTAGTCCTTCTCCTAGCACGGTTTCTGACTTTCCCCCTGTAAGTCCCCTTGTAAGTCCTGCACCTTTAGCCAGCTCCACGATCTTCATCTCGATAGTGCCTAGACACATTGTCACTTCTGCTGGGCTCCTAGTCAACTCCTTAGACTACCTAGCTATCTTTATAAACAGCCCTGTTCCCGCACCTCCTTCTTCTTCTCTTATTTTCTACATTCTCTATTCTCTATAACCTCATCTACCACCATAGGCATTGCGTACCGAACTGAGCCAGTCTTGTTCAAGCTCTTCTTCCCTTAACGTAATCTCTTAGCCTTGCAATACCGTCACAATGGCTCCTGATATTAATTCCCTACCACGGTCAGAACCTAGTCTAGATGGCCCCCGCCAAGCAGCTCCTCCGCCGGTGGCCAATGGCATCAATGGTACCAACGGCTCTTCCGAGAAGCCTCCTAATATTCTTTTCCTTATGGCGGATCAGTTAGCTGCTCCGTTGCTCAAGATATACAACTTGGAATCTCAGATCAAGACTCCCAATCTTGACGCCCTAGCAGCCAAGTCTGTCCAGTTCGACTCTGCATACTGCCCCTCTCCCCTCTGCGCTCCCTCCCGTATGAGCTTGATTTCTGGTCAACTACCCATGAAAATTGGGGCGTACGACAATGCTTCACAGATCGGAAGCGATGTGCCCACCTATGCTCACTATCTGCGCCTGAAGGGTTATCACACTGCTTTAGCCGGCAAGATGCATTTTGTGGGAGACCAGCTTCACGGGTATGAAACTCGTCTCACCAGTGATATTTACCCTGGCGACTTTGGCTGGGCTGTCAACTGGGATGAGCCTGATAGGCGGTTGGAATGGTATCACAACGCGAGCTCTATCCTCCAAGCGGGCACTTGCGTGCGAAGCAACCAATTAGACTATGACGAGGAGGTTATGTATAGGTCAACTCAGTTCCTTTACGACCAGGTCCGCGAAGGGCCAGATACGAGGCCGTTCTGCTTGACAGTCTCTCTTACCCACCCCCATGACCCGTACACCATTGAGGAAAAGTACTGGGATTTCTACGAAGGTGTAGATATTGAGTTGCCTAAAGTCAAGATTCCCAAGGAGGAACAGGACGCCCACAGCAAGCGACTGATGAAGGTGTGCGACCTCTGGGGTGAGGATTTCACAGATGACCAAATTAAGCGAGCTCGAAGAGCATACTACGGTGCGGTTAGCTACGTTGACGACTGCATTGGGCGTATCCTTCGTGTGCTCAAAAACTGCCGGCTTGATGAGAACACTATCGTTGTTTTCAGCGGGGATCACGGTGACATGCTTGGAGAACGTGGGTTATGGTGAGTTAAAAGAAGTATATATTCAAGTCGGAAAGTTGATTGCTAAACTATTATATTATATAGGTATAAGATGAGCTACTTCGAGTCGTCAGTACGAGTACCCCTCTTGATCTCCGACCCTCGGCGCTTCACCCCTCGTCGCGTGAAGCAGAATGTGTCAACTCTGGACATTCTTCCGACGTTGTGCGACCTCGTCGGTACCAAGCCTATTCCCGGTTTACCCATGGATGGTCTTTCGCTTCTCCCCCACTTGGAGGGTAGAGAGGGTCACGACACCGTGATTGCCGAGTATACCGGCGAAGGAACTATCAGCCCATACATGATGATTCGACGTGGTCCTTGGAAGTACATTACGTGCCCAACAGACCCGCCGCAACTTTACAACCTCGAGCGCGACCCTCTCGAGCTTGTTAACCTAGCACAACTCGTTAACAAGAAGGAGGCGCTTGCTCCTGAGGAAGAGGAAGCGAAAGAGAAGTTCGAGAAGTTCGAAGCCGAGGCCAAGGCTCGGTGGGACTTCGATGCCATCACGAAACAAGTACTACTATCACAACGGACACGAAGACTTGTGTGGGGTGCTTTGAACAAGGGCAAGTTCGAGGCATGGGATTATAATCCCGGCGACAATGGCACTTCAAAGTAAGAGATCCCCTCCAACTTATATTTAGATTATTGAGACTAACAACAATATTCAGATATATTCGGTCTTTCCTGCCCCTCGATGACCTGGAGCGTCGTGCTAGATACCCTCCTGTTGACAAGTACGGCCGGGAGACCGGAAGAGTTATTATAGATCAGGCCGGCTCACATGGCGAGTAGCGGTCAGCTTCTATGATTCCTCTTATAATATGAAATGTGACATGTTTTTGGTTGGGGATTAATAAAGGCCTATGTAGGTGGTGATGCATCTGCGGCGCCTAAGCACATTTGAGGACGGACTGCTTTAGTCCGAAAACCACGGTGGTTATTGATTAGGATTTAGCGACGAGTTACGGATGAGTGATTTCATGGGATTGGAAAAGAAAAGAAAAGAAAAACAAAATGAGGATGGACTAGATACCTACCTAGACCTACCTAACCTAGGTAGTTATCTTTGAAAATAAGTGCGTTAATTAAGAAGTCGATAGGCAATTGAGACTTGACTGAATTCTTTCTATCTGCCCGTGCTATCACATGCCGCATCGAATATCTAAATGCGACGTCAGTGGACCCTGAAAATCGCGGATTGATAAGAGCATGTCCCCTTGTATGTTACATTCGGCTGTCGGAACTCGGGGGTTCCAATTGTTGAACAGAGGGGTGTACACTTAATAAATGGCGGGAGTGTCCCGTCCGTGCTTGCTCTGTGTACCTAACTCTGTGTACCTACCTACCTAACTTCCAGAACCTGCAGCCAGGGTGGAAGGCTCGTAGTGTATATAGTGTATATAGTGTACATACCATATGTATTAAAAATGGCACTGTACAGATGTGATTATCATTTGTCATTTGTCATTTGCCAATTGGCAATTGGAGAAGCTGTCAATTTAAGTCCATCTTCAACATCGCGTTGCATTTGGGAGAACTCATCTAAACCTAAGCTACCTACCTAACGCCACATTCTTTAAATCGTATAGACCTTGCACTATACACAAGGTACATCCCAAACGTCATATTACTGCTTATCACGTCCGGCCTGTCGATAGACCATGGCGTCGCTTAACCTTACCCAAGACGAGTTCAGAGCTATCGAGCAGACGCGGCAGCGGCTCTCGCAGATATCCAGTAGCATCGCGAGCCTTAAATCCGACGTCTTTATCAACAACCCGCTGCCTAGTTTGTGCGTATTTTCTATTATTACCTTACTTACTTACCTGGGTACTTATTAATGTTCACCGTAGAGAATCACTCCAGACCCACACGGAGGTCCTACAAAGCATGATACAGAGCCTCCTCAGTGTCACGTCGCCTGCTGCAGAGATTTTTAGCCGCATTGCAGTGCATCCCTCAACTAACTTCCCGGGGCGTACCCAGGAGATGATACTCCAAAGACTACTGCGCAAAAAGCCAGAGCCGGACATTGCGACGTCTATGGACGAGGGAAGAAACATGGTGGCGGCCTTCGCTCCGCAGCCATCTTCTCAAGGCCTTATAGGCGCAGGTACAGGTATTGAAAAGGGCCCAGAAGAGGAGTTGGGAAATATATGGGACTCTGTGCGCAACTTCTGCGAGGAGCGCATGAGGGATTACGTAATAAACGAAGGTGATGACATGTTCACGGAAGAGGAGCGCGAGCGGGGTGTCGAGAACGTGCGGACAGGACTTAAAAGATCGTTTGAGGATGAAGAGGAGGACGATGATGAGGATGACGAGGAAGGAGGGGGGACGAATGAAGACCAGGACGACGACGTTATGATCATCGATCGTCCGCCTCCACCTCCAGCACCCGCAGTTGTGACCCAGGAAATTGAGGGCGCAGCTCTAGAGAACATTATGCGTTTCGCGGCGAGAGGAGAGTTTGTTACCCGCTAGGGGCCGTACAAGCTTACGATAAAATCTGCCCAGCCTTGCTCTGTTTACGACATGACATCACTAGTCGAGAAAGGGTGTATTGGGTGGTTAGGTATGGTTACCTAGGTATGGTTATGAGATGCGGGCGACTTTACCCGAGACTTCTTACACCCCCGATAATAGTCTGATAACGACGATCTGACAGTAAAGCGGACATATGTGTTACAGGAGCTGAGAATATCTAATTCTAAGGATAATAAACTCCGAAGCTTCTATACCTAGCAGCGGTTGGTTTTTGTTGGCGCTACTATCCGACGCTGCCCGCCAAGTATGCGGCCTCGGTCACCAATTACAAAATGAGTAGGTAATTAACAGGTATTCAGCCAACTAATCTTGTTACTGATTTCAAATATTTATCTCATTAAACTAATTGCATCAATAAGCGACGAAAACGTTTTCGAGTCCCCGTTCTTGAGCCTCATTTCAATATGCACATAAGCCGCAATATAGTGTCGAGATTGTCTTTTAGTAAGACCGTCCCACGCATGATTATCACCGAGTTTCGTCGACCGGTCACGGACGCATTTCGTGTGACCTGTTCAGCCCTATGAGAGGCCAGAGATGACTCTAATCCCGGCTATACGTAAGCGCAACAAGATCTGACTGCCTATGCGCACGTTCGTTGAGCTGCAGCATCTTGGTTTTGGAGATACCGAAGCGGCCCGATGGACGAGACGGACGTGGGGTGAAAAAGGAATAACAGCGAATACCGCACAAAGTCGGGTAGAGCAAATCTAAGGGGTTCACATTATTTAATCAACCCTGCGGTTTGAATCCTATATATGCAGTAATACCTAAGCGACGCAAGTTAATACGTGTTGGATCTCCAAAAGGGAGATCGAGAGCAAGGGAGCCCAATCGGAATAAATTTGCTAGGATACCTCCGGGCCGTGTTATTCGCTGCGTTGATCATTTCGGTGCTGACTCGCAGATTCGCACCCATCCAAACGGCCCGCCGTCGTATTGCCGCGACCTGGACGATGACGAGAAGCTGACGCCTAGAGCGGCTCTCCAAAAGCGTGACTGGGCCTACCCGTAAGCTGATGTTATATCCAGCAGGTTTCCCACCTGGCCAGTTCCTTTGTTCCTATAGCCGGTCTAATATCGTCGCTGACGGGCTGGTCTTTGATTGGCCCCTGGTGCCTTGTTAATTGGCGGTCAGTGGCTAGCTGATTATAATACGGCTTAGACACGACTAGATTGGGTACAACTCAGGGCGAAGGACACGACAGCCCTATTCATATCAAATCGCTCAGTATATATCCGCCGTATAAACTACCGCCTCAGAAGCATCCGGGTGATGTAGCCGCTTCCGCTGCGATTTTATAAATATCCCGTCGTCCTACTTCCCGCCACGTCTCGCGGACACCTAGTCGAATCCTCCTGTTCCTTTCGCCTTTTAGTTATACGTTATGTTAACTAGTTCAGTTCTCAGTCGTTGATCACACAGAACAGCTAGGAACCGCCGTTTCGGCACCCGTTCCGGATATGCTTTTAGACCAATTTGACGATTGTGACTGGGTCGGAGGAAGCGTCACTGCGTGGGGACCGGGCCATTGTTCTGAACAAAGGGAGATTGCAACGGGGTCCGTCGATAATTCCGAATTCAGGTCCCTCAAGCTGGAAAATCTTAATAAAGAAACTCTCTCCGACTTTGAAGCCCTCATGCTGGGGGAGATCTCGAACGACGGATGTTCGGAAGATGAGATGGATTCGGCCACTAGCTCCGAAGATGAAGGCTTCTTCCCGCTTATGGAATTGCCCTTGGAGATTAGGTTGCAGATTTACCGCTGGGTGCACCTTATGACTCCTATCCAGCTGACGCAATTTGCGCCGTGGTACCCCAACCCGGTTTATCATGCTTATCATGTCAAAGCCGTAGCGTTGGACACAGAAACAGATTCGCCACGGTGTAACTTGGACGTGCCGAAAGACCTCGCTGGAAACCAAAAGCAGATAGCGGAGCGATCACAGCTACTCTCGCCTTACCGGCCGAATTGCTGCATGCCAACCTCAATACTAATAGCGAACCGGCAGATTTATTATGAGAGCAGGCATTTGCCATTCCTAGAAAACGAATTTGTATTTGTCAACTGGTTCACGTCGGGGCTGTGGGCGGCCCGGTCATTTATGAAGGGGCTGCAGCCGTGGCAACTAACGATGCGGTACGCTCGCCTAGAGCTTCTATCGCGGGACCTCATGGGGCGGTCTTTAGAAGATTGGAGAGACCTGTGCGAGGCTTGGGCCCCTGGGCTGAAGGGGCTGAGACTAAAGATTCTAAGTGGTGGTGGAGGAGGAGGGACACCAGCAACAGGGGGGATGTCGTGGGTCGTAGCTGGCCCACCACAGAAAGGGGCTCCGACTGTAAGGATACGGGATTCGGATGGTAGGGCGTCAGGATGGATAGAGACTGGTTTGAAGCTTTTGAAAAGACTCCAACGCCTAGAAGTCGAGCTCTCTGTCGCTGATTGGGATGCTCGAGCAAAGTTGGAGTGGTGCCAAAATTTAGAGGAAGCCGTGAACGAATCGAAGGCAAACACAGAGCGTCATGTCCGAGTCTGTTGTGTAGAAAGGATAGCTCAGGAGGGAAGGAGGTTCGTGTGTCTATGAAGCCGGTTATGGTCTCTAAGGGGTTATCGCAAGGTCGCCTAGTCTTTATGGTCCCGTGCCTAGAAAGTTTGCCCATTAGGCGCCATTGCCCTCGGGTGGAAAGGTCGAGCAAGCAGACAGAAGCGGGCTTAGGATCCCCATGAGGCTGGGTATATAATCAGTCTAAGAGGAAAACTCATCATCGAACATAAGACTCAGGGGGGGGGATCGAGGTATACATACACATCACGGCAAACGATTTATTCATTGAAAAGAGGAATCGCATAGGTACTACCGTTGCATAATCTGTCGCATTCTATTGGCCATAATCATAGGGCGTGACTTAGGGGATGGAGGCTTCGATTAGAGGGGGGGGGGATAAGGGGTTATTTACTACATTAGGCGTACGTTCCTATCTGTCCTGCATTACTTATACCGTGCTGTGTACCTATATACGAACAAACGACACACTCACATGCACACTCGAATAGGCAATCGAACCTGCCTGCCATTGGTAGCTGCACAATAAATTTCGAGAGCCCACCGCCCACCTCGTTGCCTAAGGAGCAAGTCACGGGAGGTAACCTAACATAGCACGGGTCGTTTGCACACAACAACTTATTCAATAAGTTATTTTTTTCTTTAGCAGCGGGAGTTCTAGGGTCACGCCGTAAAGCCCTAATCATTGTGACTTTATTTCAACCGCCACGTCTATTTATTATTCGGATACGGTTCTAGTTTCATCGCACATCCGACAAAAGGACTGCAATACCTAATAACCATCACTCCTTTGTCCACGCTATCTCGATACGCGATACTCGATATTTGATACGCGATATTTGTTACTCTTCATACATTTCTTCGCGAGTCTTCACGAGTCTTCACTACTCACCATGTCGGTATGAACAAAGAAAAGAGTTGGCAAATAAGAAGCTTAATAACTAATGATGGTATTCTAATAGACCCAACCTACCGAGACAATGGGTTCATCTGTCGCAACCACCATCCCGACTGCTTGCGAGAGCAAGGGTGACGGCGGTGCAGAAGCCCCTTCCTACACTCTGGTCTATACCATTCTTTGCCTGCTCCCTGTTCTCTTTGTCGTGGTTGCTACCTACTTCCGTGACAGAGAGACCACGGCTCACGCGTTCCTGTTGAAGGGCCTTCGCATGTTTGCCATTAGATTTGGCTGCATCGTCATCGGCATCTTCTCCATGCCCATCCTCTGCCTCCACTACGTCGACAAGTACTAGGGTTCCTGGTCGACTATCATCTTCGGCCGCCGTCGCAACGCCGGAGATCTCGAAGGCGCTCAGGAGAATACCAACGACGTGAGCGACTTGGATCTTGACGATGATGACGATGACGACGCCGACCTTGAGATTGGCGCTCCGACCGACGACTTTAAGGCTGGCCAGTGTACCCCGAAGGAGGGAGTCGAGGTGGATGTTGACGCGATGGGCAAGCAGGTGAATGAGAAGCTGGCAGATATCAAAGATCAGCAGTGAATATGAGGGTTTTTGCAATGCTGTTACTAGGCCTTAATTGAGGAGGGAAAAGGGCAGGCATTAGGACGCGTTTGTGGCCTCCTATTAGGAAGGCAAATAATTGCCCAGGCGTTGAGTTTTTCCGCTTTGTTTTCTTTGATATAACAAGGGTGTGGTTCGTTGATTTAATACGATGACTGGCTGGCTGGTTGGCGGCAGGACGAGACGGAAGGCACATGTATTCACGACACTCGACTCTGACATGGATCGCCACACACTCTCGTGCTTTAATAATAGTTTCTCCCCGGAGAGGGATCACGGTTCTCTGGTTTTCCTACTCTTCTGAGAGGTTGCCTTTCTACTGTTGACCTTTCCCCCAAGGGTTATGGCTGGCTGGTTGAATCACATTTGCGTTGCGAAGGTACGGTTGTTGCTCGGTTCTAAAACTCTAGGACTGTTTTTTTTTGGTAGTTAGGAGGCAGATGGATTAATAGTACGGAAAAGAGATCTATTTCTCGCCAAGCCTGATTCCACGATGGATGGTGTCCAGTGTTAATTAATTATGCTAAGTGCAGTATTAAGGCACGTATAAAGCCTGCGTGATTTGGACTTGACTGGTATGGTATGTATGTGGTGCCTAACCCAACCCTTTCCCTAAACGAAATATGTCCCAGTAAATAACTGCTTGCCAGCCGAGTATTAATTAATTTTTGGGTATTAAGAGATGACCCTGCCTTTGCCTCAGATAGACTATACCACCTATTTCCAAACACCGCGTCCATTCATATCCTCGTTATTCCCATCCGTTATATGTATCAGACCATCTAATCTAGTACATATCTACACACGGGGTGTTCTCTCTTTCCCACGAATCCCCCAGATAAAACAAATGTCAGCATAATCATACCTTCCCAGCTAAATACAATATATTCTCCCGGACCTCTTCTGTCAGCTCGGCCTGCCCCGTATACACATATTGTACTGTCTGGTGCCACGCTTCGGCATGAGGCATGGGCAGATATACGACATCGCCTTCGCGGACGTGGCCGGAGGTTAGTAGCGCCGCCACGACAGGTAAGTATGCCCGAGCATACGGTAGGTCTGAGATGTGCTTGTTAGTGATGGTCTATACTTGGACATGTCTTAAGCGCGTCTACTTACGCATTGGTATAGCCCTCGCGTCTCTTATCAAGCTCTCGAGGTCCAAGGTGTTTGCGTCGGAACGTAGTAGAGCGCCCGACCGCACGGTACTTGATCGTCTGCGACTGGACTGTGTGGGAACCGAGGCACTGCTCCGACTCGGGGAGCGTTGTCTGTCCGGGCCGCTGTTTGCTTGTATATGTGGAGGTGGATCGGGGATAGTAGCCCGGAGCTGATCGATATCGAAGTTGCGCTGAATCAGGAATGCTGGCCTATCTTGAGATTGAGGCCGGACTATGGCGCGAACTGTCAGTCGCTTATTTGGCGGTGCACCCGCCGGTGATTTTACGAATGCCGGGCTCGTCGGGGAACTACAACTATGTTGGCGTAGAGATCTGGCGATAATAAAGGCGTCGGCCATCTTTGAGTTGCCAAAATAGACGGGTCCCCAGACTCCAAGTTGGTCTCGGAGCCTTAATGCTGCATCTCTTCGCGGAGAACCCGGTGACATGGAGGTGTAGTCCGCATTATAGTAGCTGGGACTTCTAACTTGATATTCTGAGGGAGCCTCATGCATGGCTACTGGTATCGACCCATCTAGAGACAGCAGGCTTTCTCTCCGAGACGAGGCATCTGACGAAGCCGGTGTAAGTGCGCCATTGCCAATGTTCATCGACGGTAATATGCTGATCCTTTCGAGCCTTGCGACTAGGGGTGATGGCGAGTACTCGTCGATAGGAGTCAGGGGTGCCGAGCTCAGGGACGGCATCGTTCTGTGGTCAAGGCTGTTGACCAGGGCCCGATCTTGCCTTCTCATCGATCCATCATAAGATGCGGGATGGACTGGGTTGGGGCTTGGGAGGGTTGGGAGACTCTTGGGAGATATTGGCGACTGAGGCAGACCCACGCTGATGGGAGTTGGTCGAAGGATGGTCTTAGGCATGGCGTTAACGGCGCGGTGGCTATTAGTCCATATAGGTTCGAGACCCGGACGTCTCGAGATATTCACATCGCTTGTCATTGGGTATCGAGCGCAGGATCGAGATCATGCACTAGCTCAATTGGCTTAAATGCCTATTTGGAAGACTTACTCGAGGTTGGAAAAAGCAAAATGTATAGGTAGGGTAGGGTAGGGACATGATCAAGATGGCATCGCAAGAGTCGAATTTAAGAAATATATTTCTATGAATAGATAAAGGACAAAGCCTCTTTTGTGAGATCTTCTTTCTACATGATGGGGGGGTCGGTGGGTGACAAACAGAGGAATCAAAGGAAGAAGACAATACAGTAATTGTCATTGCGTTGCGCCAAGCCGTAGAACAATACAGCTTCCCGGAGGGATTTCCAATCTTGTGACAAAGGAGAAAGAAATCCCACCGGGCTGAGATGGCAAGTGAGCTGTAATACGGGTACGAATCGTAAGAGAATAAAGGAAACCCGGAGGCTGTTGTCATCTGCTTAGGGTTTTTACATGAAGAATCGGGTATAACAGCCCGGCGGGGAGAAGAAGAGGGTTCGGGTGGTTTCTGCTGACCGAGCCTTACAACAAAGAGATCTCTGCATTGTCACACTTCACATGACTACGAGTATTTGCATTTGGTGTTTGTATTTCGGCAAAGCTGCTTACAATAGGCCGATCAAATGTTGTTGATCTGTTGGCCTGTTGACGATGTGGGAGTTGAAAGGAATATATATGTTATTCATATATGCATACCTAACCTAGGTACGGAATACATGAATATAAGTACATCGTTTAAGTACCTAGTTAATATTCAACTTTTGATTGATTACCTCATACATACCTAGGTAAGCTTAAAGCTTAGCTGCAGAGCCGCCAAGCTAAACTGGAGCTGTGATCTCATAGCACAACCCGCTAATGACCCACTCAACTTAATCGAACTCTAATTTGTCCATTTCTGATCTTTGTAACTGTCAACCCTTAAAGCTACCTGGTACCTATTCTATTCTAAAGAACAACATAGCATATTTCGAGTTGACATCTGTTCAAAAGGGCCACAATATATTTTATATCGTCACGATGCTAGTCGAGTCTTGATAGCACTCCCTAATCAATTTTATCAGACTGCACATATAACCGTAATTTACTCGAAGCAAGACAATATGAGTTCCAATGCGACCAGCTATAAGCAGATGAAGGAGGACTTCGTGTCCGGCCTATCAGGTGGCTCAGTCTCTGAAATCAATTATGTAACTGCAATAGGACCTGTACGTATGCAGCTAACAATGGACTTGCTGTCCGAGAAGTCCTGTAGCTAACCCGAGCTTTCCAACTAGATCGCCTTTGTCCTATGGTCCATTCTACAGTCTCGCCAGTCTTTCTTCAAGCCGTACAAGCCCCTAAGCTTTGTAGTCGATTTCCTCCTAAACGTAGTGGCCATTTTACTTGCGATAACACTCTACGCGGACAAGCCATTGCTTCTCTCCGGCCTGATCCTCGTCCCCGCCATATTCGTCTACGCCCTGCCCTCAAACCCTGCCGTGTCGAGAAAGAAGCCTAAACTCCCTCCCAATGCGCAAGCTCAGAAGTCGCCGGGCGCATTGGGCGTCCTGTCCACCAAGCCGTTCTTGACAACCTACCGGGGACTTATGATGATTACTACCTGCTTAGCGATTTTGGCGGTGGATTTCAGGATATTCCCCCGAAGATTTGCAAAGGTTGAGACGTGGGGCACCTCGCTGATGGACGTGGGCGTAGGCTCCTTTGTCTTCTCGGCGGGTATTGTTGCCGCGCGTCCAGTTCTTAAAGAGAGGGCGGAGGGTAGGACGACGCCGGTGCTCCAGAGGCTTCTATACGCGATGAGGCATTCGTTGCCTTTGCTAGTTCTCGGCGTCATTCGCCTTATAAGCGTCAAAGGTCTCGATTATGCCGAGCACGTAACTGAGTACGGCGTACACTGGAATTTCTTCTTCACCTTAGGCTTTCTTCCTCCGTTCGTCGCGCTTTTTCAGTCGGCGTTGAAGATAATCCCGTCCTATGCGGCCCTTGCAATTCTACTGGGTGTTATTTATCAGGCTGTGCTGGAGACCACAAGTCTGAAAGCGTTCATACTTATCGCGCCACGGACAGACATCATCTCTATGAATAAAGAAGGTATATGTAGCTTCTTTGGATACCTCGCCATCTTCTTGGCCGGTCAGGATACCGGTATGTACGTACTGCCCAGGAGTATCAACGCGCGTAGCGGAACCAGTAGCAGCACCCAGCGGACTACTCTGGTCCTAACTATGACTGTGTGGACGTCCATCTGGGCCATTCTGTACTTCTTAACGACGAGCTACAGTTACGGCGCGGGATTAGATGTGTCCCGGCGATTGGCTAATCTGCCCTATGTCCTATGGATCGCTGCATTTAACTCGTCCCAGTTACTAGCATGTTGCGCTATCGAGAGCGTATTCTTTCCGTCATTCTACAATGCTACAGACGCGAAGACAGAACAGGCGGCGTACGAGACGGCTACGAGCAGGGTGCTACGAGCATTTAATAGGAATGGGCTAGCAATCTTCTTGGCCGCGAATCTACTCACGGGACTGGTAAACATGACGGTGCCTACTTTGGATGTTGGGCCGAGTGTTGCTATGGGCATATTGGTAGGATATGCTGCGGTTCTTACGACACTTGCGGTTACGTTAGATGCTTGGAACATCTCTATTAAGCTATGAGTATAGATAATGGACCGAGATTTTGGACTTCTCTATCTACTGACATCATCCCGATAACTAAAGACAACACAGTTCCCATGCCATTGTGTTAATTTCTTCTTGTACGGTAAGAGATAGCCGCTTACCTCGAATATATGTAAAGGGGTAGAAGGTAAAAAACAATTCCAGGTGTCGTTCGGCAGATGAAAGAACTACAAAGAGGTCATTTCGTTCCGATAAGAGACTTGTTGTTAAGGAGTCATTTAATGCTATATTAAAAGACCCCGGGTTCAACACTCGGCTACCGTGTGCATATGTCTAGGTACCTAACTCACACCTCATCTCGATCTCATGAGAGCTTAAAGGCTCGTAATAAAATGCCACTAAGTCGGGTGGTGCTGTTGTACCTTTTCGCCTTCCAAAAGCTTCGTGGTGTGTATAGACTTATGTATGGCCGTAAAGAGCACGTTAAAGAGCAAGTCTTTCCGACCTAATTTCTCTCTTTTGTCTTGGTTTCTTGAAGAACCCTTAATGCACTAACTAGTTAGGACGATAGTAACTACGCAAATTTATACCTATTTGAAGCTATTTATACATCTACTGTGCTTAATTAATATTTGAGTCTCTCTAATAAGAATGACCAAGTCTGCAGGACTGTTAACTCATTCTTGAATTACTAATATGATTCTCCCCAATTACTTGCTGGACGAATTACTTCATATTTCACATAGTAATCCATCTGTTTACAATGGCAAATGTCTGATAAGCCAGAATGTTAGTGGTGTCACAAAACGGCAGCGTGATCTTGCAACGAATTTGCTTCCGCCGTCGGATTATCTGCATAGTCCCACCGGTTCTGCTACACATTGATAGCTTGCCCTCGAAATTCATTCGATGGAACCCGAAACCTCAATTCCGGGTTATACTGTATCGGTTCGGTTGAATTTTCCGGAATATGCACGTATATATTGAGACTTAATTAAGTACTAAAGATCAACGTTTGTATGAATGTGTTTTTTTTTGTAGGATTCTCTTTTTAATTGGTCGAAAATTGTAATTATAAGGATGGATTTCCTTTTGACCAATTCGATTTGAAAACAAGTTTGTTCAAGTTGGGCTATTCTGCTTTGTGGTTGTACGTACGAAGCACTAGGTTAAGGCTTTGTGTTCCCAGAATGTCTCATGCATTGGAGGACTGTTATTAGAATGGCTTCACTGGCCGTATTGAACGACGGGAGAGTCGAATGAGCCTGGGTCGATGACGACGATCTTCGTGGGTGAAGTCCGAGCTCTTTGAGACCCGGACTAACCGACCCTTTTCTCGGCTAACCGCCTGTTAGACCATGTTCTGAAAGTTAATAAACCCTCAATTATTCCTCTGACCCCTGCTCGCATCCATGAAAGGTCATCTCCGATATTAATGCAAGAAGATCTGATCTTCTCAGCCTGTCGAGGAGTGGAGCCTGTCATCTGCCGTAGTCGAGAGCTAGAGAGGAAGAACATTTGTATGTATTTATCTGGGCGTGATATGGGAATTGGAGGATATGGTTATTTGATGATATGTCGAACTGTCTTTCTTACCATTGGGTTTAACGTCTCAGCCTTACTAGGGCTAGATTAAAAAGAGGCAGCTCTTTCGGCTCCCGAGCGTACGATCGTCGAGAAGTCTCGTTTGTTATGGCCGCAACATTCACGACCACCACAAACAATGAGTTGTTCAAACTAGAGCTAGCCATAATCGCGACCGCGTCGCAAGTATCAACGAACCAGACAATACGCAGCTAACTGCAAAGAGAATATCAAGCAGAAAACATTACCTAGGTAGTTATCGCAATGCATAATGATTGATACTGGCCCGAAATTAGTACGAAGCGCTACCACCAAATACAACGAAAGAAGATGAGAATAAGCTAGTTAGATAGAAGGCCGTATTTTGTATTCTATGATATGATGATGATCAACCTTTGTCTTTCGAGGGCGGGTAGGATGAAAGAAGCGATAGGTATGTACCTAGGTATGTAGCTTACAGCTTTTAGGTACAGCTTTACATAAAAAGGTACAAACATATAGGTACCTAGTGTACCTAATAGAGCTACATGTCCATATTTTCTTATTTTAGAGCCCGGTATCCCTGCCGTTTCAGATTGCCCGTTGCGTTTCTACGTTTCTACGTTTCTAACTCTCTTAACTAATCGGGATTCGGACCTAAGAATCGATAAACAAATTCGAGGGTAAGCCACTTTCTTTATCTCGAAGCCGCTATGTCTTGCATGATTCGTACCCTTATGTTAGTAGGGAAGTTGTTTCTATGCGCTGTTACTTACATAATGGAGATCAACCATGAAAATTTAAAAGTCGGAACTTGAAGAAGATCAATGTTAAATACCTACTAGCATTAACTACTAACCTACAGTAATAGTATAACCATTGCTTCCTAACTTGCAGTTCATATACCTACCTACCTACCTACCTACCTACCTACCTACCTACCTATGCATTAGATGTCTAAAATACTGTCTCTTCAAAACTACTGGCTTGCCCAAGTATTTCGGTGAATGTAGCCGTAACTAATGGCTCGTTACATGATAAGATACATACCTGGCAGCCCTGGATAGGTACACTACTATAAGGTCCCATAATTGTAAACTGTATTGTACCTGCATGAAAATGGTGAATTATCGTCATTACATTTCGTTGTCGCTTAAGCATTATTAACCTAGAGACTTCTAAAGGTGGTTATTGACTTACTTACCCCGTCGTGTTCGTTGCCTGATATGGTTAGTCCCCTGTAAGTTTGTACCACCACGTTCCCGTATCGCATTGGTAGCCCGCCCACTTATCGCCATTTAGGGACTAGCGTACCATCCTAATAGAGCAGGTTATTCAGGTTGTTTCCTTGGCCGGGTAGAAACACGCCCAAAAACAGAACGCGTCCCCCAAGTTAGGACCAGTTAGCGCAGTAATTGGTGCTATGCAGTGCTATGCAGTGCTATGCAGTACCTGAGGTAATATGTATGGTACGGTACCGTCCTGTGTGACAGGACCCTCCCCTCCCCCCCTTGCTGGCGTCTCCATCTGACCATCTTCTAATTTCCCTCTCAAGGATTGTCAAGGACATCCCTACTTGCGGTCCCTAGCAAGTCCCTAGCAAGTCCCTAGGAAGCCCCCAATTTGATGTTCGTCTCTCTTGAAAAGTTATGGTTTGGTTATAGCCAAGGTTGGTTTGCTTCTCCTCCCTCTTTCACGTCGCCCATCACGTCGTCCATTTGGCCTGCCTTTATCCAGGCGAGGCTTTTCAAATTCATCGCGCAGTTCTAAGTGAACGAATGCAAAAGTAATTGGGAGACGGTGTATTGCATAAACGCACCTCAAGCTCTCTACAACCTTTCTCTCCTTTAACCCACCCCCCAATTTTCATTGCCCTCTAATCCTTTTATTATTATTATTATTATTTTATTTTGTCTTGTCTTGTCTTGTCTTGTCCTCCGGTCATTAACCCCCCTAAATCGCACGCGTCCACCCATTCCTGTTACATAGTAGAGGGTACATTAGCCAACAGTCCTACAACTCAATTGACAAGCAGGCCTAGCGATTAAATTCGGTTCAGCGCCGGCGAAGAAGATATAGGCTTAGTCTCGCCTACCTTTACTTTACCTACCTTACCTATGTGGAGTGCGAGGAATCAACCTCTACTTTAATTCAAACCTACCATTGTCGAATTGATACGCCAGAGCGAAACATCCGTACATCTGTTTTAGTTCCGACCTCGATTTTATCGGACCTAGGACCAGCTGTGTATGTTTTCCAAGAATAACCGAGCTCGAAACTAAATTTCTTTGGAGAAAATTCCATCAGAAGATAGCGCCATAGCGCCAATTCATCTTTTATTTACCTCTGGTTAAATATCAACAATACCGACTCTTAGAGTAGGGCGTCGCGGAATTATTAACCCTCCCTGCCCCTCCTTAGTAACGTCGAGTACTCGAAAAAAGGGAGAAAAGAAACTGAAGATTACTGGTGCTCAAAGCTGCAACCCGCATCTGCATGTGCATCTAAGCCTCCCCTTTAAATTGGTCGGTACAAGGACAGAACAAAAGAATTACCACCACAATACCTACCTAGCATTCGAACGAATAATAGTAGGTATTGACAAGGCTCACAAGCTGTATCTCAGCTGAGATTATCTTACGATACGCTCAAATCGTGGCATCCTACACAACGTTGGCCCACTATCTTCTACAGCACTACAGCTTAACAACCTGATCTGCTTGTTTGATAAGAAACTGGTAAGGGAAATCCGAATCGCCGATCAGCTGCTTTATCCACGCGGAACGTTATTCAAACGAGATAGCACCTCACTGTAACGCACAATATCAATCTGAACTGGCTCATTGGAGGATCAAACGAACCAGCAGCCCTTTGGATTTTTTTTTTCTAAAAAATTCCAAGCGCGTGCAGGTGTTTCTATATTTTCCCCATAGCCTCTTTTTCTTCCCCCTCCCCCTTTATTAGCAATACCTTCACCGACACTCGAACCCATCCGAAATAGAAGAGAACGGCAGTTTGCTTATTTTCAATTCTTTGTTATAGACATTATCCACCCAAGACTGCAACTCAGCAGCTGACAACTAGCCTACGCGTTGTCGCGTAGAAGATGTCTTCTGCTGCATTGCAGTCAGCTCATCAGCCCGCCGCTATACCTGCTCTAAATACACCGTCCCCAGCTGCCGCCTCATCCAACCGTCAGTCTCCTAGCCGTGACGGTCGATATGCTAGCCGCGAAAACGCGAACGCCTCCCCTGCATCTTCAAGACGTCCATCCCGACGACCGAGCGGAAACAGCGCGAACGCGACGAGTCCAATCCCGACCTATCAGGACCAAGCACAATCATCCCCGATGACATCAAGGTCAGCGCTGGCCTCGCCGGTACCCGTAGCAGGTACTCCGGTCGAGTATGAAAGGTCATCTTCGAATCGACGAAGAAACGAACCCCCAGTTGCTCCTCCGCGAACATCATCTACGCAACAAGGATCATCTGCCGCAGCAAACCCCCGAAGGGCGGCCCGTGCTGAAGAGCGAGCAGCAAACTCCCCAAGACGAACAGGAGATAGCAGCAGCAGAACGGGCGTAAGCGGACAGTCGGACTCGACACGACCAGGATATGACGACCCGAACTCCCGAAGTCGAAAAGCAGCATCTCAACATCTCATGCAGGAACCTGCTCAGAGACCGAGTAGTAATAGGGATCACAGACAGACCGTGACGACTACGATGCCTGTCAGATCTGCTACGAACGCTTCCTCGAAGCAGCCGTCTCGGGAAGCCAGTGAAGTACTTAATCGCGTTATCGTGTCTCAGCCCGAGGATGATATTGAGAGGGAACAAGAGCGCCTAAATGAGGCCCAAGCCCAGTCCGGACACCCAGTTGCCGATGAGGATAGCCAAGCTATCATGGCCGCAAACGACGCACCCGAAGAGACCCGCCGCGGCGGTCGAAGTCGCCATGACCATTCTAAGCGCGAAAAAGGATCAAAATTTGGAGATTATTATCTAGGAAACGTAATCGGAGAAGGCGAATTTGGCAAAGTGAAACTCGGCTGGAAGCAAGATGGAGGCGTCCAAGTGAGTCGAGTCTTCGTTCTTCTCTGCAGAGTTCAAACTAATAGCCATTCTTAGGTCGCTATTAAACTCATACGCCGAGATAGCGTGGGAAACAACCCGTCCCGGCTAGCGAAGATATATCGAGAAGTGGCCATTTTACGTGGAATCTCGCATCCTAATATCGTTAGATTACATGAGATGTCGGAAACGGAGCGTCATATCGGAATAGTCCTCGAGTACGCTTCTGGTGGCGAGCTTTTTGACTACATCCTCAACCACAGATTCTTGAAGGACGGCCCTGCTCGAAGACTCTTCGCCCAACTTATATCGGGAGTCGGATATCTTCACAAGAAAGGAATCGTCCATCGAGACTTGAAGCTAGAGAATCTACTTCTTGACCGAAACCGTAATATTATCATCACCGACTTCGGATTCGCCAATACTTTCGACCCAGCGGATGAACTGACAGAAGATGAAGAGTTGAATCTATCCGACCGTGATTTTGTTAAGCGCATTGGTCTAGATAAGACAAAACCGAACGGGATGCGTAGAGGTGATCTGATGCAAACAAGTTGCGGAAGTCCCTGTTACGCAGCACCCGAACTAGTTGTCAGCGACTCGCTCTATACCGGCCGGAAAGTCGACGTATGGAGCTGCGGAGTTATCTTGGTAAGTTGAAGCTATTTCACACGCGGCTTGCTGGTGTCTCTTTATTTGCTTACAATGTTTAGTATGCTATGCTCGCGGGATATCTACCTTTTGATGACGATCCCGCCAATCCCGAAGGTGACAACATCAATCTTCTCTATAAGTACATCGTAAACACTCCGCTCACTTTCCCGGAATATGTTACTCCTCACGCGCGAGATCTGTTACGTCGCATACTTGTTCCAAGCCCGCGAAAGCGCGCGGACCTATTTGAGGTGGCTCGGCATAGTTGGCTGAGTGAATATGCGCACGTTGTTGAATTCATCACCAGTAGTACAACTACAAGCAGCGAGATTCAAAACACGACCGTGCCAACCGAAGATGAGGATGTTGGAAATTTGGCAAGGAGCGCATCTGTTAGAGAAGCGACGAAAATTAAACCATCTAATGCAGCTCCAAGTGATCCGGCGCGGAAGCAGGGCAAAGCCGATGCAGAAGAGCAAACGTACGGCAAGCAGAAGGATAATAAGCGACGAACTGTACAGGTGGAGTATGTGGCTCCTGTAACTCAGACACAGAGAGGGGGTGAACAGTCGGATATACATGCGTCGCCGCGCGGAAAGACTCGGGCTCGGTCTTCCAGCCAAGGTCCAGTCGAGGTACATCCTTCGCCTGCCGACAAGCCCCTACCAAGAGACCCACCGGTCTCGAGGGACGACTATGCCACACCGTCTCGAGACTCTCGAAAGCCGCCGAGCACGTACCGGCGGGATGCGCCGCCGCCGAGGACGAACGTACCCCGTACCGCGTCCGATCATGCTTACATGAGCACTGCTGCCGCCGGCACATCGGCTACGAGGCCTACTACTGGAGGCTCGATGCAATCGACAGCCTCCAGACTAGCCTCATCTACACGAGGATCGTACGGTCAACCACTACCCCCAGCCGTTGCCGGTACTAACGCTCATGGAAGTATACAACAACCTAAAGGTTCTAAGAACTACGCTATCTCGAACCCGATCCCTCAAGAAGCGCCCGATATGGATTTCGGTCGACCTAGCATCAGCGTACCTTCGAAATTCGCGCAGGTTTCGGGCTTTACTCAAGGGCAGCAGCAGTCGGGATGCGAAGCCAAAGGCCACCGCAGATCTAACACTATCGGCGAAATCGGAGGTAAGATCTTCGGTCGCAGTGGGTCGATCTTTGGAGGTCGCAAGAAGCGTTCGGATCAAGGGGACAAGTCATCCAGGAAGTATCCCCCGATCAGTATGGCGAACGCGGTGCCTGGCGACTCGAGGACTTCTATGGAATCTCGTGCTTCTCGAAGATCCTTTTCTTTGGGACTCGGTAGGAAGCGAAGTGGTAGCATCTCCGGGTCTCAAGCGTCACTCGAGAAGCCTCAGAACCGCCGCTTCTCTCTAATGAGGGCGATAGGCTTAAGCAAGGAACCTTCGACACCGCCCCCTGAGGCTTCGCAGCAAGATCTACCGATTCAGGAGCCCCCCGAGGTTGACGAATATAATCAATATGTTGATCCGCAGCACAGCTACTCTAACGCCGGACAACGGTACGGAGATGGAACATATGAGCCTCTACAGTCACCACGGTTAGAGACGGTTCGAGGAGACCCGAATGCTAGTCCTGTTCAATCGGGATTCCCGTCCAATACGAGACCTACGGCAATTCCTTCCTATTTGCAGCAGGGTGCGGTCCTAAACTCAGAGTCCGAATCGACAATTGAACAACCACAGCGAAAGCCACAACACCCATCCCCTTACCAGGTCGGTTACGACACCGACCAATATGATGGGCGCCAGGGTGCGCGTGGAAGTGGAAGAGGCGTCTTACAGAAGAATAGGAGATTTGTGGACGCCTACGACGGCGAGGAATACGGAAGACCTCACGACCATGCTGGCAGTAGCGGCGCGGCGAAGAGAGTGATGGACTTTTTTAGGAGGCGGGGCCGAGCACGAGGAGGCGAACCTTAAAGAGTCCCCGGGCATTTTCAAATAGGACGCATCCAGTCGCTAAGAGAAGTCTATTGTCGACTCGAACAGAGGACTTTGGAGGTGCACTGGTGCGCCCAGACGACATCAAAATTGCTTCTAGAATCTTTGGAATGCCAATGATACCTTGTTTTTTCGCCGATGCCTATATCCTACATTACCTACCTTGTAATACGAGAAACGCAACCCTTTTCAGAAACAAATCTTAATATTCTATCCGTCGAGACATGACACGGATCGCGGACCGCTAGGAAAGACAAAGGGGGAGCCAGCGAAGTGGCCCCCCTCGGGTGTAGTTGGCAGCCAGCCTCACAAATTTGGAAGACAGATGACGCCGCGAGGGACTGATATTTGATGATTCGGAGTCTTACTATACCACACATTCCCACTCCTCTCTACTCGGCAAGAGCAAACAAGCAAGCGAACACACACGCATACACAATCACATACAAATCATAATCATGGGCTGGGAGTTGGACGGCGTGCGTACCTTATGTATGTAGATGGGGGGGGCTCTCCCGGTTTTTATGTTGAGCGCGCTTCTTTGCAGTCGTTCGTACACTCGCAGCAGCAAAGCTGCAGAGTATCTTTTTCATCTATTAGCATCTGAATCAGACGGTTCCTGTCTAGCATCGCGCAATGTGTCTAAGTGACGTGACGTGAGGTTTGATTTGAATGCTTCAGGGTATATTGTAGAGGAAGACTGTGCGGTGTAAAGGCGAGATAAATGGGAATTGAAAGAGATGAAATTGTGATACCGAAGAGGATAATAAGAGTAAGTTGAGCAGTGAAGATAAATGTTATACACTTGTAACTTGTAACCTGTAACTTGTAATAATAATACGGTCCGTGGTGTTGGCGTCCTTGCGCATCAGATTTATATTTCCCTCATAGAGTAAGATATTCATTGCGGAAGCTTCCAAGTTTCTAATATATTTAGATTTTTTAATACTACTTTGAGAGATGGAGATTAAGACGATAATATACAGTTGAGGTCTTTCTTCTTTTCCTCCTAATGTTGAACTTGCCGGGTAGGGAAATGGTCATAATTAGAAGTAACTCGGTGTTTTCTAATAGTTAAAGGGGTAATATACCGTAGCTGGCCTACCATAGCTGGCCTACCATTGTAGGAAGTTGAAAGTGGTATTAAATTCCTAGGCTGCTTAGACCTCTAACCTTAGGTAGTTAGATACCTACATCTAAGATAAGAATTTTCGCTATATCAATGCCTTATTCTTGGTGCTTCAACAAAGTACAAAGTCGTGCTATAGACAATTCTAATCTTATATTCTATAGTGACGTGGCCCATGTTACCACCAATGAAACTACCGTGACAAAGCAACCTAGTCGTCCTATCTTGGCTTGACGATGAGTTGTTCTTCTGCTAGTGTCATTCATATGCGTTCACGTTTCATACTTATTAAAGCTTGGTTCGTTGATACCTATCTTAGTTGAAGGTACTAACCTACATATCCTAGGTAGGTACTTACATACCTATATAGACTCGTAATAACAATAGTTCTTGTTTCCCTCATATGTAAATCTCTACGGGAAATATGCATGTATTGATACATAACTGCGGGGCAATGGCGACTCACCAACTCACCTTTTGTCAGGCAGCATCTCGACTTCGCGGTCGGTGATTCAGTGGCGCGTTTCGTCAGCAACGACACAGACCGTGATTTCTAGAAGTTTATTTAGATAGCTTACGTTATGGCCTCCTTGCATTACAGCCTTGGAGATGGTTGAGCTATCGAGGTCTCAATTTTCACTTTTCACTTTTCATTTTTTAATCTTCTAAATCATATCAAGTTTTCATTTCCATCTTCCCGAGTCTTCCGCATACCTCCAACGGATTTTATTTTCATTTTACAAGATGAACGAGATAGATCCTCTAGTTCTCTCATATTCGCATTTAGCGAATTTTCCCCGTGAGAAGGATGCCTTGCACACCCTGAAGAAAGTAGCTTCCTTAGTGAAGCCTCTTATGAGAGCGAGGGGATGGAAGATTGGTCAACTAATCGAGTTCTACCCAGAAGAACACAACCTCCTGGGTAGGTTGGAGCAGGACTACCGCTATATCCCAAAAATACTAATATTGTAACTGGCAGGCTTAAATGTAGATAGCGGGCGAAGGATTTGTCTTCGACTTCGATATGCCAACGATCGCAACCAATTTCTCCCCATCGAGCAAGTGGTTGATACAATGCTTCACGAGCTTGCACATAATGCCCACGGCCCGCATAACGCCAGATTCCATGCGTTGTGGAACCAGCTACGGGACGAGCACGAGGCGCTCGTAATGAAAGGATATAGCGGCGAAGGGTTTCTGTCGGCGGGTCATCGACTCGGCGGGAGGAGGATACCTCCAGAGGAAGCTCGTAGATTGGCTCGAGTAGCTGCTGAAAATCGCCGCACCGTCAACGCTGGATCTGGACAAAAGCTGGGCGGATTTGGGCCTCGACCGGGGCAGGATATCAGAAGAGTAATTATCGATGCGATCGAACGTCGTAATAACACGCTTCAAGGCTGCGCGAACGATAACCAAACACAAGACGAGATTCGGAGGATTTCTGACACAGCTACTAGAAATGGGTTCAGGACGCAGGCTGAAGAGGATGCGGCAAACGATACGGCGATAGCCCAAGCATTATGGGAACTTGTAGACGAAGAAGAAAGGGCCCAGAAAGGCGACAACTACATTTCACCCAGTTCTAGTAGACAAACTTGGACTAATGGCGGTGCTTCCGAGGCACCAAGAGTTCCTCCTCGCGAAGCTAGTCGCAACGTAGACAGAGGAACAGGGGGGCTTACCTGGACGTGCGATATCTGTACCCTCGAGAACCAAGCCAGTTTCTTATGTTGCGATGCATGTGGTACTGAACGAGACGAGAAGATTACCCAGAGCCTCGCACAAAGATGGACAAATCAACAACGGACGGTTATTGATCTTACCGAGTCCCCGCCACCAAGAAATCGGAATACACAAACACATCCCTTTAGACCAGGTTCAAGTTCAAGGCCAACCACGAGACCGGCTATGCCGCCGTACCAATCTGCGATTCCCGCAAAACCGGCGAACTGGACATGTTCATTCTGTGGACGAGTTAGAGAGCGGCAGTGGTGGTCTTGCGACATGTGTGGAGAGATCAAGCGAACATCGTGATAGAGCTGTGGTAAAGCATCTGGTAAGAGATTAGGACCTTCATGGATTTTCTGCTACCATTTGGCCATTTGGCTATTTGGCTTTGAAAGATATGTTTGTTTGTTTGCTCTAGGTTAGTTGACCTACATGTAAGTTATGTTAGTTATGATAAGGGAGAGCTTAGTTTATGACATCATTGGCTTGATTAATCTTATTTGTGTTTTCACATGTTGCACAGCCTCGATCGAATGGAGTTAGTTAATTAATCTGTTGCCTTCACGAAGTTTAGAATATTCATCTTCATCTAATAAACTCAATTTAGTTAGTCGACCGGATATAGAAGTGGAAATGGAAGTGGAGAAGAATCTTATACGCTTGCGGTAATTGATTATAATAGGTAAAGTTATGATATCATTAACTACACTGGACTTGCAGACTTGACTTTAGATTACCTTAGGTACCTATGTAATTATGTCAAGTAATGATTGATAGATATCTGGTAGAATTTACCTAAGGAGGTACCTGCAGCTTATAAGCCATATCTAACGTTAACGACGCAATATAACCTGACAGCCCGAGACATGACGGATACACGATGTAGTGTAAATACTAAATATTAAATACTACATTGCTTACTACTACTACTACTAGAACAAGGCAAACCGCTAATTCCACATAAGGCTGGACGACCCCAACAGCCGCATGCCGTTGCCATCGGTACCTTCAATGGTGTGAAGCACTTTCTCGGAAGATTATCGTCCCACGACGTCATTCTGGGGTCGGGTCCCGCGTGGCTTTGGCTGCCGTTGCAACAGGTGCTGATCGATCTACGCCAAGCTAAGTACCCAAGGTAGGTGTAAAAAGAATAACTATAAAAAAAAAGCAAACCCTGCACGATCCCTATAGAAATCTATGATGGCCGATTTCGATGTAACAGCAAGACGTTGCCCGTTGCCTGTTGCCGGTAGCCACCTCCGCGCTGTTGTGTAATACCTAGGTAAGTGGCTATGTAAGATTAAAGCTACCGAGATTTACTAAATCCTTCAGGACTACTGTATGGTATTCCTTGTGCATAGGTAGAGAATGGAGATATCCGATTATAGGCAGGTAACTTCATATAATTGGTGACTATTAAGGTTACTTAACCTCTTAGACGCGTATCACAACATGCGTACCTTTATCAGTTATCCAATTACAGTGCGAAACGCAACGGGTATACGAAATACAGCATGCACGTACAATACATACATAGGTAGGTACATTATGTACTGCCCGATTGCAGGTATAATTGGTAAGTACCTAGGTACTCGATACCATACTAGATGTAGATAGCTACTAGTGTGTCCTGCCATAAGGCCCTGGCCGGATTCCACTCCGGATTCCCAATTAGCGTAATGATCGTCGACTATTTAATCAGCTAAAGCAAGAACCCCCAATTGATTGACATTTGATAGTGAATTAGGTTGGTTGTGTTTTGAAAGCTTTGAATTAGGTATGCATAGGTAGGCAGTAAAGAGCTTACCTTAATACACCTTACATCTTGAGATCTATCTATCTATGTACATACATGGAGGTTACATATGTACCTAATGTACCTGACCTACATGGATATCGATGGAACATGTCTGGGTACCGAGATCCCGTTCGGCAACCCCCTCTAAAAACTAGGTTGTTCTTGTACGGCAGAAGCTTATGTAGAAGGGTCTAGGTTAACTGACAACGAACAAGCATTCCCCGTTATTTCCGTGGACATCTAACAATGTGGCAGTTCCAGTGGACAATTTGAACAACTTTAGGTAGTTACATAGGTATCTTAGGTATCTTAGGTATCTTAGGTATCTTAGGTATCTTAGGTATATGTAGGTTAGGTAGTATGTAGCTACTGTATTTTAGGTAGAGACTTCTATGTTAATGTATCTATCTTACCTAACCTATCTACGTAGGTACTCGGAAACCTTGTGATCCGAGGCGCATGCATCCGTCTAAAAAACGTATCGTCCAATGTCACACACCGACAATGGCCCATTCTTTTTTTTCACATCTAGACTCCAGCAAACTTAACCTAATTGAATTTCACACATTCTCCATGTACCATTCTCCATTCTGCATTCTGCATTCTGCATCCTGACCCGAATATCTTTCCTCTAATATGATAACCCCCCCTCTCTCCAATTCGGGCTGCCCTAATCTAACTTAGACGGACCACGGTGCAGCCTCACTTGCTCGCTTCCTCGCTTACACTTCATATCTCCATATCTCCAACGTCCAAATACATCCAAATACAGCGTGTGGAAGTTAGCGGGTTTCACAATCCTCTTAAGGAAGTAAACGTAACCCTTCCTTAGTGTCACCGAACGCTCGAGGCCCTCTGCCATATATTCCTCTTCTGATAGTTCTTGTTGGTGTACTTGCCGGCGTCCATTGGTTCCTGCAACAGCTTTTCTAAAAGGGAAAAAAAAAGAAGGAAGAAAAGAAGGAAGAAAAAAAGGGAAAAAAGAATAAAACGCAAAACCAGTGCTCCTAAGAGTACCTACCTATTTTACTTCGCCCCTTGCGTAAGGACTTCGCGAATGTTGCAGCTCGATTCATGGCCACCAACCGGTAGAACCTTACTAACTCGTCCGCCTGATTCACCGATCGACCGTGTATTGTAGCTCATGGGCCTTCTTCTATCCGTGCCCTCTGCTTCGGCGATATGACGCCTCTAGATGCCTTGAGCACCCCGAGTTCCATGCCCATATCTATGATCCCGGAATCTTCCTCTCCTCCAGAGATCATCCCGTTCCCGAATCGGACCCCGGACGACAACTACCAACCGCCGGCCTGCTCAATCGAGCAGCCCTATTTCTCTTGGGATGGCGACCCTCTCTCCGTTAGTACCGATCATGTGTTGCGAGATACCCCCAACATATCGCCGATAAAGGAAAAGCGATCCGCCTCAGCTAGTCCTCTGAGACTGACGATGCCCTTCATAACGCCTGGCCAGCTCGCCTTCTCCGCCATGCAATTTTTACCCGTGCCTCTGCTGGTCCTAAACAACCTGAAGACCGTCGTCCTAGCAAACGAAGCTATGGGAAAGATGTTAGGCATGGTGGGCGACTCGCCTCCGCCGATGGACGACCCGGCCGTAATTTCCGAGTCCCTCCGCGGACAGACCCTCTCGCAGATCGGAATCGATATGGTGCAGGATGGTAGACCGGTCTGGGTTTCGTGGGAGTATTTCTTGGATGAATTAATATTCGAGATGGGCGCGAGGCAGGCGGCGGGAGGCTCGGCATCGTGCACTAATCATGCCAATGGAGAGGCCACAGGTACGATAGACGGTGCGAAAGTAGAACCATCCGGTGGCATTCTGGGCAAGCCGGCAACAGATTCTGTTGTTGATGTTGTGGTGCTTCCCAGGAGTTTAAACATATCTGAAATGTCAAAATCGAAGCGAGCTGAGCTTCAGACATACGCCAAAATGATAATTACGATATGGGAGATTGAAAACCACCAGACCTACTATACTCTGACCTTCACCAATACTGGCTCGGGACCATCGCCTATCCCCAGTAAACGAGTTCGTATCGCCCGACATTCTACACTCGAGGCCGCGGAGCGTAAATCCATCCTAAATTCCTACCCCCCTTCTCTCGGCTCTGGCCACTCTTCTAGCTCTCCTTCATTCACCAATAGTCCTAGCTCAGTCTCGGTCTCGGCAGGCCTGTTTCCACCTATGGGGCCCCCATCCCGCCTGCCTCCGTCAAGCACTCCGTCGTTTCTCCAGAAGATGACTGTTATTAAGGATGCGCTTCTCGATAAGACCGAAACACCGATACTTTCTATGTGGGTGGATGGTAGTGCCCCAGTCATGAATAGAGCAGCCCGAAATCTCTTCGTGACCGTCACCGGAGAGGAGTGTGTCGATGGCTACGATTTGCTGTCTCGGTGGGAGGTTTGGGACGCAGACTTTACAAGAAAGTATACCCCGTCTGAGTTTCCCATTGCAGTACTTTTACGAGATCGAAAGCCGTTTTCTGCGTGGAGAATCGGCATGCAGGACAGGACGAACGAAACTAGAATTATATATGATGTGCTGGGCGAACTGATTACTAGCGACGAGACTGGAGAAGTCATTGCTGGTATTATAACCTGCCGAGACGTAACTCATCTAGCCCAGGAGATCACGGATATAAAGGTCGCGGACGAGGAAAGGTTCAAATTAATATGCGACACCATGCCTCAAATGGTCTGGACAGCTACAGCCAACGGAGTACATGATTTCTTTAACAACCGCTGGTACGATTATACGGGTCTGTCGGTTGAAGACTCTGTAGGTGGCGGTTGGAAGAATCCGTTCCACCCCGACGATATGCCTAACACATGGAAACGATGGGAGCGTAGCCTAGTTACGGGGGAAGCTTATGCTACCGAATATCGATGTCGTAGCAAGGATGGTGAGTGGAGGTGGATGCTAGGACGTGCGTTGCCGCTGAGAAATAAGCGCACAGGTCAGATCGAAAAATGGTTTGGGACTTGTACAGATGTTCACGAGGCCCTGGAAGCGAAGATGGCCGCGAAGCAAACTAGAGCGCAGCTTCTTAGCGTTCTTACGCATGCTCAGACAACGATCTTCTCTGTAGATCTCAACCTCAAGCTGACAATGTTGGAGGGTGCGGTGTCTTGGATCTCAGGAAAGGACGACACGGCAAGCAATGATGCTGACCAGCTTGATCCGCCGACATATGTTGGAAAAAATATCGAGGAGGTGTTTATCAACCTAAACCCGCGCCTACTTCCGAGCGAGTTTTCTGCATTCCTCGAACCCGTAAGACGTATATTGTCTGGTGAGCTGACAACAGAGACCGTACACGAACACAAACTAGGTAGGTACCTATCTTGTGTGTACGATCAGTATATGAGTTTGCTAATAAGCGTTCAGATGACCGGTTTTACCGCACTAGGTTTCTGCCTCGCGTCGAGAGAACCTCGCAGGATGGTCGGACTAGCAAAACAGATATTAAAGGCGCTATTGGCGTCATTATGGACGTTACCGAACTAAAAAAGCGAGAGCAAGATCTTGAAGAGCAGGTCAAAGAGAAGAGACAACTCAAAGCCAACGAAGCAGCAGCCAAAGAAGCGAGCCGTCTGAAGAGCCAATTCTTGGCAAATGTAGGTGGTGTCTTATATTTTCGGCGATCTCCGAAGTGCTGACATGCGATTAGATGTCTCACGAAATTCGAACACCGATTACCGGCGTGATAGGGATGGCTGAGCTTCTTCTAGACTCGCCTCTGGACGAAGAACAGCGGGAATACGCAGAGAACCTGAGCCGGTCCGCGAATGCCTTATTAACCGTAATCAACGACATTTTGGATTTCTCCAAAGTCGAGTCTGGCCGCCTTGACATCGAAGAAGTCCAGTTCTCCCTCTCCGTGGTAGTGCAAGATGTCTCCAAGATGCTGAGCTTCGCAGCTGGGAGGAAGAATCTGGATTTTCGCTCTGATATATCAAGCGACATCGAGAACGACCTCGTTGTTCTTGGTGATCCCGGCCGCGTCCGGCAGATCATTACGAATCTACTTACTAACAGCATCAAGTTCACCAACGGTGGTTACGTTAAATTCTCAGTATGGAAAGAAAAAGAAACAAACGACACAATCGAGATAAAATTCGTCATTGAGGACACTGGTATCGGAATCGAAGAAGATGTCCTGAAACGTCTATTCCAGCCATTTAGCCAAGGAGACCCCTCTACGGCTAGGAAATTTGGAGGGACAGGGCTAGGATTGACGATCTCGAAGAATCTGGTCGATCTAATGCGTGGAAGGATCACGCTAGAATCTACGATCGGCAATGGCACCACTGCGACATTCTGGATACCATTTAACAAACCGCAGACTCCGCAGAGGGATGCGCTTGTCGATATTGGTCGCCTACCCGAGCGACTACAGTCTGAGATGAGCGTTTCGTGTAATAGTTCGGAACATGAGCATTTCTTAGGAACGACGTCGGCAGACTTATTGCAGGGCACGCTGGATAAGCCCAGACGGCTTCGAAAGAGACCTAACTTATTAGCGCCGTTCGCTTTCGAAAGCGAAGACCTCCCTAGATCCGAACGTGCCAAGGTGCAAATCCTTGTTGTCGAGGACAAGTGAGTTTCAAAGTTTGAGATTGGCTAACAGGTTTATTCTTTTCTAATACGGTGTTATCTAGCGCGGTCAACCAACAGATCGCAACCAAGACTATCAAGAAGCTTGGCTTCAACGTTTGCGCGGCTTGGAATGGTAAGGAGGCGCTTGATTATCTCGAGGCGTGCAGGGAGGGAAGGTTCGCTAAGCCAGATATCATTCTGATGGACGTACAGATGCCCGTGATCGACGGGTATAAGTGTACGCACATCCTGCGGCACCACGTACCATACAAGAGCTACACTAACGATGTGCCGATCGTGGCCATGACTGCCTCGGCGATACAAGGGGACAGAGAAAAGTGCACGAAAGCCGGTATGGATGACTACCTGTCTAAGCCCGTGAAGAGCAATATACTTGAAAGGATGTTAGTGAGGTGGAGCAAATCCCGCCGCAAGGTAGAGTTGTTGTCATCTTCCTCGGCTGACCTGTCTACTTCGGACTGTTCGGATTCTGCGGGTGGATGTATCAGCGCCGACATACCTACATTAGCCACGTATGGCTTCTCCAGTCAAAATCCTAAAACGCCGGAGGAGTATCCAGAGCATGGCGATCCAGATGGCGCTGGGGAAGACGACCGCACAACCCTACTAACACCGAGACCGATCAACGCGCGAATGGGCTCGCACGAGACAAACACATTCCCCTTTGGGATCTCTAAGCCATCTAGGCAACTTAACAGTGATGAGCTAGCTATGCAGCTGCGAGATGATAAGCTCATCGATGCCGCAGATGATAGCAACGGCAAGAACACGGCAGGACAGCCGCCCATATCACACTCATTCCCCGAGGGCGACTCGTTGACGGAAGAGAACGTACAGAAACTTGAGAAGGTGGGCGCGAGAAGCTCACCCGTTAGGGAGATATACGATTTTGAAGAGACGCCGACGTGAGCGTAATGAAATAACAGGTCGATTTTGCTACATTCCCACTCACATATACGATGAGAGCTTGGGTTTTAGGTTAGGGCTTCAAGCCTCTAATTCGAGATAATCAGATTTGTCTAGGGAGCTAATACACGGTTCTGCACGCTCCCTGGTATCTTTTCCGCGGTCGGCGTTAAAAGAGGAACAGGACTGGGCTGGATAGGCTGGGGATGGGTGTTGGCACGGGGGCGGTAATGACGCATTTCACTTCGGAGGGATAAGCTCCCCGGCTTGGGTAGGCGTTGGTGGATGAGACAGGTCTACTGTGGGCAAAAAGGCGTGCATATCGGCTGCTTCAACGGACTTTTATGCATTGGGGTTGAATGATCTACTTAGCTTAATGTCTACATGTTACATGTAGCTAGTAACTTACTTACCTGAGGTACCCGTGCTATATGCGCACATAAGGGGCACCGTGTTAGTTATTTATGGTGTGTGGTGCGGTATGTCGATTTTGCCGTCTCCACGCGCCTCTTAGGGTAGAGTATCTAATAATTCACGATAGCTTCGCTTCGTAATAAATTAATATTCTACTATATCATTAGGGATTGCTGTGGTAAGCTACCTATTAACGAATACGATGGGTATTGACTTGTTTAAGTTAGAAGTAAATTAAAAACAATCGGTCACTTACATATATACAGAGGCACCTTGTTCACCTCTACCTTGAGTATCTAAGGTAGGAATATAGCTAGGTAGTTATCTCATCTATAAGGTATTTCAACAAAACGATGGACTTTTCTGTATTCGTATTCCTCGCTTGAAACGACGAGTAGGCGGTTATCTTTTCTAGCTCTTCCCTTCATAAATAAAATCCTGTCATTCCCCATGGCCCCACCAAGGATGTTTTCCTATGCCATGCCGTGTCCTTATTTATGTGCTTTAATATCATCTTTCTATTTCGATTCCCCATCTTCCGTGTTCTCGTCTACGAATAGCGGCTAAGTACCTAACTAGCAACCCAGGTAGGTATCTGACTCGAAGGTACATATAATAGGTAGCAAGAGAGCTATTCCATGTTCACTACCTCTAATGGTGAAGAATGTCCTTCCTCCCTTGGCGGAACGAGTCCGCCACCAGGAAGGCGAGCTCGAGGGCTTGTTTCTCGTTGAGGCGGGGATCGCAGAAACTGGTGTAGTTGGTAGACAGATCGTCCTCGTCGAGGCCCTCGCTACCGCCAACGCACTCGGTTACGGCATCGCCGGTTAGTTCCAGGTGCACGCCGCCGAGGTAGCTGCCCTCCTCACGATGAACGCTTAGCGTCTCGCGCAGCTCGTCGAAGATGTCCCCGAACCGCCGCGTCTTGATGCCCGACGCTGTCGACCGCGTGTTGCCGTGCATCGGGTCGCACTGCCAGATACATGCTCCGCGATACTCGGACCCCTCGACCGCACGGATGTGGCCTGGTAGCAGCTCGCGCACCTTTGCTGCGCCGTACCGCGTGATTAGGGTTACCTTGCCCACCTCGCACGACGGATTAAGCGTTCGTAGAAGTGCGAGCAGGTCCGACGTCGGTGTCGTGGGGCCTACTTTGATCCCAATGGGATTTGCAATGCCTCGGAAAAACTCGACGTGTGCGCCGTCGATCTGGCGCGTTCGATCGCCTATCCAGAGGAAGTGCGCCGAGGTGTCGTAATACTCCATCTGCGGCTCCCCCGTTGTTGATTCGGGGGCCGCCTCTTCGTCGCCGGGGAGTATGGGCTTTTCCATCAGCCGGGTAAGGCTCTCCTCGTACTCGAGTAGCAGACCCTCGTGGCTAGAGTACAAATCGACGGTGTCGAGCTTGGGGCTGCGGTCGGCGCCGATGGTGTGCATGAAGCGCAGCATGTCCTGCAGGAAACGCACGGCCTCGGTATACTTTGCCTTGAGCTGCGGGTCCTTAACGTGGCCTAGAGTCCAGTTCAGAGGACGGTGTAAGTCTGCTATGCCCGCCGCGATGGCGGCTCGCACGTAGTTGAGCGTTGCAGCCGAGTGGTGATAAGCTCTAAGGAGGTTAAAAGTGGCGGCGTAAGCTAAGTACTTGATGGAAAGGGGTGAGAACATGAGCTATACTTAACAAGCCTCTGGGGATCCAAATCACGCTCTTCGAGGTGGTAGCCATTTAGGATATCGCCGCGGAACGAGGGAACTTCTTTAGTCTCTCCGTTCTCGTCGACGATCTTCTCAGTCGGACTCGACCGGGGCTTAGCGTACTGGCCGGCCATACGACCTATACGGACGACACGCTTGTCGGCACCCCATATGAGCACGAGACTCATCTGTAGTAGGAGTTTGATCTTAGACTCAATGGCGTCGGCGCGGCAGTAGTCAAACAGCTCGGCGCAATCACCACCTTGCAGCAAGAAAGCCTCGCCGCGCGCAACATCACGCAAGCTAGCCTTGAGCCGGGCGATCTCTTGCGGATGAACCACGGGCGGGAGCCGGCTCAGCTCGGAGGTTGCGCGGCGCACGGCCGCCGGGTCGGGGTATACGGCCTGCTGCTTGATTGGCTTGGACCGCCACGACGAGGGAGTCCATTCTGAAGGAGAAGCCATGTTTATCTGTCTCTTCACGAATTGAATGAATTGCTAGTTGACTCTATAATCTTAAGAAGATAAAAGATACCTATTGAAGATGAATGTGATGAGTCGAGGGCGGGACTATGTAAATAAAAAGAAAAGATGCCACTAACCTTTAACCTACGGAATAAACAATTATTTATTACTTGATTGGGAATAATTTTTAATAGAGCGCAAGGGATCCCTGCACATGCACCTGCAGTAGCTTCAGGGTTTTTGCTTACCATAGTATGTATGTAGATGTAGAGTCAGGTATACTGCCGATTTGCATATTGCATATTGCATGTTGCATGTTGCATGTTGCATGTTGCATATATATAAGTACCTAACCTAACTAAGGTACATAGTTTGGTGGGAGCTCGAAGCTCAAAGCTCCCCCGCATTTTACTGAGCCTCCGTTCCAAATTTATGTACCTACCTCTTAAAATATTCATGCAACATAAAAATAAAAACTACACCAAGTATCCCTCATACACTTAGTTACATTACTACAGCACGAAACAAGCAAATCAAAATGGCAGAGCCTCAACCGAAAAATCCACAAGAGGGCGCATCCGGAGACGTCGAAGATGAGGTCCAGACTACCGCCAAGTCAGCCGAGGATCGGAAGGCTGCTGCCGCTATGGCGAGCCTCGACACCCGCGGAGACGATGCTGGCTCGTCGAACGCTGTCGACCAGGAGGCTGTAAGCAAAGCGATGCAGAGCCTTGGGAGTGGCCCCTCCACCGGTGCCGCGAAGGACGCCAAGAAGGTCAAGGTCGACCCTGCTGACGTTTTGTTGTTGGTACGTTCCCGTTCATTAGGCCAGGAGTGTGGCATAGGCGTAGCGCAATGCTAACAAGTTGGAATACGATTGTAGGTCGACGAGCTCGATCTGACCAAAGCAAAGGCTACCGAGTTGCTTAAGGCGCACGACGGCGACGCAGTCTTGGCTATGAAGGCCTTTATCGCTACGTGAAGAGGATTGCGGATAGAGGGACAAGATTCCTTCTAGCATATTGTCGTATGAGAGGCGTCATGGTTTTGGGAACGTGATAGAGAAAATGGATATACCTAGCGAGAGGATGAAGAGAAGCGCGAAATTGGAAAGATGATAGATACCTGACTATGCTAAGCCTTCCTCATATCTACGAATAAGGCGTATGAGTATTTGATATTTAACGCCGAAGAGTAAAGGGAAAGGAGGGTATCTGATAATAAGATTACAGCATGCGGCCAAAATGTCCGCCTTGGAAGAGAACCCCCGAGTCACGCACCCCGGTAAGGTTCTTAGCTATCTACCGGATATAGGGGCTGGACACCGAATGGCAGATGATCATCATCGGGGTTATTGTCCGGTTGATTAAATGAGACGAAATATGAAAGAAAAAAGAAAAAAAGAAAAACCCCGAACGCCTTCCCGCCCATCACTACCTACCTAACTATGACAACATGGTGTTAGAGAATAGCCAACTGATGATCAATATAGCGGACTCCAGGTATCGTGAAGTATCTATAAGGTAACTAAGTGATATAATTCTATAAATAGTTCTTGCTGTCGATATACAAACCTATATATTACCTCTATTTAGCCCCTTAACTCTAGACTTCTCAGCCTCGCTGAAATACAAGCCCCTGAACAATATTGGTCGTGAAATAACCCGGTTGCTGCCTAGAAATGGCCTAAGCAATGAACACGACAGGCCTAAATCCTGAATCTCATATAATTCATACTCTTCTTCGCTTCATGATCCTTAAATCGAAATATACGATGAAGTCTATATTATCAATGTATGTTGTCTCGATCCCTAGATTATACGCATCACGTGACTATTTATACCAAAAAGAGTTTTAGGAACGATAATTGACAGTGAAGCCACTTGGACTATCTTACAGAGTAGGTATATTTTATAAACGAGAAATTGTTGCTACCTTTATAAAAATTCTAAATTGTATTACATGGATACTAATCCGCACCGCTTGTTGTATTCGTTTATTCTCACAGGTATCATCTTCTCTCCATCACTCTTCCAGCGACCCACCAAGAGCTCATGGGGACTGCTACAGATAGGTTGTCTATATACTCTAGGAGACTGTCGTCTGGGCGGGGAACCCGAGATGGCTCGATATGATTATTCTCCCGAATGGGAGGACGAGCTAGAGGGCAATATCGACTTTGAGCTTTACGACGGGATGAATGACGAAATGCAGCGTATCGTGCAAATGACTGGTGACAACGCCACTCTGGCTTATGAGTTAATATCGCAAGAAATACAAAATAAGAAAGACCAAGGCCTCATACACGAACAGACCTATTCCCACGGCATGTTTCACGATGCGATGATCGCCTATCAGACGCCTCGGAAAATTAGCGTGGATGAAGTGCGGAAGTTCGCAGAGCCCATGATCGCTCGTATCTGGAAGAACTTCTATGAGCTGCAGAGTATTATCGAACGCTACGAATCATCTATTCAAGGACGCTGGGAAAATGAATCCGAGGCTGAGAGACGGGATGTATTGAACCAAGCTTGGGGTTTATCACCGCCGATGGCTCTTGAGCATCGTCCTGACTTGACGCACCTAAAACACCAATGCGTCGGGCTCGTATGTAATGAGGGCAACATCACTAATGTCTCGAAGCGGCCCCATTTCTTGTGGCCCAATATCAACCTCGAGGATCTCGGCAAGACGGAGCCATTCTTACTCTTGCTTAACGCTCGCGGTAGAAATCCGCCGTCGACATTTGCCTTCGCCGAACTCGAACCGCTCGTGTTTGGTATCAGGTCCGGTTCTTTGCGCATACCTCCATTTCTGAACGGGTGGAATATGAGATTTATGGGTAGAGATAGTCCTGATACTTACGGAGAGTTGGTCTCCTGGGAAGATGACCCTGATGCACATCAGCAATTACAGCGCCGTCGTGATGTGAGCCCTGGCGAAGGACTCTGGATCCTTGAGATACAGGACCGCCTGTACCGATTCTTGCTCGATACATGCAAGATAATCCTTCACGACACGGACCTGGAAGACAAGCAGAGTCAAGTCGAGCCGAAGCCCCGTGTCTCGATCGCCAAGTACAAAGGCGATGTTGCTACCTCTCTCATATTTTCTCAATATGAGTCTATTTACCACGTACCTGCAAAGCTTGATATGAGAAGGCTTCAGAGTCTAATCGGCGCCAAGCTATCTCAAGTCGAAGATACCCTATGGGCATTACGTGAAGATCCTGGGTTTTTCGCCTCTAGCCTCTTGGAGCTGTACCAACACCGTCCCGAGCATATCCTTGACGTCAACGGCAATATCTACCCGTCTGTAGCAACTGAGGATGGCCGTGAAGAAGTGCTAATCTCTACCGTCCGTTCTATGCTAAGTTACTACTTGCCCGTGGTCGAGACTTGGAGCTACGTGTACGAACTAGTCAACCGCCTCGCCTTACTAAAAGACGAGCTTTTCGATCGTGCCGAGGCAGATACACAACCAGAAGATGACTTACCGCTTGGCTTAGAAATAGCATTCCGCTCGCTGCGGCACCATCTAGACCATTTCCTGAAAGAGCTTCTTCCCGCAGTCAATAGGTGGGCGCGCTGGTCACCACCCATCCAGCCCCTATACCGGCTGAACGTACCCGAAAGCCCGGACGCAAAGCTGAGCATCACAACTGGTAGCACCGAGCCGAACCCAATAGAAGCTGTTTATCTTTGGGTGCTGCACATGATGGCCGATCCGACCAACCTGAAAAGCATTGGAGTCAACTCGTGCGTCCAAGAGGTAGAGCGTATCGCCCACGATCCGGAAGGCCGGAAGTTCTTTACGCCCTTTGTGGCAGAGCAATTTTCCGATATTTTCGTCATGGCCGAAAGTATACGCCAGATAGATCTCTTTCAACCGTGGGCAACAGCGTTCGAGACTTCAATAAAAGACAAGGGCGCGCGGAGGCAAATATCCGACGAGTTCAAGCATACGGCTAAGGCCCTGGGTCCCTTATATAAGCTTGAATTGCCTAGTAGTGCGGGAAAGCTCGGCGCTATGCTGACCAGAATGAGATATCCCATCGACGAACCCCTTAACAAGACTACCGTCGAGGCCGTGCAAGCAGCCGAGAAAACTCTAGATGCCTTCTGGAATGAGGTAATAACCCAACTCCAACAAGCTGGGCTCTGGACTGGACGCGTAAAGGATGTACTTGGCAAAGAGCCTGAGCGGACACGTCCGTGGGTCGAGCCGTCTGATAAGGCTTCATCTGACGACGCTGTAGCGAGTGTTCCTGAAACCCAACCAAGCTTTCAGCCACTACAGGAACAGCAGCAGCCCTCGTTGAAAGTTGACGAACGCGCAAGAAAAGTCTTCGCAACGCTCTTCAACGTGCCATCCCCCGCCAAGACCTCATCACAGGGGAAAATTTCATGGGAAGACTTCCTCTACGCCATGCACCACGTCGGTTTCGAGATCGAGGAGCTGGGCGGATCGAACTGGCACTTCACCCCTAGACTTACATTACTAGATCGAGGCCAAGGATATACGCGCGCCATCCAGTTCCACGAGCCGGGCCCTGGCGCGAATATAACGTCTCTTGTGGCGAGGATATACGGCAGAAGACTTGCTAGAATATACGGATGGCGTGGTGAGATGTTTACTGAAGAAGACGGTGGCGAATAAGGATGCTGGGATGTTTTAACGTAGCAAGACGTTTATGAGGGTTTGAATTTTCTGAGATACCCTTGGATCCTTCCACAAATACGAGCTTTGGATTTCCCGAGTAAGGTGCTCGGTGTATTAATTGCTGCGATGCTTGGCCTGAGCCTTGATCTCACTATATCTCACCTCAAAAAAAGACTAATGCAAGGGCTTATTGTCAAGTTGTGGGGTATAGCATTTACTAATAATAATAACTCACGTCAGAAGTTTGAAGACGAAGATGAAATAGTTCAGATGAGCTGAGTGAGAGTGGTGGAGATGTTGATTCCTTTCATCGCGTAGGATTTATAAAATGTCGATCGATCCCGGTTCTCAAGAAACGACAACTTCCTATTTCTATCATTGAAATGCTATCTTATAACCTTAGTCTTTTCTCTTTTGAAATAATAGCATATTAAAGTACTGCCATTTTTGATATTGTCCTGCCAAATAGGGAGAAGTCTTCGCAGTCTATCAAAGCATGGAATATTCGAGCCTGGAATATTGGATTCATTTCTCCAAACCTCATGACGGCCATCCAAAAAACCGAAAATGATCCTGTCTTAGAATAAATATAAAATTAAGCTATACCTACCTCGAATCGATTGCATTTCTCGTATTTTCCCATACATAGATAGATGCGAGTCATGTTGCCGAGAAGGAGGGATGGGGGCTAAAGGATGATCCAAGTCGTTACACGCGATGATACCTAATCGCATCCTGGTGGCTGCTTGGTGCTTCCCCTATCGCGAAACATACCTGTACGCGGGAAAGGCCCGCACTGCGTCCGTCTATGGTATAGGAATAGCCACCAGTCAGCTTGGAGCCCTGTCTACCGCGTAGAAATCGCCGTACGGGGCTAGGCCGCTTAGTGATGCCGCGCTTCTAGCAATATATCGCATACTGCCGACACGCGAGATATGCCGAGCTGTGGTTTCATCAAGTAGGTCAGGGTATTTTTATCATAGTTGCTTTTCAGAATGGTACGTAGGACTAGGACACATGTAATTCTCTGGATATGTAGGTAAGTAGGTAGGTAGGTATGTATGTATATAAGTCACTAAAAACGCCTCCTTAGACTCCTTAGAACATGACTCGTCCCACGTTCTAATTTCCCTTCGTTCTACCTTTCAACAATCTGTTGTATCGACCACCATGTACGGAAGAATCAACTCGGCGCTGGCGTTACTGCTTGCCGGTTCCGCGTTCATAACACGATCCGTCGTGGAAAGCAAGCTCGTATTTGCTCACTATATGGTAAAAAAACGCTCTTGCAGTACAACCTGTTTCTTAGCCAAGCTCTAACTGTGTGTACCTAAGGTTGGGTCTGTGGATCCGCAAACCGCCCACGCGCAGCAGGATATCGACGGTGCTATCAACGTTGGCTTTGATGCCTTTGCCTTGAATGTGGGAAACCCCGGGGCTGACTGGGCAAAGAACACCGTGCAGCAGCTATTCGACTACGCGGGGGACAAGTCGTTCAAGCTCTTCTTCAGCTTCGACTTCTACGGCAACGGCGATATCAGCCAACACCAGGCTCTGTTCAGCCAGTTCAAGGACCATCCCGCCCACCTCAAGTACGGGCCTAACGACTTACCAGTCGTCTCCTCTTACAGCGGGGGCAACATTGGTCCCGATACGTGGAGAAACTTCAAGAACACCAACAACGTCTATCTCATTCCCAACCCAGAGGCTGACGGCAACTACTACAACAACCCCACAGCTTTCTTCCAGAGCTGGGGCGATGCCATCGACGGCGTGTTCAGCTGGGAGACGGCCTGGCCCGAGACTTCGGAAACGCCCGCGAACGTGTCTTCGGTGAGGGACCAGGCGGTCAAGTCGGCCGCAGATGCCGCCGGCAAGGCCTATGTGATGGGTAAGGCTCCTCCAGGCAGAGTTGCACCGGGATATGATAACATTAACAAACCACAGGTCTATCTTCGCTTCAATACAAACACTGCTGCGGCGACTCCTGGTACCGAGGCGGCGAGACCAACCTGCCCGAGCGCATGGAGCAAATCCTTTCCGTCTCTCCCGAATTCACCGAGGTCATCACTTGGGTAAGCAGCAGCACATCTCCCGAACTCTACGTACCTATCTATATCGGAGATCAACCCAACTAACCCATACCCCCCCCGGTCTACAGAACGACGCCGGCGAGAGCCACTACATCGGCCCGTGCTGGGCCGAGGGCCTGACCGAAGAAATCCTACAGTACGGCAACTCGGACGCAATGCCGCACGACGGATGGCAGCCGCTCCTCGCCTCCTTCGTCGACGCCTTCAAGGCCGGCGCCACCGACGTCAGCGCCATGAAGCCGCGCAGCGGGGCTTTCGCAGGCGCCCTATGGTACCGGGGCGTGCTGACCACGTGCAGCGGGGACAAGCCGCGGGGGTCCGGCGCGGCCGTCGACGCCGTGAACTACGCCGTGGTCCTCCCGGCGGACAGCAGCAGCGGCTTTAGCGTGCGCGTGTCCAGCGGCGGACAGGTCCTGGCGACGCAGCCGGTGCGCGCGGGCCTGAACTACAACTCGGTCGTGGGCATGACCACGGGCCCGCAGAAGATGGAGCTTATCGACGGTGGCGGGCGCGTCGTTGCGTCGGCGAGCAGCGCCGTCGATGTATCCAACGATGCCGCGAATGGATTCTGCAACTATAACTACTATGTTGCTGGCTTGCAGTAGAATGCATACCTACCTACCTACCTACCTAGGTTAGGTACCTAGCCTAACCTAAGTTTGAGAAAGGAAAAGGAAAAGGAAAAGGAAAAGGGGGGGGTATTGGTTAGCCTTGTAATCCTATGGGTTTTTAGATTATTTTCTTCGTTTCGTTATTAATACAAAACAGTCAGCCCAATATTACTGGGCGCTTGCTCTAGGGGCATAGCATGCGCTTTGTAGTTTATGTTTGATTTGAAGTTTCGTCTTGACCGCGCTGCATATGTCCAGGTGTAAATATAAAGGCTTGATTGTTGCATATGTACCTAAACTACCTACCTAACCTAGGTACAATACCTATAACTACAGATTAATACCTAGGTAGGTAGGTAGGTAGGTATGTTTCAAGTCAGAAACACAGTCGCGGTAATAATTAATATTTATTAAAAGACTTTGTAAACCTGGTAAATTAATACCCGTTTAAACGTCTAGGTTAATTGGTTTGAGCAAAGACTCAATGTACTAATATAAACAAAACAATGAGGCACTTCTAATTAATATAGACGACATGAGATTACACTAGATCAAGCATCGCCAAGTCTAAAATATTTCCCCTTATTAGTCACGGTCAAGTATTTAAGCGTTTACTTTGATCGTTATTTTTCTCATTCAGCTATCTTCTTGATAGGATCATCATGTGATCACGTATCTCTTATTCTGTATCTCCCCGTTCTCACGATGCGGCATACGCCACGCGAGTAAATACACCGATGCAGGCTCAATAGAATCCTGTCATATTCATTCGCATGCAGCTCCAGCGCATCGACCTCGAAAAGTCAATAGGTGATCGCAAACGACGGGTGTGGTCGTCACAGTCTGTAGCTCCGTACAAGCGACGTGAGTTATGCGGAAACCGCCATTTCCCGCTGAGGACGGTCGCGACGGTAACTATCGCAGTAAAACTAGATGTGGTTGCGACTATATAGAGAATCCAGTTTCTCTAGGCGAATCGATTTTCGATTCCATGTTTTTGATATCTCGGCATAGATCTTATTTATCGATCTACATTCGAAACGACTCTATTACTGGTTTTCCGACTTCTGTGGGTTCTCATCCTCAGAGTCCGACTCGTGATCTGGAGACTTCAGTTTTGAGTGGGGTAGAACATCGAGCGTCTGCGACTTTCTAGAATTTGAACTATTGCGTTTGGCATCTTGACTGGTACGGCTCAGTGGCATATCACCGAAGGAATTCTGAGCCGTAGGCGTGTTGGCTTGACTGCCCCCGCGTTGGCCGTGGTAGTGTACGACCTGCGGAGGGGCCTGCCCGTGCTGGCCCAATAGATGCTGGGGATAGGGATCTAGATCCTTGCTAGAGGTCGAGAAGGTCGAGACGATCGGTTGGTGATAACCGTTCGTTGGGTTATTCCCCGCTGAAGCTGAAGCAGGCCCCGGTTGTGTGGCGTGTGTAGTCTGGGGTAGGGATGCTTGCCCGCTGGGCTCGGCTTGCGTTGGGGTGTCGGCGTCGTTAGAGGTTCCTAGGCCGGTGTCGAGCTGCCCAGTCAGGCTTGTCATGCCGCCTTCGATATCCCGAAGGAGTCGAACGTACTCTTCCGGTACCAGTCCGCTTTCCTGGGTCTTGGGGTCCTCCGCAACGAGCCATCCTTGGCCGTGCCTATATGACACCCAAATAATTTGGCCTTCGACCAGAGGCAGTTCGTTCTCGTTCTCCCTTTCGAAATCGAATAGCGCAACGGCCTTGCCGTGCATTTCCTCGTCTGGTGAGGTGATGGTGAATTGATAATCTCTCGAATACCTAGACTCGTCATATGGATGATGACCTGGAGATGAGCCAGTGCTTGAGGCGTCGGACTCGGACCTATATCCGGTATCGTTCTCGGCATAATTTCGTGGCGGCTGATCTGACGACGGCTGATACGCATTGATAGAATGCCGGCCTTGATCCGGCGGATACGTCACATATTCTCCGCCCGGACCGTTAGCCTCGGTGCCCTGGCTTACGTAGTACCTTTCGCTCCCGTTACCACTCGTTCCGACGTAGTAACCCCTACTAGAGTCTAGGCTCCCCGCACTAAGTATCGAGGAAGACGCGCCGCCATCCCTCGAGCCCCGGCCCTTATGATGCCCCGTAACAGCAGAGGTAGACTTGTGCTTTCGATGTCGCGAGCTAACGACAGGGCTCTGCAGGTCTTCGTCCTCGCTCCAAGGGGGCCCGTCGCCGAAATGGATCGGGGCAAGCTCACCACCCTTCCCGAGTCCACCGTCTGACGTCCAATCCCAACCGATCTTGCTTTCCCACGAGGCGGGCGGGTCCGAAAGTCGTCTCGTCTCGCTGGCGGGGGTGGTCATGCCGGAGGGCGGTCTCGAAGGCTCCGGCGGGGGGCCATAGTGCATCGGATGTGTGGGCGGGTAGGCGAAGTCTCGAACGGTGGTATATGATAGACTGGAGTGGAAGACAGGGAAGAGGAAGGAACCTGGCCGAGACCGCGACGGGACGGAGCCCGTCGAGTACTGCGACAGTCGGTTTTTGGAAGCGTGGGACATCGGTCGCGGTACGGCTGATCGGCGCGCGGGTGGGGAGGTTATTAATGGCGTTAAGGCCGGGTGGTTCGGATTCGTAGTATGCTGTTGCGGCGGAACTGCTGGAGGCGAAACGGCTGGGGATGAGTACGATGAGGACATGATTGCGGTCATCGAGGAAGGGAGACCGAGGTAGTCTTCATATGCGTACCCAGAAGAGAAGATATCTTATGTCGAAGTATCACGCGATACGTGACAACGTTTGCAATGTGTGCGGTCTCTTGAACAGCTGGACTGCACAGCAACCAGACTACACAGGCGTATACATCCACACACGGTGTGAATGCCGCCCAACAAACTCGACCCGCAAGTTGTTCCGCGATCTCGAATGGTCCTCAACGGGGAAAATCAGATAAGTCGGGAAGAACGATAGTATTAGCAATGTCTAAATCTTATAGGATATCCCAATTCGAAACAACTTCTTCACGACGGGGCGACAACAAAGGCGTGCAAGTTTTCGGCTACGTCTTCAAAGAAGCTAGTTGGACCTATCATGAGTCCAAATAGGGACTAGGATGCGAGGAACGGGGAGGTAACTGATATTGGCAGCTTAGCGCAATATTATATCACGTCTCGTCGTCGAATTAAGTGGGGTTTGTAGCGTCAATGTCTGCAGGAAGAGAGCGAGGTGGTGAAGAAAAAGAGTGTATCGCGAAGAAAATTGAGGGCGCTGGCGCAAGCGACGTTGTGTTAGAAAGAAGACTCGCGAACCCGAGTTCGAATTCAAAGCTGTAGCCCTAAGAGCCTTGCGAAGATGACTAGGGTCGACAGGAGGGTAGAAAGGGTAGGAAATTATTGGTAATAAGGTAAGGTTCAAGGTATGGGGAGGGTATTGTAGGGACGAACTGTGGAGATTTGGTGATTTGGTGCATTTGGTGAAGGGTGTAAAAAAGGTATCGGAGTGGAGATGCAAAAGAGAGGTAGTGTACCGCAGCAGCGGGAGGGTCCAAGGTTTGAGGACCAAGGTTTAAAGTTCAAGGACTTCTAGGTTCAATTGAGAATTGAGCGAACTAACAGGGCAGGAGGAGTGTGAAATAATTCTAGTGGAATAGCCTAGGACTGGTTGCCTGCTTAGCGGAGGTAGGTAGGTACTGTACTGACTGTACAATACGAAGTTACCGTACTACCTATGTATCATTATGTCAGGTAAGTACATACCTCCCTTAGAACGGAGACAAACACAACAAAGAATTGCCACAGAACAACCTAACATATGCAAGCAAAAAATAAAATAAATAATAATAGAGCACAGCAAAGGTTCAAGCATAATTTTATGCGCAAACTCACATACACACTGCAGTTAACAGCGTAGTAAATGCTTTTTTTCTTAGAAGAGCTTTGATCCCAAAGATGGCCGGAATTGGCCTCAATTAAGCGCGTGGTACAATACATACAGAGATCCTACTGGCTGGACCCTGTACTTTAGCGGCTCTTTGCCCTTGGTAACCACTCAGCGGGGTCTACCTGTGAAGGAGCGGCGCATACCTGAAATAGCGCCGGCGGTTGCTTGCCGACCGAGTAACATTGAACCCGAGTGACCGAGTCGCCTATGTACTTGTATAGGGATAGTGTAGGTAGGTAATGAATCAATATTTATAAATCGAGAAATACGTATGCTGTATTTAATCTCGTTGAAGGTTGCCTTTTATTTTTTTTTCTATTTTCTTATTTACTTACTCCGTTCTTCTTGTCCGTTTTTACTTTAAATAGTTATGGGTAGACGAGTAATATACTCAGCCGGTATTATCCTTATACACATATGCGTACGCATATGCGCCAGGTAAGAACTATAATGGTCCTACTAAGCAAGCGGTAACGCATTTATTCCCAAGATATACAGGTACACCAATAATGCCTAATAGCAAACGACCTAACAACATACATGTAGGTAGGTAGGCTCTGTTTGTAGGTACTTTATACCGCCACAAAAGTGTAAACTGTTTAACTAACGTTAACTAAGCATGTTTTCAGAATTGTTTATAGTCTTTTTAAATGCTTGCTTACATGTAGGTCTATACACTAACAATTGCCTTCAATGGAAACAAACTACAACAATATATCTATATGCAAATAATTGACCTTCTATTCCTATACTAACAAGGAAGAAGAAGAAAGCAGTATAGTCTATTGCGTCCCGTAATATTGACTGTAATGTTCCGCATAAGGGCGTAACATCAACTCCGTTCGACTGCAATCAAGTTGCATTCGCTGTGGCCTCTTGCAGCCCAATAACACTTTCATCTAGGTACATACTTTGGGCACGGTCCCGCGGCCCAGAGACTACCCCCAGAGACTGCTCCCTAGGTAATATGGTGTACACTAGTTGAACCCATCGTTAGCTCAATAGGTACATACTAGGTTAGAATACTCTCCCCCCTATTATGGTAATGTTTTGTTAGGAACGCTATAACGCAGACTTATAGAGCTATTTATTAGAAGATTTTACAGCTAGGTGCGCTGCCGAATCCGTATATAGGCTGCTTTGTGGTGCTTCTCTAGCGCTCACGCCTTGCAGTAACACCGCATATAATCCTGCGGACATGGTTGTCGAATGCGATAGACAGCCCGAAGAACCATGCATCTAGTCAATGGTGAAACAAAGGCGGCATGGTTGATTCGTGCCGCACACGTGACCCGTAGCCGATGCCTCAATCCGTCGTCGCCTACTGCTTGGACATGTAGGTCTGTACTCTCAACGTGCATATAGAACCTTTAGCCTGCGAAAAAGCGGTCTGATGTTAGGAATTATGATAAGAATGCTCGCAACAAATTCCTGTTTCGTCGAGGGACACAATGCAATGTAAGTCAGAAGAGAAACGAAGGCGGTAGGGATTTGTTAGGAGCTTGTGAACCAGATTACACGCATATCCCAGCAAACAAAAGGACGTTACATACATGTATACTTCGTGACGAAGAGGAGAGTAGGCTACAGAACGTATAATATTTTACATAGCAAGACCATGTAGGTAGTTAGTTGGGTACTAGTAAAACATCAAGACAAACAGATAGATTCCAAGTCCCCCCAACAGCATGTTTGAAATCTTACCCAGCGTCTATAAACCGATCCGGACTTGCTAAGTCCTGGTTGGATCGGATGTTGCATCGAACGGGAGGGAGAATTGGAGATGGTGTTTCTATTTCTGGTAACATCCCTTCCAACCTGTTCGACTTTGCTGGACTGCTACATATGCTACTATGCTATGTCGGGCGCCGACCCTACAGAAGTGGAGTCGAAGCTGCATCTAATACGATCATCTTATTGGACAATAGCTTCCCCACCGCAGTTGTTAAAAGGTCATTCTGTCGTTTGTTTCATGTTTTCTGCGTCTGCGTTGTCCAACCCCAAGAGACGCCAACTGCAAAGGTTGTACATATACAAGATACACGTAGTTGCTGTTTGTAAAGCAAATGCTTTAAGCCGGAACTGACCAGATATACTTACAATATAGCAGTTAACATATGTACGGGTTGGTCGATCTAAAGAAACTTTAATTAAGCCCTCAAACTGTTAATAGCAAATTATATAAAAGTACTTTCTAGAGGTAGTTACATGTACGTATGGCTAAGTACTTAATTTACATAAGCGGCTGACCAAGCGGTTAACCAGCCCCGCCATCAAATCGGTTCCACCTGGACTACTCGGGCCGGCTTTACTATCTAGCACGGATTAATGAATATACCGAATGACTTATGCACCGGGCAAGCGCATCCGGGCCACTTTGTTTTCACATTGCACTATTTGATGTCACCAACATTTTCTTGATTGAACATCAAAATTAAACATCAAACCAATCACTGCTTTTGATCACCAGCCTTTTGGCACGGCCGACTCAACGAGAGAGTTGTATTCTTCAGCAAGCCGCGTAAACCTCCACGTTAACGGTAAGTAAATCATCTAGATCGTTCATTTGCTACACGCGTAGTACATTTCTCGTTATGATGAAATTTGATATTGGAGCTGTCTGATTTTTCTATGGTGACATTCGATTATTACCTTACGCAACATTTTCTGATCTAATTGAGAAATATTCCCTCAACCTTATTTTATAATTGTGGGAATGATATTGAAATTGACACAATCATAGATTTGGTGCGACTTGATCTCCGATTCTCGACGAGCATGCGAATGCCATTGCTATCGGCTTAACTCGTGGAATTGAGCTGAACGCGACCTTGGGCGAAACAAGATGGAGGCAACCAATGGAACATCCGCACCCGCTCCCCCGGCTAACGGTGAGCGGGAGGACCCGGGGGGATTCAAGCTGAAGTTCTGCACAGTCTGTGCCAGCAACCAGAACAGGTATGAGGCTCCTCTTGGTTACAGTCATATCAAAAGTGCTAACACGATAAAGATCAATGGAAGCTCATCTTCGGTTGTCACAGGCTCACTACCCAGTCATCTCCTTTGGTACAGGATCTCTAGTTCGACTACCCGGACCTTCAATAACACAACCCAATGTCTACCAATTCAATAAGGTGTCATATGACGCCATGTATAAGGAACTCCACGAGAAAGATCCCCGGTTATATACAGCCAACGGCCTGCTCAATATGCTCGGTAGAAATAGACAAGTGAAGTGGGGTCCGGAGCGATGGCAAGATTGGCAGATAGGTATTCCTAGAACCGAGCACGCCTCGGACCGAGGAAGCGAAGGGACAGAAGGCGGCGTGGTAGATGTAGTAATCACCTGCGAAGAGAGATGCTGGGATGCCGTCATTGACGACCTTCTGAATAGAGGATCCCCTCTAAACAGGCCCGTTCATGTTATCAACGTCGATATCAAGGATAACCACGAGGAGGCTTCTATCGGCGGACGAGGCATTCTCGACCTTGCCGACTCGTTAAATAATGCTGCGAAGGAGGAGCGCGAGTCTATAGGACCTGCCGCGTTCGATATGGCGAGTGCAGCTAGCAGAGCCTCTTTTGATGAACGAGTACCAGAGATCATCGGGGAGTGGCAAGAGAGGTGGCCAAATCTGCCAGCGACGTGGACGTTGGCTTGGTTTTAAGATGGGAGATTTGTTTTGGTTTTTCTTTTTTGCAGTGATACCCAGGAATCGGATGATTTCATTTTGCGTGAACAACCGTAACCAGACAGATAAATATCTGGTTGCTTTTAGACGTCTGCGGAGGGATATGGAAACGGCATATTCAATGGACTAATGGATGAATAATATCTCAGTTATGACCAGAGATTATCATCTCTTCTAATTATGTGCTCTTCTAGTTATATGTGATTATGCCACCGGTAACAATCCGACTCCGTTCTTGTAAAGCGAAATTTCTCATCAATATACTTTGTATCTAAACTAGAACTTTTTGAGTATTCTATTGCCATGATATTATTGAATGATGACGAGTCTCATGCTAATATTCTCATAGCCTCAAGATGGCAGCAAGAAAGCTTTTATACATGAACGATAGACAAGAAGATTATACCTTAAACTTACATCGATATAACCATAGCCCGAAATTTGGTAATATAGGTAGGTACCTACATATACACTTTCCTCTTCACATAGTATTTCTTATTTTCCGTCTCTTGTTGCTCTGATGCTCTATAGGTATCACCTCAGCAATACCATCTGGCCGTATGCCCCTTTCCCGATTCCCATAGACACCAACAGCTCCGCCAATAGAATTTCGTGCTGCCAGCCCAGTCTTCTTCGATGCTCCTTGAATTAGAAATCTCACTCGTCTTTCGAGTTCCGCTATCCCCTCTCGTGTCATATCTCCCTGGTTTTCTTCGGCTTCGTCGTAAACCCCAATAGCATCCTCAGGGGCCGAGTCTGCCATTAAGTCCCTGCCTCTTTTCCGTTGGTTCCTGATCTCTTTATCTAGCTTCTCCCATAAAGCTAATTGTTTCCTGCAATCTTCTAATGTAATGGTTTCTCGTGCCTTGTCGATCTCTATAGTTTTATCCGAAATATCATGCTGTGCTTGCGGAGCTACCAATTGTCTATTATCTCGTCGCTCTGGAGGCCCCTGCGCCGGGAGGTTTTCCTCTGGCCCCTTCAGAGGCCACAATATGAGATAAATCCCACCATCGTCACCTTCAGCGTGGAGATAACCCTCCTCGATGAGAGAGACGTTGTTTTCTTCGATGCGACACTCCCTAACCATATCCGTCCAAATTGCCGGTCCAGATTGATTTCTTCTTATGCAGAAGATACACTTTTCGCCCTCTACTTCGTCTAAGTAGAAGTCTTCAAGAGAGTCCATCATGATTAATGTGTGGGATTTGAAGCTCCTCTTGATACAATCTTATTAGTTAAGTAACGGGTATTAGTTATATTGAGGGATGGTGCGCATACGTTTAACTTCTGCCCGAGAAGAGCAATGAGCTGGCTTAACTCGGACGTTGGTCTCTTTTTAGATGGGACATCTGTGACTTCAAGACGGCCGACATCGATTTGTTTACAGATATCCTCGACGAGGCTTGTCAAGGTTCCCACCGGGACTAAAACATTAAGGAACGACATTGTGTTCCTCGTCGTGATAGCATCTAATCTCAGATGCAGAAAGTAGACAATTGTTCCCCCCCCGAAATATCTTATTAAGGATGTTTTTTTTTCGGCTCGCACAATCTAAGGCTAGGAAACAGACCGCTACATTACTCTGCACAATTTTTTTTATTATGACGAATGCGTCGATGCGGCCAATAGCCAGCTAACAAACACCAAGCACCTCTCCACAACGATCTATGAATACGATGCTAAAAAGTAACCTGTAGATTAAATAGCCCCGACTCATTGAAGTAACTGATAACTCAATTTAGGCCTCATCATGATTTAAAGCAGTGACAGACTGATAGGAAAGCAATGTAAGTTAAAAAGGAATCTACATAGAGAACACATTGTATGTATGAGATGAACAATATGAAATATCCTGTCCTTGAGTTGTCGAGCTGTATGCTTTGTTTCGGTAATTAAACCAATCGAATTTTCCAATGGTCGCTTTTATTTAATGGAATTTGAGTACGAAGCGCGCGCGACGGGAGATGACCGGAGCCGTTTAAACCTAGCATGTCAACCGCCGGAGAATGAAAACCAATCAATCACCTGTATAAAGAGGTATGCATACCTAATGTATGTATTGACTTAAAGATACCGCGTGATATTCCGTACATTTGGGCCCGTTATACTAACAGAATACGGAATGAAGAGAAATCCATATATTTCTTTCCGGCCGATGGGGAAATCTAAAATTGTCAAGAACCCCACGAAGTGTATCGTCATTGGGGAAGGCGAACCGTCGATCTTCCTGCTCTCGATCTTCCCATCTCACTGGTGGCAGTCGAGACTCATGAGGCCGTGCCCAACGATCTCTTTTCATTTTTCTCATAAGACGAAAGGGGAAAGCGGACGGACTTCTAGAATTCCAATCGCAATCCTTAGCATCATCTAGGATCAAAACAGTAAAGAATTTAAAGTGGACGGCGCAGCATTATTTTCATCTTAAAAATGTGTACATGTGAACAATGTATCCCTTATACACCCTTGAGTACGCAGCCCCTGAAAAAGTACGGGAGAATGCATTTATGTATTGTACAATGGGTTATGTAAGATATATACATATGGACGCTGTTGCATTATTAACAGGAATATCAATGTAATGTACATGGACCTAAGATCGACAAAAGCTTATTTCAGCATACATACAACATAAGGATATTATACAATGCATTTACGTATATCTACTTACTTACATATATACCTACCTACCTATTTAATACGGATTATTCACGATTTTCCTGTACATTGTATGAAATCAGTTCACCTAAGTATGGTGAATAAAATGAGGCATGCTTTAAGCTATATTCTATAGAATCTTTAATGTATACCTGCCTTATATGTACCTACCTAGGTACTAGTGTACGATACCAAGCATCGCGCGTACGTAGATCCATGAATGTACCTAGATACTAGCCACGGCCTAAGTCACCATCTAGCCAACGTTTAGTCAGGAACCACCCGGGTCAAATACCTTAAACGTCCTAAATACGTCCCCGCCCCCTTTCTCGATTGGTCAAGCCCCCCCTGTCGCCCCTTGTCCTTCCCCATCTGCTTCAACCACACCTGGGCACTTTTTGAGGTTTCACTCAATTGCCACCACCAATTTTTTTTTAAAGTGTATTGCCATTTACCATTCACCATTCACCATTCACCATTCGCTTTCCCTCCTTCACGCGAATATCCAGGTACTCTTTTGTGCATGAGCCGTATCCGTTGTACCTGCAGGAGTCCCTGGAACATAATCTTTTTCTCCGCGTAGAGAATTTGAGACGCCCTGAGCCACTATTAACATACGTTCTCTTTGTTCTGGTTGATACACGGGGGTCACCTTTTACTTTTTCATTTTGCTTTCTTGCAAACTCGTTCGTTATCGAGAGGCTCTTCTCCCTTGCTTCAATCAATTTCTTTTCCATTCCCATAGGGCCTATTAGCACGTGGAATGAAGCTATAGCTAGTCTAGGTTCCCACCACAAACGCCGACCGCAAGAGACTTATTACAGTCTACCTAATTGCGCCTCGTTGCTTGTCGCACTTAAGATTGCCTTCCGCTTTAGACCAACTGCTCAGTTAAACTAAGCCTGGGTTACGTCTCCATCCCCACCGTCAGACAAGAAATTGTCGGAGTGTCGGTCTTTGTTATATCCATTACAACGCTGTCCCTCTTTTTATTTCTTTTTATACTTTTCTCAATTATTTCCCTGCATTTCCAAGATCCCGTCTTTGATCTCGGAACAGGGAAGGGATAGAGAATTGCTGAAAAGTTGAATTGCCGTAGTACAGCAAACCCCCCAAATTCGAGACTGGTATTCGATTGGGTCGAAAGCCGAAAGCTGAGAATCAATCAAGGAATCAAGGAATCAAGGAGGAAGCTAGCTAGATTGGATCAGATCTGACTAGGCTGGGCTGGACTTGAGACATCTGCCGCCGCCTCAATTCCTCCTTTTTTCGTGTGGCGCGCGCATTCTCTTCCTTCCGCCCTCGATCGTTGATGACAGCGGCCGCTAATTCCGTATACCAAAATTACACTCGCCATGAATACCCGAAATGCGCCGCTTTCACCTGTCTCTGTAGGCGCTGGAAGCGAATGGTCCGGTATTTCCAAATATCCGAATAACGACGGCGACGGCCCTTATCCTGACAATCGAGGTCCTGTCTCCCCTCCGGACTCCAATAGCTCCAACGGGAATATGAATGGCTTCCCTCCCGGCCCTAGGAGCGTCGGCGGTCCCTCGCCGCCGCCTTCGGTCGGACGCTCTAGTACTTATGCTAGGAGCGAGAGTGGGAGAAGTATCCACGATGAAAACACTGAGGCAGTCTTAGGAGAACACTACATCGCCCTCAAGAGGTACCTGACCTCAACCTCTAAGGATGGCAGAGCAGGTCCACCCCCTAACAAGGCACGCGACAAGTTATTGCGCCTATCGTCTGTTCAGTTTCTCGAGCTATCTACCGATGTCTTCGACGAGTTAATGCGACGGCAAGCCTATAGTCGAAGACCCCCCAATGCGCCTCCCAATGTTGGTCCTCCATCTTACTTGCTACCCGAAAATATGTTCCATCCCAAGCGCAACCAAGCACGTCAGAAGTTATCGACCCTAGGTCCGCCGAGATTTAGGGATCTCGCGACAGATGTCTTCTGCGAATTAGAAAGGCGAATTCCCCGATTTATCGCTGGCGATGTCCCCCGGATGAGCAATCCTGGACTACCGTCGAGTCGAGCTGGTACCCCCATAAGCGGCATGGGTCCTAGGGGACCAAACGGTATGCGGAGACCATCAGATGCGAGTTCTATTCGCTCCGCCGCCCCTAGGATCAATGGCGAATACCCTGTACCGCCGTCTCCCGGTCTATCGAACGGTGGTTTTGATCGACCGCTCCCAAAACAATTTCAAAGCAATACAATTGTACCCAATAAGAGTACGATGGTTGAGGAAGACGATGACATGGTCGGATCGAACGACGAAGAAGTTGATGCTTTCAGGTCGCAAAATCGAGACAGTAAAAGGAGCATCGGCACAAATGGCGGCGCATCCGAGGCAAGTGTTGAAAGTTCTGGTTCGGAGTACCACAGCTGCTAACTCGTGTTTCACAGGTCGACAAAAGGTTAATAGATGACTACCAAAACCAAGTACGAGAGCTTCGGGACAAGATAGATAGCATGGAAGACCAACTCAAGAAGAAAGACGATGACCTGGCTCAATTCATGAATGGTGAACGGTCCCGTACATCAGCTTCGAACTTGGAAAAAAAGGAATGGGAAGACATGCGGACAGACCTCGAGAGCAAGCTCGCCGAAGCACAAACACTAAACGACTCGTTACGGGACGAAATCGAGAGGATGAGGGATGACCACGTCATGGAGACACGAAAGCTAAGAGAGGAGATCGAAGGCGCCCAGAAGAACAGCAGGGGTACCGGAGGAGATTCCGATGTCACGAGAGAAAACGAAGAGTTGCGTATGGCTCTCGAAGAGCAGCAGCAAGTAACAGAGAATGTCCGACGCGAGGCCCGGCAGTTCCTCGACGAAATGAAGGTTCTCTCGCAGCAGCACAGCCCCTCCTGGGAGAGGCAGGCCGAGCTGGAGAAGATTGTTGAGCAACTGGAACAGGAAGTCAGAGAGTGGCGGAACCGCTACGCGCGCACAAAGACGCAGCTCAGGAGCATGCGTGCCTCGTCGATGGGGCTGACGATCGAGCAGGATGTCGCCAAATACGTGCGAGAAAAGGGCTTCACGGAAGAGAATGGTCTCGTCAAAGATGTGCACGTCACTAAATTCCAAATCGCCATTGACGAATTATTGCAAAGGGCGAGAACGGATACCCCGGACAAGGTTATCGATTCTATGAAGGCGGTTATTGTCGGTGTCCGACGTATCACGAAGGACATTGACGAGTCACGGCCTAGCGATGGAGAAGTTGCCCAGCAGCGACAAAAGCTCAAGAGCCGAGTATCCGCCACGGCCAACAATTTGATCACCGCTTCCAAGAACTTTGCATCCGGAGCAGGAATTTCGCCCGTCTCTCTGCTAGACGCGGCCGCCTCTCATCTTGTTGCTGCTCTCGTCGAACTGCTGCGAACAGCCAAAATACGTGCTACGCCCGCTGGTGAGTTAGAAGATGACGATGATGGCACGGTTACGCCGGTAGAGTCGACCGGGTTCTTCTCGAACCGCACCACTACAACACAGCAAGATGCATTCTTGAAATCGCAAGAATCGCCTCTTGTGCCGCCCCCGCCGTTTCAAGGTCTCCGCGCCGGAATGCGTGATAGCGCCAACTCTTCGGCTTACAGCCCTATGAGTTCGCCACGAGGGTCCGGCGATCAATACGGCTCTAGGAACGGCGGTGTCAGCGGTATGGCGTACATGGGACTAAATAAGCTACCTTCGCCTCCCAACGGCCAACGAGACAATACGAATGAAGAGCTGAAAATATATCTCGAAGACCAGAGGGAAATTATGGTCCAGACAATTCAAGGTCTAGTCGGTTCTATCCGTGGTGATGCATCTATCCAGCAGATATCCGAGGAGATCACGTCGATTACCGATGTTGTTGGCAAAGTAGTTGCTGAGACAGAAGCAAGCGGCAACGGTGGCGATATGACCGACCGCTTGGCTGCCTGTCGCCAACGGCTGCTCGAAGCCGGCGACCGAGGCAAGGAACTCGCAGCTCGTGGCCTTGGAGAAAATGACCGGGACTGGCGCATGTGGACTCAGACGTTACCACCTATCGCCTTTGAGATTGTACGCGAAACGAAAGAGTTGGTCCAGCGAATTGACCGTCTAGTCATGTCCCCGACGGCGGATGATTTCTCGTAGAAGCGCCTGAAACAAAAGAAGTTAGCGCCATCATCATTACATCTATTTCGTTGACTTTAGAGTCTTCATTGATTATTCGAGCTTTTTTTCGATTCTTTTTTTTGTTCTCACCAGGCCTCGATGAGATACCCCATGAGCTGTTCTTGCTTTGACGGATCGTATAGAGCTGTCTGGGTTCAGCTCAATTTTTTATTTATACTTATGGAACCCTGGAAACGGGTGGTTTGAGTCGATACGACGGCGCATTTCCCCTAAACACACGTAACTTTAATCGATTCCCATTAACGCCTCACTCTTCATCGACAACGCGGAGCAAGTAAGCTAGAATCGGATGGAAATTGTGTCCTCTCTTCATTTTTACTTTACAACTAATGTTGTCGTTCTCGTTTATGTGGCAAATGGACGGGGAATAGTGTTACTGGCGGGGAGGCAAGATGTAGTGGGCGACCCCCGCGTACAAGATGACTTGACGAGTCTTTTTTTACTGATGAGTCTGAAGTGGCTTCTCTTGCGCGGGGCTGGGCCGGGCCATCATGGGGGTGGTGGGTGGTAGTCATGCGAACAGATGACGATTACGGATGAGAACAAAGCTGGCATATTGTAGCATAGATATCGAGCAGTATTAGAGGGTCTCGATGGGATTACCGAGTCAATTAACTACAGAATTTTATTTCGTTGATAAGAATACGAGTTTGTGTGAATGAAGGGTAGGAATGTATTGTATGGTCTAAGATGGTTTTAAGGTATTGATGAACAGGTCTATTTCGAACGTACCTGGCCTTCATCTCATCTTCTTCAAAGACCTGTCTCTGTCATTTGGACATTAAAACAACCATATCCTCTTCCATGATGTTTCGTTATTTTATGTATCAACGTTGAACATTGTCGTCTTCAGTCATAACCTAATGCTAGCCAACTTCTAATCTCTAGATTTACTAGTCGTATCATCCTTACTCTTAAATGCCGAAGTATCCCTCGAGGATGTCGGCGTTCTGCGAGGACGTCCCGGCATAAGCGGATGTGGTGCAAGCCACTCCCGTCTATCTTCCCTCCTTCCGCGAGACATTGACTCAGCACGGAAGGGTCGTTGTCCTGGTTCGGTATTCCGTCGATTTCGCGCCGACGCTGATGATAGAGGCGGCGATGGAGATTCCGGCATGTAAGTTAAAGGGGTGGGTGAAGAGGGTGAAGAGGGTTCAGTATAGAATTTGGCGTTACCGTCCACTCGGGCTAAAGGTAGCTCCCCTTTTGATCCCGGACGCCCTTGGATGGGGAGAGGCGGAGTCTGAGAGCTTTCATCGTTCTCTTGCTGTGGTATCGACGCGCTCGACGCAACTGCTGATACTGTTATGCTCCTCGTACGGCGCTGCTCTAACGCGGACTCCCGCCGTGCTAACCCTTGGTATAAGATCGGAACAAGCTCCGCCCAACGTGCCCGGCACTCCTCGGCGCTCCTCCTCGTCCATACCATCTTTGCAACGTCGTCCCAATGGCTCACGCCATATCGCGCTACCGCTTGCTTCAGAATCCTATCTTCGATCTGGGACCAACGAGACGATGACTGCTGTGGGCTGGGCTCCGGTTCCGGCGATGCCTCTTCGGGCAGTTTTGCAGACATTTCCTTTTGTTTGGAGGGGACATGTACGTAGGTAGGTAGGTAGGTAGGTAGGTAGGTAGGCAAACCGATAGGCAAATCTTAACAGGAAGATAGATGGATAGATGACCAGGTCAACTTCTTCCAGGGGCGCTCTTTTTGTACTCAACACTCAACGAGTTGCCGTCAAAGCCTCCCGCTGTTTCACTTTGCGCGGAAAAGGGGACGTAAACGTGATGATGTCAAGGGGGAAAGGAGCAAGCTTGTTTCCAAACGAACAGACCAGGATTCGGCCCGAGACCCGGCTTCTGCAAAAGCTTAAGCTCCAAAAGCTTGGTCCCTATACGCATATCTGTTGCCGTAGATGTGTTAGAGAATTTGGTGGTCCTCGCTCTTAAGGTTTACCTTTGTGCCGGGTATAATCTTGGCGTGGTGCTGACCAGAGCACACCCGGTATGCGAGTGCACCGTTTATTGGCGGGTACGTTTGATAGATATGATTTAGTGTAGTACCGAGTGCCAACTTTCATATATGTCGACGGGACCGATCGTCAAGTAAAAAAAAAAAATTTCGCGTGAGGAGTCTATATATAAGTTAAATACAATAGTTATATGGCCATTGTACAAAACTAGTTGACCCTTCCTCGACTGCTTTGTATGTACTCCTATAAGGGCGACGCGCGGCGCTTTGTTGGCTTTCTAGTACCGGGTGTCTTCCTAAATAATCTTGCTCTTGTCTTATGGCGACGATGAGGGTAGTGTTTCCTTCTATATATGATGGCCACCGCGCGAAAGCTATTGAAACACTAAAATATGTTAGACTAGGTAATCACGTAAAGCATTGGAGGTAAACATAGGCACATACCCTAGCTTCTTAACTATGGTAGAGCTTGTCCAGGTGTAACGCGAAGCAATGAAACTTCAGTCTATTTAGACGTATGAGTATATGTCTTTTATGAAATAGCAGAATGCTAATTCTGGGAGAACTCAACTAATTGTAACAAAAGGGGTTTAACTGTATATATGGTCCCTCTCGTACTTGATAAATTAATAGTTATTTCAGCTCGCATCGCTATAGCTGAAGCTTGTTGAGTGAGTAGTAGGAGTATTGAAGTTGTAGTTATAACTAGAGAGAATGTTTACCTATAACTATAGTTTGGTGATCGGCTTCGCAGGAAGCCAGTAAGGACCATAGGTACTATAATCATTCAACAGGTAGCTTTGTAGGTTTGTGGTGCCTTTGGAGTATCTTACGAGGCTGTAATTAGTTAGATTTTGCCAATACCTCCTTACAGGTACCTTCTAATATAGAGTGTCAACATCTTTCAAGGTTTAATATTGTACCTAACAGCAGAACGGTCTACACGCTTGTAGCTATCTCCTGGAATGTCATATATCCCTTGGTTTCTCCGGCAAATACCAACAAGCCAAGATGCCCGTTACAGGGCTGGCATATATCTGAAACTATACTAATCACGGCTCTTGCTGTTCTTTATTTGCCTAGCCATGGAGATGCATTCTAAATTGTACTATGATTCGCTGGCCACTCTAGTGTAAAGCTATCTCAACCCCTAAGCCCCCAACGGTGGAATTTGTATATGCTAGTGCTAATCTCAATCAAGAATTATGGCGTTTTGATAGACCAATAAAGGGTTGTCTCGCTTGGGTTAACTAGTAGTAGGCTAGTAATACAGTATACCATGTCGTATAAATACGGTATCGTCACACTCCAGATTGTTGCCGCTTCCGGGGATGTCTTCTTTTATATGCCTGCGGCTCCTATATGAGATCAACTTAGATTGAAGGATTGTTTATACGCCCGAAAACAACTTTAGATTAATACATGATATTGTCAAGTTTCCATTAGCTACATCTAGCTTAGGCGTCAATTACACCACCTATGACAAGCTCGTAAAATTGTCTACTACTTCAGCCGTACGCCACTTCGCTCCTTGGGCACGTTGGGGGAAATACGCACATATGAAATTGGAGTATTATATAGGTAGGTATGTAGGTAGGTACCTCTAAACTAGAAAGAAATAGAAAGAACAAAATTCCATCAACACTCGTACATACACTCGTACACACACGCTAAGTTAGACGCTTCGTCTTCAAGGTAGGGGATCATGTTATCTAACATCGTAACATCGTGTTTCTGCAGGGAGAAAATATTGGATAGTTATCTTGATCTTTACCTTCAGCTGACAGGGGCCTGCATATCGTCTTCCAATCCATGACCCTAGTTTCAGCCGCAAAACAGTCCGCCATTGCATTTTGTAACCTAGTGATATGCCGCAACTACGAAGTCTGGCCGTGGCACTTTATCTCGTTTGATGTGGTCTCGAGAGGACCAAAGCGTTCCGGGCGGATCCTCTTCGTCCCGCAAATGTCGCCAGTTGCAGTTGTCCTTCTCTTGGCATAGATCAATGGACTTGGGACTTCCCTGGTTTAGAGGCCTACTAAGGTAGTTTGGCGTTTTGCTGCACATATGACTTGTCGTGGGCACTTTCAGCTGCAGGCGTCCTATTACCCTTACGCCTGTCAGTTAATGAAATATCTGTTTCGCTTATGGCTTATTGGTAGACGGGCGAGTCACAGCCCACACGAGGTGCCTTTCGTTCGTAAAAAACCATACAGGGTCTGATGGGTACATACGGGGTAGACAGTCCCTCTCCTGGGTCGTTGATCTTTCTAGCTTTCTTTCCGTAGTGACCGTCTTGCCGTTCATAAAACTCTGCGACGTGGTTCTCTTTTAATCATTACCCCTTTGTGTGCTATGATGGAGCAACCGCAGTCGAAGTACTCGAACCAGCGAGTTCCTGGAAAGGAGCATATTCCCCTTTACCCTAAAGGATTCGTTGCCATCCGCATTATTCAGCTGATTTTCAGCATTATATGTTTGGGGTTAAGTGCTTTCGGCATCGTCTATCTCGTTTTTGCAGGAGATGCCCTGACGCTTTTTACCGTATGTGAACCTCGTGGACCTCAACAGTCAACAATTCGGACCGATATTAAGAAGAAACTGACGAGATAACTAGTCCATTGCGACCATCATCACTAGTATATATTGTCTCGTCGCCCATTTCGGTCCCGCGAAGGCGTACAACTACTGGGCAATACTCGGCTTGGATATATTCCTTGTTATCTTCTGGCTAATTTCATTTGCCATCCTTGCTGCCCAAGTCGCCTCCGCGTTCGCTTCTTACCACTCATATAGCGACTACTATGGCGGATACTACGACTTCAGCGAGTACGATGCTGCAATCGACACGTATGGCGGTTGCTTAGCTGGAGCAGCAGGTTTAGGTGGAGTAGAATTGTAAGTCATTATATGGAGGCTTCTCGCTATATTTACGCGACCCTAACATCATTCAGTCTTCTCTACATCATCTCACTATCGATTCATGGTGTCATGCTACACCGACACCGAAAGGCTGGTCTCAAGTGCATGCCCATTCACGGGACTCCCGGTGGTACAGGTGCCGGCGTTGAACTATCGGCCGGCGGAGAGAAATTTCAGATGCAGCCTCAACCTGCGCATGTCTATCAAGAACCCAACCCTATGGCTGGACATCCTCCGCCCCCCCAGGGGTACTATCCACCGCAGTCGCCGTCGCCGCTCTCCTCTCAACCCACCGGCGGCACCTATGTTCAGCCCCAGCAGATGGGAAACCCCGGCCAGCCTATCTACGAGGTTCCTGGTCAAGCCCAACAATATCACGCCCCCTAGTAACCGAGGGCACATGGGTGGAGGGGAATGAATGAACCGTTTTCGAATGAAGTTGTACGGTAGCTAGCAAGCCATATATTTCATTCCATATAAGCTAAGAGGTAGTTTGATTTAGCAGAGCGCAAACTCGGAAAATACACAAGTTTCTATTATATTTAGAATCGGCTAGGTTAGGCTTTGGGAATTCTCGATGCGCATCTATAAATTGCACGCCGAAACGGAAAAGTGAATTTGACTTTGACTTTGTAAATTCCCTGTACTTTGTGTGTGTTGTTAAAAGAAACGTGGTTTCGGGAGTGCTGCTTGCGACCTCTGGAATGCATTCTTTCACCTGTATTACTGAAAGCGGGAATATTCATACGGAAGCATCCAATCATGTCCCAAGGATTCCAATTGTTGTCTAAGACCATTATACCGAGTTCGTCTTTGTCCGTCTAATAACTTTTCTGAGAGCCCTTGATTTTGGGCGTCTTTTTAATCACCATCTCTCATAAACCTCTACCCTCTTCTAGTCAAATCTTGCTTGAGTCATCGTTTAACTTAAAGGGGTTCTACTCCATACTCTTATACACTATACATTATTACATTATTACATACTGAAGAGATCAACATAGCATAAGACTTAAACATTGTTCTGTGTACGGACTTAACATGTCGGGAAAACTAGACGGAGATAAGGGCAAGGGCAAGGGAACAGTGCAAGGGAGGCGCAGAGCGCTCTATACTCCACGAGACACGGATGTCAGAGAGTACCCGAAAAATGTCTTTGAATATGTAGTTCACGGGATATTCGGGGACCCTGACCACAAATGGGGACCCTTTGCTAGGCATGTTAGAGCGGCTAAGAAGGAAGGTCGTTGGAATGAGTGGAGGCTTCGTGATATCGTGAAAGAGGAACCTGAGGATTCGGGCGATGAATCAGATGATAATCACAGGAGGCGAGCCAGAACTTCACGAAAAGCCTCGCAGAAATATAAAATAGCCGACGAGCTAAGACACGATAGTCGTCCTGCACATATCGACTTCGAACAGCTTCTCGGTCGCATAGCCCACCCTGGTGATTACGATGACGACTTCTATAAGACGCACTACGCCAACCTGTACAACAAAACAGTCGAGTTCGCGACTAAGTGGTTCGACGGAAATGTGAACTTGGACAACTTCAGCCACCCGGCCCAGATCTGGACTGCTAATCTGACGGAGCAATTTGCTGAATACACCCGCCTGGTTGCACACGAGGATCGAGGAAACGGCGGATGGCCCATCATATTAAATGATGCGACGCAGCGGAAATGGCTTATTGTTGGCATCCTCGGCCAGGTTATGGAGAAGAAGATTTTCAGTGAGCTGCTGTTCGGCGCGGATGAAGACACCGCAGAGGAATTAGAGAGACTTGACTTTAAGTGGATGGAAAAAGAAGGTAGGTTCTTAAAGCCCGGGGAATTCTCCTCAACTCGACGAGAGAAATCATGATTTGCTGACACACTTTCACATAGGCTACGACCGTAAGATCGCTCGTGCTATCACTGCGAGGTATGGTGTAGAAGGAGGATTGCTCCCAGCAGACTTCTGGCCCACGGTCGACGAGCTGACGGCCAAGACCATGAATATTTTCCTACCGTTCTTGAACGTATTCAAGGAAGTTCTTCCGGGACAGATAAGCACATGGTACTCGAAGACGATATTCCTGCAAGAATTGCACACATTGATTTCGTACGCGGGTATGATCCAAGTCTGCATGGCCATCTCCCCTTCTATTTTCCATTTCCTCTCCGCCACGCCCGGCGCCCGCATGGACTACGGGCAGGAGCAGCAGGCCGATGTGCAGCTGTACCGTGAATCCAAGGAGCTGTACGAGGGAGAGGATAGAGTCTGGAACGAATACGTCGACGCCGCCGTGAAGGGCTCCCGGGTCAACAGGCGCGTTCAGCAGCCAATCCAGATACCCCAGAACGAAAACGAACGCCGCGTCATGGAGTACCACAGGATCCGCGGTGCCAAGGTCAAGTTCGCAGTGTTCCCCAAGGTCACGCGCTACAGGCCTTATAACAAGGGCAAAGGCACCACTGAAGCCCTTCTCGATTATGATCCTAAAGACGACGCCTGGACGGACGAGAAGAATGAAATCGAAGGCCAGAGCATTGTTGATATCTCAAACTGCATGGTTGTTTACTACCAGGGCTTGATTTACCCAGAGGAAGACTACGTCGAGGCGATAACCTTGGATGAGCATTTGAATACGCTTCTCTGGCAGCCGAACGGTCTGTACGGACTGCTTGAGGCAGGCTTCTTGACTCTGTTCGGCGCGTCCAGAAGGGCGTTCTGGCATGTTTTGGTGGTCGGCGGGTTCCTCTGGGGTATTTTTTCGGTCTATAAGGGGTTCGACTACATTAAATACCTCGTCAACTACTGGCTCATCCCTCTCGTCTGGCTTTCTTTCTGCACGTATTTCCTCGCCAAACCTCACATAGAACAAGGAAACTGGAGGAAGGGCGGTCTTATTATTGGCGCGTGGGTGTCGTTCGTATACCTCATCGGCGCTTATTATACTTACACGGGTGTTGAGCCCCCGCCGCGTGACTCGAGGGTAGGCTGGGACTTCTTTGGAGGTCAAATCAACGAGACCATTGGCGACAGACTTAGAGATTTATTGAAGCAACGGGAGGTTGAAGCACTATAGAAGAACGTATGAGCTAGTGGAGGGACGGGGAGTCGTGGGTCTCGGTGATTGGTGGTGGTTATAGAACGGCGATAGAGTGATGACGGAGGTTATTACGGGGGTGGCTACGGTGGTGCGCACGGTTTGGTGTCCGGTTTGGTATTATTATTTATTGCTTTAGTTCGTTAATGGTATCTTTGCTTTGTCTTTTTCTGTATTAATATTGTATCCGCAATCAGGAGATCATCAATTAACTAAGTAGATTAAGTCGTCGGCTGGGAAGAAAATGAATAAATGAATGGCAACATTCTAGATTACACCAGGAGTTCTACAAAGCTTACAATACTTGGCATTGTCTGGGGAATGTCGTGGACATACCGTACAACTGCCGAGAGGAGGTTGGGGAAGTTAGATATGTTCATATATAGAGTACCCCGTACCCCTTGTCCATGTGGGCCATCGTTGCTATCTCCGCACATTTACTATGGTAATCCTTAAACATCATACGGTAGGGATCGAAGATAAAAGAGGATTAGGCCTATTAATTGTATGTTTTCTTAACTCTTAATCCTATCGTCTCCTCGGCTACATATGCCCGGCAAAACTGAGACGAGATAGCAAGCGATATGGCGCCTAAATACTCGGATCCCTTATACCAGGCAGCTCACGAGGAGGCTTTTTCGAAGCCGCTCGTCGCAAAGATCGAGACGGTTTTGCCTCGGCTTTAGAGCAAATAGTGGCAGCTTTGGGAAATGACGCTGTATTTACTGGTGACGGCTTGAAGGACTATGTTGACCCTTACGAGATCCCCGAGGCTGGACATGAAAGGAGCGTTCCAAGTGCCGCAGCTTGGTAAGGGACTACCTCTTTAGAAAGACTTGATTTCACCATTCGAGATATTAACCTGCCGAACAGTCCATCCTCGGTGCCGGATCTTCAGGCCGTTCTGAAGATTGTAAACGAGTACAAAATCCCGGTGTGGACTTTCTCTAGGGGAAAGAATCTAGGGTATCACCTACCCGAATCGTTGCGCGAGAACAGGCGAGGACTAACATAGTTTGCAGGTATGGAGGACCTGCACCGCGTGTTCCGGGAAGTATTGCTCTAGACTTACACCGGATGAACAAGATCATAGAGGTAAATGAGAAATTCAGCTACGCGCTAGTTGAGCCTGGGGTCACCTTCGGGGACCTATATGAATATTGCGCGAAACATAAACTCAAGGTGTGGCCGAGCACGGCGTCTCTGGGATGGGGTAGTGTCATTGGCAATGTGGGTTCTTACCCGTGATAGTGAGAGACAACTTAGTTTTAACGTTACTAGGCTCTTGACAGAGGCCTGGGATTTATCCCGACGGGAGTCCATTATGAAAACATAGCTGGTATGGAGGTTGTTCTGGCGAACGGCGACGTCGTCAGAACAGGTCAGTTCGCCATGTCTAACTCGCCCTCTTCGCATATAACAAAGTTAACATTCGGCCCTACGATCGATGGTCTCTTCCTACAGAGCAACCTCGGGATAGTGACTAAGATGGGTATCAACTTAACACCGCAACCGCAAGCATACATGGCTTGCTCGTTCGACGTGTCCGAGTTCGAACATATCGAGACCATAGTTGATGTCTTCGGCGAATTGCGACGTAACGGTACTCTACCATACATGGTCTACGTCTTCTACATTGCAGAATGGGCTACTATGTTTGGCAAGCATTCGGATTGGTGGAAAGGAGAGGGACCAATTCCCGACTGGAGACTGAAAGAAATGCAGAATGACTTAGACGCTGGCATCTGGACGGTGAAGTTTGGACTTTACGGGCCGACGGAGGTTATCAAGGCCCAGTTCAACGAAGTAGAGAGAGTTGTAACAAGGAAAGCCCCCGATGGCCGCCTTCGCCAGACTCTGTTCGCTGGGGAGGACGGAAATCTTTTAGAAGCCACTGCTGTCTCCCCGCTCTACGGTGGTGTCAGGGTTGGAGTCCCAAGCATGTGGAATATACCGATGGTGAACTATTATAACCGCCGGGATGATTCGGTTGGAGCACACGGAGCCTACTCACCCATCGTACCCCTAGACGGGAAGACAGTACTCGAATGGGCTAGGACAGCCAAGGGCATCTGCGCAGAGCAAGGATTCGATTTCCTGTGCGACTTTTTTATGCACGATCGGTATGCTATTTTCGTCACGATGCTGTGCTTCGATAAGACCAGCCCAGAGCAACGAACCGGCGTGGATAAAGTGTTTCGCAGCCTCTTTAGAGAAGGTAGTAAGCGGGGTTTCGCCAAGTATCGAGCACATATCAACCATATGGGCAAGTTTTATCCCGGGAGGCAGATGGACTTATAAGTAATACTACTAACACTTGATAGATTTGAATGCGGACCTTTTCGATTTTAACAATCATGCTTACCGCCGGTTCGTCGAGAAGTTGAAGGTTAGTCTACTATACCCCCCTGTCCGTGCCGACTGGCTGGGGCTTGGAACTGAACATTCAATTCATATACAGGAATCTCTGGACCCTAACGGTATTCTCTCGCCCGGGAAAATGGGAATCTGGCCAGAAAGGTTGAAATGGTTAAGAACCAATAGTCAAGTTGCTAAGATGTAGTAGATCGAAAATAAGGGGTATCTTGCCAAGTGTAAATATGACAGGTCATTCCCAACTATCCTTAAAAACGTATGTTATACAAGTTTGTAACCAACATTTTATGTACCTAATATATAAGAGATTAATACGTACCTCGTGCCGACAGACATATTAGTTAGACTCCTAAACTGGTCAAGTTGACCAATATAGCCTGAAGGCTTTAAGCCTCCTAACCGCTGTTCTTAATGATCTAGTTGTATATTTGAGATTTCATCGAGCCAGAGATAAGAAACGTTTCCGTCTTTGGCTATTGCTCAACAGGTGGAAATGCTATTAAATCTCAAAACGGCAAATAGGAACAACGAATGGCTCACGATGGCTCACCTAGATACCAACTTCGCGTCACATGAAAATAAGCCCCCAACTTGATTGTGAAATACAACGGCTTTAGCCAATCAATATCTCAAATCGGGGTGCCCCTCGCTATATGCATGTAGAAGAAGTACTTATTGAGACGCGTCGACGCGTGTGGAGGCGTTCTAACACAACAAGTTACATCGTAATTATCATAAAGAGAAGACGAGATGGCCAAGCGCAAGCGGTCAAGTTACTATGCAGTTCGAGTCGGCAGGAAGCCTGGCGTATACGATAATTGGGAGCAATGTGAAGAACAGGTCTCCAAGTTCTCAAATGCCGTTTTTAAAGGGTTCGACACGCTTGACGCCGCTCTAGCATTTGTTGGCTACGCCTTAGCTTCCAACACCAGCCATATAGCCGAGGAGAGTGATGAGGTTTTAGCGCAAGATCAAACTATTGTGTCCTTAGGAGACTCAACGGGCCTTATAAGTTTAAAGGCTGAAGATGCCGAAGGGCCAATGCCGCCGCCCGCATCGCAGTCTTACTTTGATCAGTTTCCCAACTTCGTGCCCGACAACAACGCCTCTTTTGACGACGAATTCGGTCGTTTGGCTTCCTCTCAGGGCTTGGCATCCGGGTCTCAGGAGTACAGGAGACAGCGAACCAAGGCGATTCGTGACGAGTTGAAATTTCACTACTCGTCTCAGCCAGTTGACGCCGCGGGAGAACTGCAGACCATACCCGAGCTTGGTAAAAAATCATTAGACGAGAGCGAGAAGCTTGACATCTATCAAAACATGTGCCGCGAGATCGGCGTCAACCCGCGAGACACCATCGGGGCGTGCAGACGAGAGCTTAAAGGGGTTCTAGTCAATATTGTCGATTATATCGATGCCCGCCGCATAGGAAAGAAAGTCAAAATATGGGCCTGGGACGACTTCCGACTGTTCAGCGCGTATTCTTTGAGGGACGACAAACGTATGGATAGGAGAGAAGCGAAGGCAGACGGAGGATTCCTGTCGGCTCTCCTACAGATGATAACGGGTCCTGGCCCGGGGAAGGGGGGTTTGGCTTCTCTGGCTGTCGGCAATCGAAATGCTAAGAGGAGAAGGACTCGCTAGAGAGGACCAGATGTTGCAAAGCGTGTCTGTATATTTATTTTATAGTTTTTCTTAGCTAGTAGGTGTTGATTACTCGAGGGCCTAAGAATATCGATGATCCTAACCGGGATCAGTCAATATCTGCTATGAATTAACGATACGTCAGTTTAGGACGCTACCTCTAAGGTAGATATTTACTTTATTTGGCCCCAGCCTTCACCAACTCTCCAAACTTAGTTTCCTCCCAACAGAGGGCCGTAGAGATGCTGATTCCCGAGTAAATCAGTATACTGGCCCCGATGAAGCCGTATCCGACGTTTGCGTCGATATCGGGCCCCGACAGGCGCTCCAATAGCTTTTCGATCAAGAAAGGTTGGCAAAACGTAAAACCGAGAAGTGCCAGGCGTGGGAATATAGGAAGCATGAGAGGGACCTTCAATGTGCGCATTAGTGCCTTCGCGAGGCCAAACTTGTCGCCCTTCAGTTTCGAATAATCTATGTTTCTAGAGAACTCTTCGTAGAGCAATTTACCATCTAGAGAGCTATCCAGGGGGTACAAGTCGTTCATCGTCAAAACTTTCTTATACCCCTCCATGAAGATCCTATTAAGCCAGAAGTAGACTCCGAGGGAAAAGATCCCGCTCATCTGCTCGGGACTATGCTCTTTTTCGTCCCAGCAGACCCATTTCGATTTTCGTTGGGCTTCTAATACCAATATTCCAACCTTTAGAGCCATCGCAGCGCAGAATATGTTGCTGTAAGTGAGTTCGGGCTTGTCTTCCGATACCAGAAATAGCGTTCTTGCTTGAGCTGCATCCAGGAGGAGGGTCAGAAATAAGTAGCTATTCAGGAGCACGGAAGGTCTCGAGCTCTTGCTGTGATCGACGAGGCTAAGTGTTATCATGAATAACGCCGACACAAGCTTAAGGACCGAGGAGGCTATAAACATGCTGGCCACATGGAAGGAACCCACGGCGACTAGAATGAGGAGTGAGAGTTCAAGCCCAACATAAGTTGTGATAGCACCCTGTGGTCATTTAGCTGATATGCCTCGATTGCATGTTCATATATTACAAAACCTACCAGTTTGACGAGTTGAAAAGCTGGTGCATTCACTATAGTTGGCTTCCTTGCCTGATAAAACGTCCTCCATAACGATGCCGTAATAAATAGCACAGATGGTATAATAGAGAAGAAGAGCTGTTCAAACTGCACATTAAAGTCGAAGCTTTCTTGGTTCAGCTGAAGCAAGTTCTCCTCCCCGGTGGAAAAGGGCATCTTGAACGCAAGTCTTCCAGTCAACAATATGGCAGTATTGCAAGGGTCCAACGATCTCAAAACAGCTAAATAGCGGAACTGTCTTCCTCGATATAGTAGTATCCCGAGCTCCGAATCTCGATTTGATGGCTAGCTGATTAGCGAACTAACATCGCAGCCTTACATTGCGTAATCACCTACGTATAAGAGAAGATATAGGCCATCTAATACTAGGAGTCATCGCGGTTGGTTATTTCTATCAGAGATGACCCGAACATATAATCTCGCCAATTACAATGACCCTGGTTATATATACGCGTAGTCCCTTAGTAGGACTCCTTTGAGTATGTCTATTTCTCAAGCAATCAACCAATGACCAATGTAAGAAATAACATCTCAAAGCATTTCGGGGAAGTCAGATATTCGGAACTTCATATATACAATATACAAGAATACCAGATGCCGAAATTATATGCTAGAAGACTATATTACTGTTGGCCACCCGTCAACCCAATTTATAACATTCCAGCCAAACTTAGACTGAGGATAATCTACACCAACGTTGAGATCCACTATGGCTCAGTTAGCATAAATACGGTCTTCCTTCGGATGCTAAATCATGAGTACTTACGATAGTGGTAGTAGAGAACGTCGCCATGTGCGTCGTCGTGGAAAACTCCCTGTCCACCCGGAGCGTAAATGTTTCCGTGGCTAGCGAGCACGGTTGTCCCGCCGCCATCGGTGCAGGCACGGCCGTCTTTGTCTACGTAGGGGCCAGCCGGGTTGTCGCTTCGACAGACCGTGATATGATAGACCTGGTCGATCGGGTCTGTGTCCGGGTGGTAAACGCAACAGATACCTTTGCTCAGGAATTGGTACCAGAGGGTGTCGCGTTTCCAGATGAAAGCGCCCTCCATTTGGTGGTTTCCTGATGGCTCGTACGCTATCTGGTGTTCGTTGCCCGACCTGAAGACGTACTCGCCGTTGATGGCTACTCTTGCCTGGTAGATGTTATTCCAATATGAACCCCATTGTATATACCATTCGTTAGGACCCGTGCCGTTGACGACATTCCCGTCGATGGCATTGTATGGGCTGGTATCTGATGAGGTTACTACAATTCCCTGATCATTCCAAGACCCGGATTCCATGGTTGTAGAAGTCGCGTAACCGATGGCCGACTGGTGACTCCCAGAGGTCGATACCGAATAGAAGCAGTAGTAAATACCCCGAATATAAACTACGTCGGGGGCCCATAACTACATCGAATTCTATAGTAAGTAAGATGCTCTTCTCAGAATCCAGGAGGCCACCTAATGCTCACCTCCTTGTTCCCCGGCATATCAATAACGCTGGCGCCCTGGATTACGCTACCGCTCTGCGTCCAAGGTCCCGACAAGTCGTCCGCCGTCGAGATGCCGATCAAGTCCAAGGTCGAGAACCTGAAATACTTGCCATCTGCGCGCTTCACAACAGCGGGATCGTGAGTGAAGCATTCCCCGGAGCACGCGCCGGGGTTCGGGTATTGAGCCCGGGCGACAGAGGCTAGGGAGGCTAACAACAATGCTGGAAAAGCTGGGAACAACATCGTGGCTCCTAGTACTTCAGCGCGTGAACCTAATACACCACATACGCGCGCTTCTGACACGACTGGCACGGCATGCTTACTTTTGTCTGCGGACACCGCAACTTATACATGATAACTATGCCTAGGTAGGTATCTAAGGATATTCCGGATCTAGTGGGTTCAGCCCGAGCTGAGCTATATTGTGACCGTTACGGTCATGTTGTTGTATGTAGCTTGACCTCTGCAGGAGGCGTCCCCGGATGGGGTCCTCTCCTTAACTGGAATCTCGCCTAGAAAACTACTCCATATGTAACCAACCATGCCATAGCTGGACCATGGCTGGACATGGGGTCAGCTTACAAAAATGGAACTGACAAGCCACGAAGGCTCTGAAACGTCAAGGCTTAAGGCTGTTCGGCGTTAATTATCCTGCGCAGAATCGTAGCTCGCTTCACCTTGTCATGCAGATTATCCCAGCCATCGGCTTTACCTTCACTCTTGTAAAGTGCCGTCGTCGACAGAACTTTACAGGACCAGAGTAAGTAAAGAAAACTTATTCGTCTTATTCGACACTACAACACGTCTCCGTCTACGCGATGCCTACTTTACACTTTAGTTTTATGAAATGTTTATATTGGGTTAGGTAAACGCCTTCAATACGGCGTATTATTGCATAACAAGGATATAAGATCTAGTATTTATCGACGATCCGGGACGATCTTTTTGCGCACGAACACGGCTGAGCATTGCCACGTTGACGCTGTGCCGCAAAGTCGTCGCCAAAAATACCTGCTGGTAAAAGCTTACGTGTATACATATTGCCCAGCAAGCGATCCTGAACGGGGAAGTCTTTCGAATAAGCCACCATACCCATAAGAGTAGGTAGTTAAGCCTCCTTTAACTTAGTTCGACTTAAGCTTAATTTCAATCATGGTTTACACCTTTAATAGATTGGATAAATTTATCTCGCCCCTGTTAGCTCTATGTGGATTGGAGAAAAAGTCCATACAACTTCATAATTTCACAAATGGTGATTGGTTACGTTACATCCTACGCCCGGGGCTATGACCGGCCAATAGCAGCTCCATATGTATATCCCCGAGGACTTAAAGCCGTGATGGCACCAAGGTCATGTAGCAAGGCGACCTTAGAATAGCTATCTATAGTCATAACCCGGTATTGTAAGGACTATAATCGGGTTGATAATAAGTCCGAAATCATCGGTTTGGATCCCGTATAATGTCACTTGCCTAATCAATTAGGGCCGTTAAATAAAAGGGAGGTTAGTCGGGTGACCTTGTTTCGGTTAGCGATTCCGCGTCCTTGCTAGGATTTCTATTGTGCTGTGATGGTATATAGCATCAAGTTACCATAGAAATTGATGTTTACTTGGATATTTTGTTCGTGGGTTGGAAGTACGGCCAAATATTTCATAATCCAACATGAAGGTGTTCCCTACATTCGTCTGTCTTCTCATCGGAGCTGTAGCATCCGCCGTACGTCCATCGCTCAACGATTTCGTTCCCACGTCTAAGTCCTCGTTACTAATGCAAATGTGTAGGCGTCGCCGACTGAGAGTTCCGCGGGAACCAATGAGTTCGGTGTATCCAAGATAACATGGACCGGCCAAGTCAAGCCAGGCGAGCCTGCTGTATCGATCACGGGCACCGCGGAGGTAAGCCCCAACGGCCGGTATACCTTAAATTCCTACTAATCTAGTTTCGCAGGAAATTTACGCGCAGATTACAAGTATCAATCCGAATTATGACAACGAGTTGGGGTTGAATAGCCCTCACTCGACTGTGAAGAGGCGGGATCTTGAACCGATTAGGAAACGAGCGACAACGTCAGATGCATGTCTACCTCACCACTCACTAATTTCTTCCTTTCCTTTGCGTTTCTTTACTTCTAATACGTGCCATTTACTACAGGACTGGACATGCGCTTACGGAAACGACGTCAACGCCGAGTCGATCGGCGCCGGGGTTAGATACCTGTACAGCATTGCTAACGGGGACTGCGCTGCACCTCCTGGAAGTCCTGGGGCTGGCGGATGTAGTGTCAGCAGTTGTAATGCCGGCGCCGGCATCTTTCTATGCAACGACTCTGCTAACCAATTGCATAACCCTTGTTCCATCGTTGCCGAGTAAGTCCTTCTATATTCAGAGAGTGTAGGTGCTTGGTCTAACATGTTGCCCAGTAATGCCGTTGAGGTCTTGATCAACTGCCAACAGACTACTTATAACGGCGGCAGTAGCTGGACTACGAACACTCACGGACAAGTAAGTATTTGCCATCTCAGCATTGGTTCCGTTATATGTAGACTAACACTTGGCTATAGATATTCTCGAATGACCACAGTTGGAACGTCATACTTAACAGATGCTAGGTATGATTTGAAGTTAGAGTTGTAAGGTTGTGGGTGAAGCCATTATCATTAGAACCTCCACCGTCGTTATACCAGTACCTTATTTTAGTTAATACATATTATGGTATTGCTATTGTATATAATATACTATAGTAATTCACTCAGTATTACAAGAGCAAGACTTGGGCGCAGAGACCCCATCCTCCAGCTAATGATAACTGCAAGATGATAGAAACAGATCATCCATAACTTTTCTTGACTACCAGTCTACCTCTTCGATGTCATTGTTCTCCATGGTTTGTTGGTTGCGTCTTCCGCCATTGCTTCCGGGCGCCGCTGGTTATTGATAGAAAACGGAAGTAGATTAATCCATACCCAGAATATTACACCTGATATGGTGTTTTGTTCGACTCGTGTACTACGTAAGTGGTCAGCTTATTGCTGGTCAAGAGCAAAGATGTTGAATCTGATAATTACAAGATTCAACATGTATTATTAGTAACACGGAGTCTTGTGCAACTGTTGGTCATTCCGATCAATAATCCCGTAACAATGAACCCTACGCAAAGTAAAGTTAGGATCAGTCAACGCTGGATACGCCCATGTATTAGAATCTACTATAACTCGCTCGACCATTAATTAACAACACTGTTCATATCTTCATCTTTACCCAATTAAACTCTTTAGAAAAGCACCTAAAGTATCAATTACCGTGTCATCCATGGAACGACCCGCCTACGGACGGAGGCTTATGCCTTCAGTTCTTGATAGCCTCGCTAAAACGGACGCAAACAGGCTCTATGCCGTAATTCCCAACAACCCGGCAGATGTTAGCCAAGGGTTCTGCGATATTACGGTTACTGACGTTGCAAGATGTGTCAACTTCGTGGCAAACTGGATTCGAACCAATCTTGGATGTAGTCGGAATTTTGAGACCATAAGCTACATAGGAATCGCAGATCTCCGAGGTGCAGTCATTTTTCAAGCAGCTGTCAAATGTGGATTCAAGGTATCGTTCGACCATCTTTGTAACTTTTCCTCGTTTAATCAGATGGTAATTTGATGATATGTCCAATGTAGCTGCTTCTGCCGTCTCCGCGTAATCCTCCATCTACCAATGTATCCTTGGTGAATCAGACAGGAGGGTTCAATATCCTTCATACCGCCGAGGTTCGACCTATTGTCTCGCAACTTGAAAAGTTGCAGCCAAAGATACATATTTGGGAGGTTCCCTCGTTTGAACAAATGTTGAAAAGCTCGCCTGAGCATTTTGAATACGAGAAAACTTTCGATGAAGCCAGGGACGATCCAGTGGTCATACTCCACTCTTCTGGGTCAACAGGTAAGAATAACAGAAGTAGTATAATATTGATTATTATTTACATGCATACCCTAATTCAGCAACTCTAAATCCTTCCAGGAGTACCCAAGCCGATCACGATGACGCACGGTTCATTTGCAGTGCTCGATAATGAGCATAACCTTCCCCAAGTTCCTGGTCGAAAGAAACGGGACTGGTCTATGTGGACCTTCGATGGCGAGGCACGAGTGTATACTGTGTTTCCATTCTTCCATGTCAGCTTCGCCTTTCAGTAGTTTTTTATACGTGTAACTAATTGAATATACAGCTTGCTGGGTTCCTCTCTCTTACCCGCAAGTCTCAAAAATACCACAGATTTCAGACACGATTCTAACAAAGCAAAGTCCAAACTATCTTCATGAACGCATCGCCGGTTCTAGGCCCACCGCATATGGTTCCTGACGGCCGTCTCTTGAAGTATATAATGTTACACCAAAAGCGTGAGTCAACTGCAGAGTCCTTTCACAGCATCATCTATTATTCTCTCACTTGGTGGTTATTGGAGGCATAATACTTACAACATGCCGTAAATCCTAAAATACAGTCTCAACTAGTTGTCACTGACGTGAGATACTATAGTGCGGTCTATATTCTTACCCCCTGCAGTAATCGAGCAGTTACTCCACGAACCGGATGGAATTAATTTCTTTAAGGGGCTGGACTTCTTAGTATATAGTGGCGCGCCCTTCAATCCAATTATTGGGGATCGTTTGTCAGAAGTTGTCGAAATCATCTCCCCGTTCGGCTCAACCGAGATTTATCCACAGCCTGAACTTGCGCCCGCCCGGGAGGACTGGGCCTGGCACGAGTTCAACCCTCTTGTCAAATGTGAAATGCAAGAATATGATATCACTGAAGGGACCTTTGAATTGGTTGTCTTTGCGGATGAAAGCAACAAAGACAGCAGCGCCTTGTACCACAACCTCCCAGGCACAAAAGAATATCGGACCAAAGATTTATTCATACGTCACCCGGAAAAAACTCAGCTCTTCAAGTACTACGGACGCCGCGATGATATTATCGTTTTAGCCAATGGTGAGAAGTTTAACCCTATTCCACTAGAGGTGAATGTGCAGAACCACCCAGCACTAAAGGGTGTCTTGGTCATTGGAAATGGCAGAACGCAAGCAGCCCTTTTGGTAGAGCCCAAGGAAGCGCTCAAGGAGCCCAGCCGAGCGGAGCTGGTTAAAGACCTCTGGCCGCTCGTAGAGAAGTCTAACGATCTGATTGCCGGACAAGGTCGTATTCACCATGGAATGATTCTCTGCGCTCTTCCCGAGCGTCCTTTTACCAGAACTGGAAAGGGTACTATTGTGCGTAAACTAACAGAGCTGGCCTACGAGGATGATATCGAAAATATTTATACAGAGCGGTCTTACCGAAGCGAGCCTTTAATTACAATGTTAGAGCGCAGCCCCGAGGGTGTTTATGAATCACCAATAGTTGTCAAGTTCCTCCGGAGAATCATTGCCCTATCATTTCCACGGGGAGCCGCGATTGGTGAACGTGAGGATTTTTTCGTGTACGGTCTTGACTCTGTGCAGACCTTGGAGATTGTAGCGAATCTCAAATGCAATCTCCAGCGCGAACCCGAGAGCCTATCACTGGTTACGTGGATCACACCACGAACTATTTTCTATAACCCGAACATTGCAGAGCTTTCGGGGGTAGTGAAGAAATTCTTGGATACGGGCGAAACTCCACCAGAACAATCCGATCTGGCCGCATCTGAATCGGTTCGTCGTACTGTTGCGAACTACGTCCAGGCATTGCCAAAAAGATCAACAGCATCCGAGGAGTCAGCAACAGATCGCATGAAGCAACCAGCGGCACTTACAGTTGTGTTGCTTGGATCTACCGGATTCCTAGGTTCTTACCTGCTTGCGAATTTATTGAGAAGAAAACATGTTTCGCGCGTAATCTGCCTCAATAGGGCACGCGATGCTCAGAGACGACAGCAAGATAGCATGCGTCAGCTAGGGGCGCTATCTCTCCTGGAGAAAGTGGAATATATGACCGTCGATCTAGGACAACCACGTCTAGGGCTTACCCAAGACGACTACAGCAAACTCATTCTTGAAGCTGATATCATCATTTATAACTCGTGGAGACTCGATTTCGGGTTAGCCCTTCGATCTTTTTCGCCTTTCTTAGACGCTACGAGAGAGTTGATCGATATTGCAGCCACTAGTAATCGTAACCCGTCACTCGTTTTCATAAGCTCATTGTCTTCGGTGGCCGCGATGGCTAGGCGGACGACAGTGCCTGAAGTCCCTATCAATTCCCCGTCAGCTGCATTTGAGAACGGCTACGGTCAGTCTAAGCACGCCGCTGAAAGGATATTTGTAGCTGCAAGCCAGACGACCAGCATCCCAATATCAATAATTCGCGTTTGCCAGGTCGGCGGTCCAGCAACCGAGGAATACATTGGGAACCCCTGGGCCGATCAGCCTTGGATTTCTGTGCTAATAAAAACGTCGAAGGCGCTTGGAATAATCCCTACACATGTCACTACAGTCGACTGGGTTCCGGTAGATGTCGCTGCAATAATCCTATCTGACATAGCCTTGAAACCCCCTATCATAGCAAAGGCACAAGTCTACCACATTTGCAATCCCAATCCCCAGAACTGGGATATGATGGTTGATGTTGTGCAGGAGATGACAGATGTAAGCCAGACAGCGCCGCTTGGAGAATGGGTACGAAAGCTCCGAGCAATAGTTGACCCAAGCACAGAGAAGGTCGCTGAAATGCCCGCGTTGAAAATGTTAGACTATTATACATCACTTGCCCAAGGGGGCGAGAGGGCTACCTATGAAACGAGCCGTGCTCTAGGATTATCACAAGTTGAGGTGCCGCTGGTGGATAAGAAGATGATCAGGGGTTGGCTAAATGGATGGAAATTATAGGGGTTGATAGCATCCACAGAGAGTATTTCTCACAAGTAACCTAACCTAGTTCATACCAAAGCTTCAAGTTGGAATTCAGGCTGTAACTTAAGCAATCGTCATTTTGAGGTTATACTACCCATGATTCAACCACAATGGATCGAAATTAGAAAAAAGAAAACCAGAAAAGGTACCGCAATAGCTAGAATCCATAGGACACATTCCCCAATGCATAACTCGACAGGCGTACGCTTCAGTCTTTCAGATGCTCCAGGATCCACCCGACCTCAGCATCAGCAGCTTCCAAGATATGTTCCGCCGGATAAACAGGCTTCCAACCCAGCTCCTCACGGGCACGTCGAGCCGTGAGAGTACACCTAGGCAATGACAGAATCCACGTCAGTACGAATAGGCAGGCAGGCAGGCAGGCGAAGACGATATATCTATCTGAGCTGCGCATATAAAAACTATAAGGAGAACTTACTTTCCGCCTAACTGAATAGGCACCATCTCCTTCGGGATTCCAAGCGCAGCACCCATATCCCCGAGAACCTCGTCGTCTGCCAGAGCAACCGAACCATCTGCGATGATGTTGCGCTTGACGAGGGCGGCGGCTACTGCGTCGTACAGATCGTCCCACTGGCAATGCTAGATTAGCATCCGTTGTCATACATGCTCCGAGGACAAGGCTTGACTGCAAAATCCTCCTATGGCACTTTCTCAACCCTAGGAAGCTGGCTACCTATGCAATGGCCACAGATACTTACCGCAACGCTACCCGGGGCAGCAAGGTAATAGCCGTTCTTGCCGTGACTAGGGTTCTCATCGGCTAAGATCTTGCGCAGGAGTTCTATGTACGCGGTAGTATTGTCGAGTATGTGACATACAGGCCACTCCTGTTACTCTGCGGTTAGAATCCCGCGTTTGATTATAAGCCGCGAGAGGGACCTGTGGACGACGTACCGGCCGGTCAGAATCAACGCGATACACGCGTCCCAACGCCTTTGCGGACCGCACAATCATATATATCTGACGCAGGGTGGAAACGGGGTCGCCGAACCCCATGCTTTTCCCGTCTGTATGGGTAGATATTGTCAACGAGATAAACTTAGACGTTTCCGAGTACCTTTCGTACGTATAATGGAGTAAACGTATATGATTCTAGACTTTCACGCTCCGTGATCTGACTTACACACGATACAGGGCACAAAGACGTAGCCGTGAACCCCGTGTTCCTCGGCTTGTTCAATCACCGCGCAGTTTGTTCTAACGCCCTATTTCGAGCTTAGCCACGTAGAACAAGAAATCCCCCATGGTATACGCTCACCTGTTGGGCCACGCCGAGCTTCGGGCTTTGGGCTTTTTGGATGTCATATAACAGCGGGTCAGTGTCTAAAAGGAGACGGTCGGTCGGGGCGTCTGCATGGCTGGAAAAGAGCTTGGCCCCGGTAGTCTGAAATATACCTAATCAGCATTAAACGAGATCAACTGCGACGACTTACCTACATGTAAGAAATGAACAGTACGTCCGGTTGCTTTCTTGACCTCGGCGAGCGCCTCGATGAAGAATAAGGGAGGCTCGGATTGTATCGCATCTATCAAATAATAAACCACCGTGATCTCGTTGTCGACGACGGCGGTCCGGATTTCTGACCTATCCTTTAGGTTAAAAAACAGCGGCTGGGCGCCGTACTGCCGGACGGCTTCCGCTTGCTCGGCTGTCCGCACCGACGCGAATAACTTTCCGTAAGGTGGCAGGTTTGCAGCGCCCATCCGAGCAAGGAGATCTCCGCCGAGGTACCCGGAACCGCCAGTTATTAGTACGTTGTGTGACATATTTATATAGTATTTATGTATACCTAGTGTTCAATAGTTCCAGGGCCTAGGGAGTTATTACTCAACTAAAACTATGCAACGATGCTGGAGATGCTTTTTTATATATAATATAATTTGATGATCTAGAAAGTCGCCTCATTCTCACAAGTCAATCCACATTGTCCAATATCATCCAGAAGCCTGTCTCCGTTGCACGACGTATCCACTCTCCCGAATACCTAACCTAGGTAGTAGACTTCACGGCGAGATAGTTGGACCGTAGGGTGAACTCTAATTGGGGTTAAATGGGCGGTCGAGAGTAAAATATGTACATAAATAGCATGCATGTTAATAATGACATAGGGTAGGGGATTTATAAGACACTCGCCTCTATGTAGATTGGTGATATTGATTAGGTAAGGCTGACAAATCATAATTAGTAACTAGCAATAGTTATATACATAACTTCCATGTTTACATATATAACCTCTTGGTGCAAAACTCGCTTCCAAATTCCCCCGGTGATTAAAATTTGAACCATCAATACGGAAACGCGGCAGCCGGCCACCGGGTGGGACCAACGATCAAGTTGACTCGGGACAAAAAATGTCAACCTATGTAGTAGATAACTAACCTAGGTAGGTACCTAGGTACCTAGGTTGTGATCCATGGTGGAGTATCTTGGTAGAGTATCTTGGTAGAGTATCTTCGTCGAGACTCAAATTTCAGTCCCGACGTATCGTTTCGTTTCGTTTCGTTTCATTTCGTTTCATATCCAAAGCTCGAAGTCCAAGAGTAGGGTATCAATATATGTACACGCAACAGCATCGTGATCAAGTCACGACCGTTCGTTCTCTCCCGCCTTCGCACCCCTCGCCTTAAAGCAAGGTGGTAGTCGTAGAATGACCCTCCGCCCGGTAATATGGCGGGCCAAGTTCAAGCTTATCCAAGCTTCTCGAATATTTTACGCTTTTAGTAAACTCTCTGTAACTTGACGTCTCGAGGTCACCGTATATTCCTGCGTCCATCTAGTTGGGCATATATAGGTAGCAATTGAGCGTCTGTGTAGGAAACTTTTAGATGCCTCCCATAAAACCAACCCTTCCCATCGCGAGCCCGCTGTCCACCCAATTCTGCCAGTTGAAATTCTCGTCTATATCCATATTAACGTCTTGGTCCTCCGAATTCGGCGCGTTCTCTGCCGCGCTGTTCGGAGGAGACTGGCCCCAGACGCCGCTCCAGAACCACGGTGGAGGGTTGTCTTCCAGAAAATTATGTGCGGGCTGGCCTGTTGATCGCCGATTGCCATTGCTACTAGTAGCACCAACTGCTTCGCAGGAAGCTGCCTGGTTTGACCGGGACCCGCCCGGGGGTTGAGCGCCGCCTTCGGTAAGGTAGGCTTGGCCGGCCGGAAAAGCGACAGAGAAGATGTCCTGAGAGTCGAGATATGGTTGAGACATCAAGTGGTCGACATACTGCAACTCGGCCGGGGCTACCTCCATGCCCGACCGCTCCCGAGTAAGTCCCTTCTTTTCCGCCCGTGTGCTGCCGCTCGTGACGTCCGAGATGCGAAACGTTGGGCTTTCAGGACCTGTAACTCCCACCAACTTGCGCCACTGCTCCTGGGCTAGAACACCTCGCATCGAGCTAGATAGGTGTTTGAAGTCTTCTGGCTGCGTCTTCTTCTGTTCATCTAAATCGAGCTGCCGTGCGGCCTCGGGATCAGCTCTCAGCCGCTTAATTTCCTCATCCCTATGACGCCTTGCCTGCCCCATAAGCTTGCGCAGTGGAATCCAAACACCTGGCTTAGAACACTGGGATATATCGGGAGTCTGGAATGTAGCGCCGAGCACGATCCAGGCACGCTCGAGCGACGCGGTCCAAGGCAGCCGGCATACTTCAAGCAGGAGGTAGGCCACGGCGTGCCACTGCGCGTACGTTTGGAAGAGCCACCGCCACTGGCGACATCTTTGTTCCGAGTTTAACACTCGCGTATATTCGACTACCTCGAGGGAAGCCATAAAGAGACGATGTCGAGTTTCCTTGCTGACCTCGTCGGCTCCCCAATGGAGTAGCATGGGCTGGTAAATTATTAAACTCATCTTAGCCATTATAAGCCGCGCAATCATGGCGGCGACCCAATGTAGCACATCCGTGTCTTTGTCGCCGCATGCTTTGAGATACTTCGTTTCAATTCGCTCGTAGCACTCGTGGAGCATCTCGTAGCGCTCTTCTTCGGTACCCCGGGCACAGCACGAAGTCATCCCGTTTGTTGCGAAGTGTATCTTCCTAGCCAGAGCGCAGATTTCATAACGTATGAGACAAAATGTCATATCAGTAGGTCCTAGTTTCTCTTCCGGGAATTCCGTCATTTCAGGGGTCAAATCCGCATCGTTGATATTCAGCGGAAATTGCGTATCGTACGTTCGCTCCGCAATCGTCAGCTCCGTACCCTGGTCCTCTGCCGATCTGACGTCGAGAATACAAATTGCCCACCAGAGTCTACGGCGCATCTCGACGTCGAACGGGCTCAGACCGTCAAATTCCGTCCCTTCTCGATGTATTCCCAGCGACTGCGAGATGCGGATCGCGAGACCGGTAAGCGTCCAGGCGAACCTCGTGTCATCGTACCGACGGACGAGCACGAGAAAGAGAGTAAAGGCCTGAACTACCACTAGTTCTGACGTAACTAAGAAATTCGCTTTCGCAAGAGCTTGCTCCGTAGCAAAGCGATACTTCTTGATAAGCTGCGCCTTGTCGGCGCCAAAATTTATCTTGACCTAGACATGCATAACGATCAGCTTGCACTGCTACGCTAGTTACGCCGTTGGGGGGCTTGTACCTCATTTTCTTCCATGGAGGTGATGGAAGCATAATATATAGCGAACATCAAAGCCTCCATCCCCGGCGAGATGCCGTCCATGTTACTCCTCAGCTCGCGGATGATCTTGTTCATAGATGGTACGTGTAATATCTTGACCAGCGGGTCAACGTTCTCCTGGTAGACCTGCCAGAAGAATGGTATCTGAGACGGCAGGGGATGTAATTTCCGTAGATCGACATTGGAAGAGCTATAGCCTAGAACGAAGCCGTGGTGATCGATCGAATCTGGGCGAGGGTGCAAGGAATCAGGACTACTACCGTCGTCCGAAGGTTCGGAGTCGTCGTCGATGAGCATCTCTGATTCGGTTCGAAGCTGGTTAAGCTATCGCATAAGTCAATGACACGATCCGCCAAGGCCTTGATTTCTGTAGCCAACGTACCTCGTCGTTAACCTTGGACCAGAACGCGCTGCTCACGTACCGCGTCTTTCCCTGCTCATTCAGTACCAATCTCCCGAAGGGCTTGTTAACCTCAGAGGTAGGACTCTTCAATGTCTGGTTGGCGGAGTCGCCGGTCTGAGAGCGGCTGAATTTTGTATGGTCGGCTGGAGGGTAGCCGCCGGGTAGATTCTCGCTATACGTAATTCCACTCTGCTTTCGCCGCTCCCTTTCCTGCGCGCTATCTAGAGTCGCCTCGGGTGAAGTCCCGCCGCTGACAGAGGGGTGCCTCGCCGTCTCTATTTCAATCTGTCCACTAAGATCCTCTACTATGCTCTCCAACTTTCGCAACCTCTTCATGAGCTCGATCTCGCGCTCGCTCGTCTGTTTAGGCGGAGCATTGGGGTCCCTCACGCGCGGTCGCCGCGGCGCACGGCCTGGTGCTGGGAAGACGCATTGGATGTGGGCTTTGCGACAATTGCCACAGGGCATGAATTTGTCGCATCTAACTTTCCGACGTCGACATGTTACGCAGCTGCGCGGATTCAGCACGGCCGAGGGCGTAGTGGAGGGGTCGAGGGTAATGGGGCCCGAGGGCGTGAAAGCGGTATTGGGAGCGCCGGGCACAGGAACGACCGAGGCGGAATTCGATATCAACGCGGAATCTTGAGGCGTCGACCCAGCGGCGGATGCAGCGGTAGGCGAGCCGATCGAGTTTTCGTTCGGGGACGAACGCGACGACGATTCCATGGGAGTCAAATTGCTTTTTTGAGTGACAGAAGTAAAATATAGGTTGGATATAGTGCGGATGATCCGCGAGCCGTGCTCCTGAACTTACCAATTCCCATATAGTTCAGATCCCATATGGTCCAGCCTCTTTAGCAACTCAGAGACAGAGACAGAGACAGAGACAGAGACAGAGACGGAGAAGGAGAAGGAGAAGGAGACGGAGACGGAGAGGCTTTCGAGCAGTAAGGGTTAAGTAATATTTAGGTAGATGTTGTAGTTATTGTCAAGGCGAGCATGTGTGTAAAGAACAAATCGAGATAATTACGCGGGCTAGCTAAGAATCCTAAGCAAAGACAAGGCTGAGTTTAGAACGGCAGGTTTCTTCTACATACGCTGATACGATATACTTATTGACTCACCCCCGGGGATGGGAGACCGGGGATGGGGGATGGTGTGGGCCTTTCTTTCATAGAAATACCTAACCTAATGCCGTAACTGTGCAGAACATCTAGCAGGGACAGGGATTCGTCTTTTAGCTAAGCTTTTCGTCAGACATTTCCTTCACCGCGCAATTAACTCGGGATCGAGAAAGGGAACCAATCGAGAAGGGGGAACCGATCGAGAAAGGGAACCGAATAAGCTTCTCTGGGCATGTAACTTTCAAGGCGGAGACAAAGTATATATATAAATACCTATTTTCTGGGGTCGAGGCTGCGAGAGACGGGAATAATGTGGAAAGCAGCTTGGCTTAGCTTGGCTTAGCTGGGCATTGAGACTGAGGGAAAGATTTAAGATTCCCCTGACCTAGGTTGGTTTTTTGTCTTAACGTCACAATTCTCTTGTTTTCCTCCTTCGGCCGCCTTAAATCCGTAGCTCGGACGAGGGATAGCCGGGACTCGGACACAAAATTATCATACTTATATTATTATATTATTAAACGGGCGACTCGGATCTTAGCAGCTTGGCCAAGGATGCACAGCAGACTTGAAAAATCGAATATAGGAGGTATAATAGTAGGTATATAACAATCGTTAACTCAAGGTTCGTTGCGGAATAATGGGTTGTCTCTCCATCAACGCGTGTAAGTTGAGGCCAATTAATATCAAAATTACTAGGTTACCTTATTCTTAACGCAAATACACCAACTCCCACACAAATAAACCATACAGCCGCATCTCGTCGGAATCCATAATGATGTAGCTAGCCAAGAGAGCCAAGAAAGCCAAGATACCAGATCAGATCAAATAAACCAGGCCCAGTATATTAGTGTATGATCATACATGTTGAAGTGCCGAAGTCTAATATGGAGATGCGAAGATGCGGAAGCAGTCGGCTTAACCCAAGATCATGCGCGCGGGTGTTTCCCACCGCTACCGGATCAACACTTACGTATTGTATTGTATCTCGGCATTAACCAGACCGGACCGTCTGTCGCATCCGGCTCATCCGCGTATGTCGTAGCAGCATGTCGTAACATAAGCATCGGTTACTACAGTAAGTGTACCTACCTAACCTAGTCATGAGGCAGATTGGAAATGTTTACGTTACAAAGTCGCCTAACCTAAGGCATTAAGATTAAGCGGACTAACGATGTTGCTGGCTTCGGAAGACAAATTCCCCGCTGATACGGCAAATACACGCTCGTCGCCGAGATTAATCTCCGAGCCGTTATACCGGCATCTCTTAGGGGAGCTTCTTGGAGTTGTAGCGTTGTTCTCTCGTACTATATTCCGTAAACATATCCTAGATAACTAACCCAGATAACTAACATGCAGATAAAAAGGCTATACAAGTCTAGTTAATCGAACGATAACAGATCAAGTTAAATTCAATGTTCCAATTATCACATCATCCCAATAGCTTCATACCGTACCTACCTAACCTACATATGTGTGCAGGCATACAAATATCACGTCATGTGACGTTTTCAAGGTTATCGGGTCTACCCGAATCTCGTGCATTTCTGATGATCCCATCCCCAATCCATTAACCTACCTGCATAGTACCTACATAACATACATACATAGAAGCCTTCTTTTACATTGGGCACCTAACGTACCTAGGTATTAACCAAACTCAAGGGTATCCACCCTAAACAACAACATGTCTATCACCAACAACAGCAACAACACCACATCCCCAGCCACTCCCAAGACCATGCGAGCCTGGGTATACACCTCGACGCGCGGAGGCATCGAGAAGAACATCCATCTAATCAGCGACGCGCCGCTCCCCTTCCTCCCCAAGGACGCCATCCTCGTCAAGGTCCACTACAGCTCCCTCAACCCAGCCGACTACAAGTTCCCCGAGCTAGGCCTGCCCATGCGCGCGCTGATCCCCACCCCCGCCTCCCCCGGCATGGACTTCTCCGGCGTCGTCGCCCAGGTCGGCGACTCCGTCGACGCCTTGCGCGCCGGCGACGCCGTCTTCGGCCGGATCCCGCCCACCAAGCACGGCTCGCTCGGGGAGTACGTGTGCGCGCGCCTCGACGGCTGCGCCGCCGTGCCCGCCGGCGTATCCCTCCAGGACGCGAGCTGCATCGGGACGGCAGCCCAGACCGCGTACCAGTGCATCGCGCCCAACGTCAGCCCCGGCGACAAGGTCTTCGTCAACGGCGGCAGCGGCGGCACAGGCACCTTCGGCATCCAGATCGCAAAGGCCCTGGGCTGCCACGTGACTGCGAGTTGCTCCGGCAAGAACGCCGACCTGTGCCGCAGCCTCGGCGCCGACGAGGTCGTCGACTACACCGCCGAGGACGTCAGCCAAGTCCTAAAGGCCAAGGGCCAGGTCTACCAGCTGGTCGTCGACAACGTCGGCACGCCGGCCGATCTACATAAAGCAGCCGACCACTTCCTGCGCCCCGACGGGAAATTCGTGCAGATTGGTGGTGAGTTTACCATGGCGAATATCACCACCGTTATGTCGAGGGGGCTCCTACCTTCCTTCCTAGGCGGTGGCAAAAGAAAGTGGCAGTATCTTGTTACGAGCAATACCCATGCCGACCTTGAGCAGATCGCCAAATGGATGAGTGAAGGCAAGGTCAAGGCTATCATCGACGAGGTGTTCCAGTACGAAGACGCACCCAAGGCTTTCGAGAAGCTGAGGACGGGACGCGCCAAGGGGAAGATTGTAATTAAATCCACTGCGTAAGGCTCTCGAATTTGCGAAACGCGAGGCGGGTATGTACCAAAAAAACATGAAAGTTTACGAGACAACATCTTAGACGCTGGTAAGAACTAAGAGGACAGAATGTCAAGAATGTAATGATCATAATGGATTGCAGTGCTACTATCAGATAAGCAATCATGATGGTACATCCGACATATTAGTCTTGTCTATTGATAAAATATATATTATATACTAAGCAGAAATAGGAGATAACCATACTCCTAACATTGGGCCGTAAGGATCTCTTTCCAGACCGTCCAAGGTAGCACGTATATCTATTCCCTTCGTCTTTCTAGGTGTCTATAGCCGAGAGCTTCTTATCTCTTATTACCCATAGCAACCCTGCGTACCTAAGGCAGCGAGTGACTTGCTGGTGCTGCATTGCCTAGCCAGTCATCTCCATTCGTGATCTCTCTTCTCTGATCCAAATAAAAGAGAATCTAAACTTCGTAGAATACGGTCCCCTAATTGACTTGGTTGAATACCCCCGTCAACCACCTATCCGCATGACGTCTTATTTTTCACAAGACATATACCTTAACGTGACTTCGCGGAACGCCTAGCTCGATGCATCATTATGCTCTATAAGGGAGCGCATCTTTAAAAACCTCCAATATCCCGTAAATTGATCAATGATACGAAACGGATGGGCTACCCTATCATTCAACGTCTCGATCCCGCAGCACGATCAAGAGCGGCAGAACTCCTTGAGCTTGTCATAGTTAATCCGACGGGTGTCATTGCACCACTGGCAACTGGGGCCGGCGTGGTACTCCGGGTTGGGGGGGCCGAACGGTTGTGCGCCATGTGCGCCTTGACTAGATGGCCGGCAGCGAGAGCGCTACAGAGGGAGAGCTCTCCCGCAAGGACTGCCGCGCCAACTATGCGGGCAAGACGCGCCGCGTTGTCTCCGGGGTTTGTCGGGTGAGGTCCTCTAACACCAAGCATGTCGAGCATAGCACTCTGGGGCTCCAAGATAGTGCCGCCGCCGAGCGTGCCAACCTCAATCGACGGCATAGACACGGAGATTTGAAGAGACCCGCGTAAGCTGTCGGGCAAGTTAGCTGGAGAAGTGATAAATAAGACGGATACGACAATAGACTTACTTTTTCATGATGGTGATACAATTCGAGCTTTCTATGACTTGCGCCGGGTCCTGTCCGGTAGCGATGAAAACAGCCGCAACAATGTTGGCTGCGTGAGCATTGAAACCGCCCATCGCACCAGCCATAGCAGACCCGATAAAGTTCTTTGCGATGTTAAGCTCGACGAGGCTATCCACGTCGCTCTTCAGCACCGCCTTGACTACATCGCCTGGGATGATGGCTTCGGCGACTATACCCTTACCCCGGCCATCGATCCAGTTAATTGCGGAAGCCTTCTTGTCGATACAGTAGTTTCCAGACAGCGACACGATGGACATATCGCTAAACCCACCCTCGGTAGCCATAACATTCAACGCGTGCTCAACACCCTTGGAGATCATGTTCATCCCCATGGCATCGCCAGTCGTCGTCTTGAACCGGATGAAGAGATTGGTTCCAGCAAGAGCCGTCTTCATTGTTTGTAATCGAGCAAACCTTGAAGTTGAATCGAACGCCTTCTTCATCACAGCCTGACCTACCTCAGAATCGATCCAGAGCTTCGCAGCGCCGGCGCGCTCGAGAGTCTCGAATTGCACACATGGTCCTCGAGTCATTCCGTCGCTCGTCAGAACGGTAACGGCACCTCCGCCAGAGTTGATAGCCTTGCAGCCGCGACTTGTGCTAGCGACGAGCACACCTTCAGTGGTCGCCATAGGAATAAAGTAGCTTTTGCCGTCGATAACGAGCGGTCCGGCTACACCGACAGGAATGGGCATATAACCAATAACGTTTTCACAGCAAGCACCAAGCACTTGTTCCCAGTTGTAGTTCTCGTATGGCAGCTTAGACTGGTCCAATAAGCTAGTAAGGTCTGCCGTCGCTCGGGTCCTCGCGATGATACTTCGACGAACTTTCACAGCCCGCGTGCAATCCTTGAGAGTCTTCTCCAATGCATAACCAGGGATCTTGCCTTTCAGCGATACGGCAACAATCTCCTCATCAGTTAATTCATGTGCCCTTTTCTCGGATAACATCCTGTCTATCTCGCTCTGTGTCCTCAGCGCCGCTAGTGACGCTAGCTGACTAGCCGGGGGAGGCTGGCTAACACTTTCATCATCGGTATAGGCGGGAGTGACAGGTCTGTCAGGCATTGGCTGCGACTGCTTCGGTAGGATCTCACCGAGGGGTAGCGTTGCAGACTGCGTATCGTTGAATCGCTCGGCATCTGCGAGCTCCTTCGGGTCTATAGGATGGTCTGGCAGATTCGGATCCCTGATACCCCACCTGGCCACGTTGAATAGATAACCATTAAGCGCAACACTCATGGCTAGAGCGATCACGATCCACTTGGATAGGATCGGGTCTTCCAGGCTGGTAAGAAGGCTACCAACCATGCGTCCGCCTACTCCGTAGCCGCTGAGTTGAGGGTAGCTGTCTCGTCTACCATGGTGCCCGTTGTTCGTAGGTAGGGGTGCCTCCGCGTAGTGGATGGACGGAAATTCCAATTCGTACTTGATGGGAGTCAGGACAGAAACTACAGTCGGCTTGGAGTGACTCTTCGCGTTGTAAAGTATCTCATCAAGCCCGTTAGACGCAACTTTGAAGGGATCGAGAGGGGGTGAGCTAACGACACCTCCCAAGCCCGTAGCCCACGAAGAGATGCTGGAAATCTCCGAGGTCCTGAAGGGAATTGTGCAGATGTTGGCGACATTGACAGCAATAAAGCCCATAACCATCCAGAACTTGAACTTTGGGACGCTGTTGCTCCTGAGATCACTACCGAAGAGAGGCACATCAGCCTTGCCCTTGGCGTCTCTTCTAGGCCAGTCATTACTTTTAGCAACATTCTCAGCAACACGGCGACTGATACCGTCATCCTCTAAGGCCCGCCGCAGCTCCACGTGGCGCCTGATGCGGTTTACTTCGAGTTTGATGCACAGAATAGCGGTATAGAAGGTGAAGAGCAAGATGCAGTCGAAGAAGAGTATCCAGGCGGCTAAGAAGCAGAACTGCTGGAGGCCGCCTTGCACGCCCGAGGCGGCTCCGGCAACGAGAATCAGAATCTCTATGACATAGTCACGGACAATCTCATAACCCTTATCCTTGATTGCGCGCTGTACGGCGTAGTGAATAATACCATCCGAAGGAGTCAAAAACTTGGCAGATTTACCACTGTTGGTCTGCTTCTCTTCGGGCCTACGGTGCTCTAGCGCGTGGGACAGGACAGCCCGGGTGAGCGCGATATTCTTCTCGAACCCGATAGTAACAACCAGGAACGGTAACCCTTCGGATAGTAAGACCATGCTGATCGGAACGCCGAGCTTGGTGGTAACGTTGAGACCAAATAGGAAGGCGAAAGTCGACGAGAAAAGCACGCTGATGGCTAGCCAGACGTTCGACCCCATCTTTTTCATGGATAGGAACAGCGATACGAAAGTTAGGTGCATAGACAGATATCCCAGGACCATGATGATGATATCTAGCGTCTCCGCGTTCTTTATCAGGTCGAGAAACTCGGTCCAAGCATTGTGAATCCATCGTACCACACTTCCTCTGGTGTAACCCTTGGCGACTTTCATTATCCACATCTTCTGCTCCTCTTTGCCTAACTCGGTTTCGCGCGATTCTTGACCAGGAACATCGTTGGGGATCTCTTGTGCTGCCGCAAGGAACTCCGCGGCCTCGCTATACTTGACGGCGAATGCCAGAGCGCTGTCCTGGGAATAGGCACTTAAGGGGTTTGAGGTAGACGGCAAATGCAAGATGCTCAGGTTCTGTGGGAGAGGGACTATATGAGGCAACGGTGCGGTCTGGGGCGCGTCTTTAGACGACTCCGGAAATACCAGAGTAACAAGGGCCAAGTGGTCGGCATCCTTTGGGATGGTAGAATCGGAATCAAAGCTCTGCCACCGCCACGAGGTTTCGGGGCCGGCCTGCAAGCTTCTGCTGCCCTCCACTAATGAGGGCCAATCGGCCGTCCTCGCACTTCCGGTCACATCTAAAAGGCTCTCCTTGACGACGCCGACGTAGGTGGTGCTAGCTATTAAAGAAACGATGACGATGGTATGGATTGGATGCAGGCAAGCAATCTTAGAGAAAAACTGGAGGATCGGTGTGACTTTCTGGTTCATCTTGGATGGTGGGATTGGTGTATCGTTTGGTTGCTCACCGCGAAAGCGGGAGGGAAGAAATGAAGAAGCGATCATCTTAGCACTACCGCGAAGGCATTGGGCGACGATCGCTGAACAACTATGCTTATCCTTCCTAAGGTATATGTATTAGTTCAGTTCTACTTATGATGTCCGTACAGTGTCTCGGAACCGGGATGTCCAGTCTTAGGTGAGGAGGACGGAACGAACCTAATGATATGCCCTTTTTTGTTTTTTATATAGTAGCAGTTTTAATTCTATAGTTGCCTCCGACTGTCCAGGTAATTATAGGGAAGACGGCGTTAAAGATGACGTTAAGCTGTTGAGGTGAGAGGTGAGTGGTGAGAGGCTAGGAGCGAGGAGCGAAAGGTGGACTACCCCAAGGTTCGACTTAAAGGATTGTCGATATTATTTTAGTGACAGAATTGGAGTTGACGAAACAGACGATGGGTTTCCATAGAAAACCTTAGGAACGCCTTGACGCCAATGCGAATGTCAATGTCAATGTCAATGTCAATGTCAACGTCAATGCGAATACCAATTCCAATGCCAATGACGATAGAGAGAATGAATCGGCAGGCGTGCTGAATCTCTCAACCGTACAGGACCACGAACAAAGAATGGTTCGACGAAGAAATGTTGGAAGAATAATTGCAAGTCATGGGGGGTCGGTGGGGATTTATTATCGGTGCGGTGAAGAGAGAAACCTCAAGGTTTCCTTCCCTAGCTCCTCATCATCCCCTGATAAGTCCTGCAGTCTTAGCCGTCTTAGCAGCAGCCCTGGCTTCGAATCTTTCAATCAGTTGCAATCACAAAATTAGGAGACCCATACAGGTCCCACTATAAGCACCGGCCTACTATCGATTAGGTACTAAAAAGCTACCTACGGATCCGTACACGTACCTATCTATGTACGTACCTTCCAGGTACTTAGGTACACTATCGGAGTCGAAAAAACGTGGGAAACTCCATAAGTTCATCCCACCGCTCTGCCACTTACACAACATTTAGGAGCTTCACTCCCATCTTGTTTACTTGGACCTTTTGCCATATGTACTTGACTACTACATGGTAGAACACACAGACCTAAGTATTTACCGGTCATATCAGGTTGGGCTTCGTCCCAACTCTACTGATAAGCATACTTCTTTTCTTCAATTGGCATTGAACATGCTCCAAAACTCCGGGTACGCACAGCGCAATTTCATGGACCTACGTGCAGTTCCTAAAAAAGACCGATAATCAAGCCACCTATGTTCTCACCCACCTCGCCAACGCCGTCTAGTATGTACACCATGGCCAAAGGGGGAGTCCAAGTCCCCAGAAACAACACCGTATGGATACCTTGACAACTCAACAACAGCCAGGGTTGAACTACATATCACAAGGTGAAATCTGGGCATGTCAACAAACCCCTAGCAAAGCTACCTAACAACTATCGTTAAATACATATGTAGAGGAAGTCCAGATACATACCAGTAGCTTGAGGATGTGGTCAAATTACACTACGTGTACAACTATCTCGGCCGTTACTAAAAGAAGCCTAGGCGGGTTGTGACAACCACAATGGCGGTCTTGGGAATTAACCATCGATACGACATAGTAGATGTTTCCATACAACGGGACGATCTCAAACCAACACGGCGAAACCGAGACATATGACTTATCTTTCCCGACCCTCGTGCTACCATCCATCGCATATCCATCGCACATCCACCCCCCACGTAGAAAAGCCACTAACCTAGGGAAGATAGGAAGATAATCATACATGCATCAGGTACTCTCTTCAGTCCGCCACCGGCCTCGTTGTCTAACGCCCGTACGACCGGACGACCGGACCTACGTCAGTAAGCAGGGAGAATTATAGTAATAGCTACGGGTCCGTACTCCTACATACACCGCTGGATAACCAAGATAGAAGCCCTTCAGCTTCACCCTGTTACTGCGCCGTCATCAGTCGGCTTACTTCAGGGCCGTCCATGCTAACAACTTTAGCCCCGGATATTTCAATTTCTTTCTTGCATTCCGACCACGCAGAAGGATCAACGGCTCTCGTGCATTCTTCCACCAAGTAGGTCTTGAAGCCTTCTTTCGCCGCATCGACCGCCGCGTTCTTGACGCAATAGTCTGCTGCTAGCCCCACCACGTACACATCAGTGACCTGCTTCTCCCTCAGGATCTTCACGATGCCACTGTCGTAAACTCGCGGAGACTTAAAGGGATCATAAAACGGGCTGTACACCTCGATGCGCGGGTCAGCTCCCTTCTCGAGAACCATGTCAATCTGACTGGTGAGTAGCTCGGGAATCAACTCTGCTCCCGGGCTGCCTTGCACGCAGTGAACCGGCCATAGTCGCGACTCATACGTCTCGGCCTCGTTGTATGGGTTCACGATCGTGATCAAGTCCTCAAACGGGACTTTGCCTTGGTGATTTGCCGCAAACGAAACGTGATCGTGCGGGTGCCAGTCCTTAGTCGCGATCCTGATCACGAAAGGGGAGGCTAGAAGTTTATTGACCAGTGGCGCGATATCGCGACCATTGGTCACTGCAAGAGAACCGTTCTGGTCGTTGTTATGTTAGTCAGCTCGTTACCAACAGCCGCAAAACTACCTAACCGGGTAGTAGCCAGGTAGTAACCAGGTAGGTAGGTAAGGTATACTTACCGGAGGACAGAAGTCCTCTTGGAGATCTACTACTATCAATGCGGGCCTAAAGTTGGCCATGTTTAGAATCTGTTCTATTCGACAGTAGGGATACCTTATAGGTAGGTAGGCTCTGAATAGCACTACCTAGGCTTTTTAGATGATTAATAAAAATCAAAGTCTCGCAAACACGATATTTTAGAAAAATGTCAAATGATGACATGCCAGATCCGATAAGATAAAGTCTTCTACCCCTCCAACGATATATATTTGGATGGTTATTGCGGGGAGGTTCTCCTGCAATAATTACCCCCTATGTACCTAACATACCTAGGTACCTATGTAACCTAGGTAATTATTGACCTTTGGAGTCAACTTCATTTAAGTGCTTCTACCAGCCTTAAAAGCTACCTACATATCATAAAAGGATAACGTTCAGTCATTCCTCTTTGATGGATACGTGTACTGCAACCCCTTTGTAACACTACCGAACCACAGCTTCAGATGGTCATATATGCTATTCGTGCGTCCATACCACTATAGCGAAAAATCAGTACTGACGAATAGAGTAGGATTATTGTGAATACTTAATAAGTCAAGTTGGAATATAGGAGATGAGGCTTACCGGAGATGTGCCCGTGATCCTGGGCAACCTGTCCCGTGCCATGACAAAGTAGGTCGAGCTGTGTTCTACGACCGGCTTTGACGAAGCAAGGTCGGATTGAGCGTTGACCGGCACAACTGACGTAGCGCCAGTCTTCTGCATATGCTTCCATACTTTTATGAGCAGCTTGATGCTGGTATCAGCACCGAGCGTCCAGGAACTTATCGTATACCCTATCACGGCTCCGGAATTTGGTACATCGGTAACCATGACCCCTCTCCAAGCATAGCAAGTTCCTAGATCCACAGGCCGTCCGTCCACGATCGGGGTGATGCCTCCAAATAGGTGGACGTCTGGTATTCCCCGGGTTAGCATTCTGCAATCGAACACGTGAAAAGGGGGAGCTAGAGCATTAGAAAACGCATTGGAAAACGCAATGCTTACGAAGACCCGTGGCCGTCACTATAATGTCTGCGTCGAGCTTCCTCCCCGACTTGGTAAGAATGCCGTCTGCCGTAACCGTCTCGATATGGTCGGTGACAATGTCACAGTTATCTCGGTGTAGAGCTCGGAAAAAGTCACCATCTGGACACAGCCCCACTCGTTGCTCGAACAAGTTGTAGCTGGGGTTGAAATGAACATTTACGTCAATGTCGGCGGGTAATTGTTTCTTCATGTCGTGCACGACGAGCTTCCTTGCTAGACTAGGGAAGGTGAGGCAGAAGTAAACAAAGACATGTTCCACGATAAAACATCTGCAGGGCGTTAGTTAATATAGGTAGTTAGCTGAAAAAGAAAAAAAAAGAATAGATATCAGGTATACAAACCGCCACCAGTTGAGCGAGTGAGCAATACTCTCTGGCAAAAGCTTCCTTATCCATCTCCCAACCGGGTCCGATAGGGGCAGGCTAATAACATAGGATGGGCTTCTTTGAAGCATCGTAACGTGGCCCGCCGTCTCGGCCATGGCAGGTAGCATAGTGATAGCAGTAGCGCCGGATCCGATGATGACGACTTTCTTATTGGCATAATCGAGGTCCTCAGGCCAGAACTGAGGGTGCGCGACCGTGCCCTCGAAGTTGTCGATGCCGGGTATTTCGGCCTTCAGCGGGTTGGCGTAATCATAATACCCCGAGCAGGTGATGATGAATTTAGCCTTGTATTCCTTTGCGAGGCCGTCTGCGTTAACCGCCAGAGTCCACCGCTGTTCCTCCGAAGACCAACTAATGCCGGTGACCCGGTGCTCGAGCTGAATCTTCTTGTCGATACCTTCAGCCCGTGCAGCATCCTCTATATACTCCCTGATAAGATGCGCTTCGGCCATATCCGTATCGTGTATCCACGGTCGCCACGGAAGGCCGAACAATGTAAGGTCCGAGTCCGACCGGATACCGGGGAACTTGAAGAATGACCAAGTACCGCCGACCTCATTCCGTGCTTCCAGAATGGTGTAGGAGCAGTCTGGCAGCTGAGTCTTCAAGCGGTAAGCGGCGTCGACTCCAGAGAGCCCAGCACCGACAATGATGAAGTCGTACTCTTCCATTCTTATATTAAGCCGGTAATCTAAACCTTTGTTGTTTTTCCGTTTTGCTGTTCAATATTGTTACTGACCTCATCGCGAGGTTAAGCTTCTACTATAGGCAGCCTCTTAGCGAGACCCCCTTGTCGATTATCCAATTGAATAATAATGCAGAGTAGCATTGCAGACTTGGCAATCTTATTACCAATTCTAGGCGAGTCTAGACCATTTATGCTCTGATCCCAGATAGCAGATATGTAGGTACATAAGGTAGTCCGACGATCTAAGACGAAGCTTGCTAGCGGTGTCTTATAACAACATCTTATAATATTGCTTAAACATATGTAGGTATACACCTGGTCAGCAGTGCTGCTTACATATGTCTCTCATCAAGAAGGATAATTAAGGGTTCCAAGATCTTATCAGTCAATTAAATATTCAGTAAAAGTGGTATCTAATTGGTATAACTATTCGTTGATAAACCTTTCCTCTATCCATTAATAGGTACTTCACGCTGGAGCATCGTATCGCTACCTAACTTAAGCGACATCCTTTTCCACAACTTCTTTCTCTTGTTTCACCTCCTTTAAATTTTTCCATCCCATTCCCCAGCCGGTTATAAAAGCACAACTTGCGCCAGCGAATCCGAGATACTGATAGATTTGTCAGTAAGGATGAGATACCATGCCAGAGTCAGTGTTCTTACAAATATATAGTCGATGGCTTGATTGTATGCTAGGAGAGCACCTTCTACCTGGCTCGGGGGGATAACTCTGGCTATCTCAGTCGCGCCGGTGTTAATCAGTAAGCTCGGATCGATGTCGGGAGCAAACTTTTGGAGGGCTGTTCCTATAGAGCTGGTGAAGATGGTTTTCGCGAGAGCCGAAAAGATGGCGCTTCCAAGTAGCTGAGAGAACGTAGCGTACGCGGCTGCTATCGAGGCGTCTTCTCTAGGCACGTTCGCCTGCATGGCAAGGACAAGCTAAATAAATGTAATCGTCAGTATTCCCTAGCACCGTAAAGGACAGATGTAAGACAAATATTATCACACACCAATTGTAAGACAAAGCCACGACCTGCTCCCATGAGGATCTGATATCCTATTATTTCCCCGTCGGAAGTAGCTAGAGAAAAGGTCGAGGTCAAACCGGCTCCGATCGCCACCAGCGCGTTCCCTCCGACGACTTCCGGAAGGTAATAGCCCGTCTTCTGAACGAGAGCCCCGCATACTACAGACGCAACGAGCTGCGACAGTATTATAGGAAGAAGCATTATACCACTCTGTAGAGCGTCCACGCCTCTGATGGCTTGGAACCAGACGGGCAGCCAAAGCAACGAATTGATGGACCCGCCGCTTTGCAGGAACGAGGTGATGGTGATCATGATGCTAATGCGGCTACGAAGTAACCTGGGCGGTAATAAGGCCGAATCTCCTTTGTAAGCGAACCAGAATCCGACGACTACAAAGCCTACCACTCCGCCGCACATAAGTCCAATAACGGTCGGTGAATTCCAGGGGTATTTAGTGCCGCCCCATTGCAAGCCGATCAAGAACATTATAGCCGCTGCGGCAAAGATGGCAAAGCCGACAAAGTCGAGGTCAAGGACCCGCTCCAGGAGAGATGTATTATTTTCCGAGAGCCTTGTTACAGGTAACCTGACTACAAATACGAACAGGAAAACGACCAGGCCACCCAGGGGCAGGTTGCTAAGAAAGGTCAGTTCGAGTATCAACGCCAAAATAGCGACGGCCGACTTACATGTAAAAGCACCAGCGCCATGTTAGCCCCTGGGTAAGAGCCCCGCCGATCAGAGGGCCCGCCGCCTGGCCCACGGCAAAACAACCAAGTATGATGCCGTTTATAAACGACCGCTTCGCTATCGGGACGGTGGCGGCGACGATCGTAGAACTACCGTTGAGAATCCCGGAACCCCCTATGCCGCTTATCGCTCTGGCGATGACGAGCATCATAGAGGACGTCGATAGCGCTGCAATCAAGGACCCAATCTCGAAGATAATTATAAAGGTAATGAATACGAGCTTGATCCGAAAGCCCCTATATATTTTCCCAACAAACGGTACCATGACACAGCTTCGCCAGACTTGTCAGCCTCGCACTGTCAGACGACATACGCTCTCGACTTCCAACTTACTTTGCTATTTGAGACGCCGAAGAATACCACCCAACATCATCCACGGTATTAAACTCTGCGGTAATTGCGGGGATGGCCTAGTAGAAGTGTAAGCACATATGTACGTGACCAAGAATGTCGCAGCGTCTTCCTCACAGTTCCTAGAGCTGTATTGTTGAGAGCCATCAAGAGAACGCCTAGGGTAACGGATCCCATCGCCACGTAGAAGGGCAACCCGCTCATCTGCGGAGGACTGGTACTCCCGCTTCCGGTTTGGTCGTCATTTTGGGGGACTACGCCAACGTCGTCACGGCTATGTTCCCCGCCATCAATCTTTTCATATTCGAGCTTAGGACTGTCGACGTTGATCGCGGACTCTACATCTCTAGTATCCGAACTAGTTTTTTCTGGCTGTTGATTATTCATCGTTACGGGCTGAGCAAAGCCCCGTGTAAGTCGTCGTTAACTAGTCCCTAGCTGGTCACCCCTGGCCGAGATATATCAGCCTCGAGATGCAGCTCCGAGAATTCGTATCGGGACATGTTAAAAACAATTTATACAATTCTTCTCCTGCGAATAATAAGGACTATCACCGTAAGAATTTAAGATAACCGATATCCGCATGAGGGCGCTGGGGTACGATGTTGTAATGATTGAACGTGAACCACACATTTCAGTCAGCCGGCCTTTTTCTTAAAAGTCCGGGTCAGAAGTTGCATTATTGTAGGTCGCATATACCTATTTCTCCCGTATTTATGTTAGTCTAGCTACGCCAATCTGGGTATCTGGACTAACACAAGCTTGGTAGTAAGAACATCTTGGGTCATATGTGGAGACCGGAAGCTGGAGAATATTTCTAATCTCCGTCCCCTCGCTGGAACCATGCATACCTGAAGACCATCCTCGAACACTGACAGTCATCTCACCACGGCTTGCGGTTTACACTTTGAAAGTCCGCCGGCGATTGTAACCTCTATCATCGAATGTGCCATCTTGTTTTATGTGGCACTAATGGATAAACCAAAGAACTCCGCTATCGCCAAATGGGGAGCAGCGTGTTCGCCATGTGCTCTCGCAAAGGCTAAATGTCTGCGCTCAAGCAGCCGGTCGGGCGTTAGATGTGATAGGTGAGTATATTCTCCCTTGCATACAATCGCTTTCTAAGCTTAGGGCCAGAGCCTTGTGCTGGTGCACTCTCGTGTTATACTCAGTTTACTAATGGTATATTGGAGGATATAGATGTGAACGTTTAGATAAAGATTGTACCAGTCAGATACATAAGCCGAGGAAAAAGCGACAGAGCAGGCCCTCGTAAGCAATCTCTTATTTCTAGAAGTTTATAGTCAGCTCTCGTGGCGATGGTATACACATATCGTCGGAATAGTCATTTTTTAGTGTGTTCTTTGATCATCGCCAGTATTAGACAGGTCTTTGAGCTAGGTAGTCCACACGTAAAGGCAAAGACTAACAGTCTATGTTTTACTATAGAAAGACAGCACAGCTCGAGGAGAGACTTAATAGCCTTGTCGATTTTATCAAGGCCACCAACTCAGGGGATATCCCTGTTCCGTTAAGGCAGGTTTCGGGTGCTAAATCCACTACATCTATATCATCACTAGAGGCGACCGCAGATGCGGCGCCAATACAGAGCCGAAAGCGAATTAGCAGCGATTCTCCGAGTCAATCTTCAGGCTCAAATTATGGACAGCCGTCTGCAATTCCTGATTATTACAATGAACATGCCCCTCGTGTATGTGTCTGCCGCACTCAAGCCGGCGAGAGTCCTGCTTCCCTTGAGTCCGACGAGGTCTTATTGTCGATATTCGTTGACGAGCTTGTACCTAACTACCCGTTTGTCGTACTTCCATCAGGATTCATGGCTTCAGAATTAGCATTAAAGTATCCTTTCCTCTTCGCCACGGTCCGAATGATCGCGTCTTATCGTAACTTAAGCTCGCTGAGGTCACAGAACTACTTCATAATGAGACACATATCTGAGCAGATGCTTATGCGTTCAGAGCGGTCTCTGGAAATACTTCAATCGATTCTCTTGGTCGTGGGATACTATCACTACCATTGTATAATGCACGCCCAGATGAACAATCTGATCGCACTAGCAAACAGTTTAGTAGCAGACCTCGGCATCAACAAGCCTCCTGAATTACAGGAAAAGACGAAGTTATTGATTTCGACTCCAGAAGCCCCGAAAAGTAGGACGAATGACGAGAGGAGGGCAGTCTGCGGAGTCTGGTATATGACATCGGTGTAAGTCAAAATGAACTGCTACCACTCTTGCTTGACCCAGTAACTCGTAGAAGTTGCGGGCAAGATATATTTCTCTAACGTACTCGATCATACTCACGCGCAACAGTGTCTCGCTCTCGTTTCAACGGATCGAGCCGCCAAAATATACGCCGTACATAGATCAATGTCTTCGGGAGCTTGAGGCCGATCAGGAGTATGGAACTGATTCGCTCCTCGTCCACCTGGTGCGAATCCAGCATATGTCGGAGCGTATTTCTCAACTACACGCGAAAGACCACGATGAGAGCGAATTGGCCGGTATTACCCGTGCCCCTATGAGCGCGTATTCCAGCGTATTTCACGCGGAGATAGAGAATTTTAAAGCATCACTACCCCGTCATCTCTTATCAAATAGTTAGCTAGGTACCTTGTATGATACTTTCGAGAAACGTGAAATTAACTGAAGGATAGAGCTGCTGATGTGCCATATTAATACGGCCTCTTTACGCTTATGGGAACCGCCGCGGATCGATGCTACACTCCTCGAAAAAATATCGAACTCGTTATCGTCTCTAACTCTAGATTCTGCTTCTTCACTCGACGTCTTTTATCGATCTGGCACCGCGCTCAAGGCTTGGTTCGAGGCTTGGCTGGCTATTGACGTCGCGGATTACTTTGTCTTACCTATGCCTATCTCGGCTCAGCTCATCAACTCTGTAATAATGCTGGTCCGCTGGTCCAAGCTGACAAGCCCCGAACGCAGTTTTACATCTACCCCAACCACGGCGACGAGTTCTGCATTATCACAGATTGTACGAAGCGATCCAGGTTGCAGCGGTGCGGCTCTGGTCTCCGTGCCGACAGTCGGAGTTAAAGACATAGATTTAGATCCCGCAATTCCTGCCGCAGTACGTACTATTAGGTCTCACCTACTTTCTCAGTCCGAGCTCCGGATAGATGCCACTGGTATTCTGCAAGGTATGGTAACGCGATGCGAGCAGGCACGGGAGGCCTGCGAAAAACAAAGGGGATTAGCTTGCGAGAATGACATATGGGACATGGCCGCGAGGAAACTAAAGAGTACTCGCGTTAAGCTGGAGAGATGGGCCGAGATGGTAGCCGCCGTAGGTGGCGAGGGTCGTCGACCTGAGCTGTCATCAAATGCCAACATTGCTAGGGAGGTTGACCTGGGCAACAGTAATGGCATGGGAGGAAATTGGCCTCCTATGCCCTCGGGAATGAACGTTTCTACCCAATTTTCGCTCGAGGAGTGGAGTCCCGGCGCTTGGTGGGCGAGCGACTTCTTCGAGGGATCGGGCATGGATCAGAATTTCTTTGACGGGCCGGGTGACTATGGCACGGTTGTTATGGATGGTATGGAGCCTCCGTAGAAGTAGACCTTTATGAGTTGCTACGTTGATGTGTGTGACCGATGGTGTAATAATACCCTTTATACTGAGACTTATATACTTGAAAACATTATACTTGTCCACAAAAAGGGTCGTTTCACTATGGTGAACTTCACTATTATCCCGGCAGTAACTTTACCAACCGACACGAGACGTGGAGACCTTTTAAACCAGGTCGAAATATTTCATCCGCATTATCCACAAATTCCAATGCTACGCCTACACGCTTCTTACGAAGGTGGTGTTCACTACAATGTAGTATACTATGTTAGCAGTATCATAGCCGGAAACTACTGGGAATTAGATGAAGGAAGAACAGGCAACAAAGATAATCTTTTCGTATCAACGCCTGCGGATGAATCTGAACCTTGCGTCAACATCCCGTTCGACGATATATTAAAAGGATCTAAATATTACTCCTACGTCCCCAAAATTAATGGCGGTAAGTTATATAGGAAGCTGCACAGGTGCTGTTAAAATACCAATATTAATTCGTTTTTATTGGGCCATTATCCTGTCATGCCAAACTTCTCAAACTGGGCATTTCCCGATAATAAAGATATCTCAAAACCTTGGATAACCCACGCACACGTCGTCTACGCCTCAGACCCCGTCGATGGCGAAACAGCAAATGCTCACATCGAGCCTTGCGTTGTCTCAGGAGATGGTAACGTTGTTGACAATGTTCACGTTATTCCCAAGGTTTGCAAGCAGTGGTATATCGAAAACAAAAATTACTCATTCGAAAGTCTCAAACAATCATAGGTTATATCAAAGGTCGATACAAACAGCGATTAATTGATTTAGCTAGTTAGGTAGTTATATGATTAGAGTACCACACAACTTGGGGTTATTAATTAACTAAACCACAATTTTATCAGTCTTAACCTTATCAAGTAGGTAGGTAGTTATGCAGTTATTACTGTTATAACTACAGCCGGAAATAAAAACAAGCCGCCATGGAAAAAAGGGGTAGGTAATTACGAAATTGAGAATTAAGAAACCCAGTATAAGGTAAGGTTGGTTATACTGGATTTCTAAATGTTGGAACATTTTCCCATTTGCTATAAGCAGTTTACTGTAGCAACTATAGAGCACACTATAATATCATAGAAGACGAGGCAACTTCCATGCGAGACTTTTGCGTTTTGGCAAGGCAAATAAGTTCCCTTCTGGTTGACGCTTCGATTCTTTCATCCAACCCCGACTCGCTACGCAATAGGGAGGCGAAGGCTTTGTGTCCTAACGTATCGAAGGTCTCGGTACGTAGAATACGTTACTTACGGCAAATTAGCCCCTTTGTTGCCCATGGCGATCGTCGGAGCGTCAAGAACGAGCCGAGTATCGGTGGTATCGGCGACAAAGAGTTGAATAGGTATAGGCTTAGGTCGTACGTACTTGACGGTCTTTTGCAATCTTTGTGGCTGATTGATTTTTTTCATGTGTTATTAACTGTTGCTACTGTTCTACAAATACCAAATTTATCCTGATAGCATTTTACTTACTAGCCACCAGCAAAAATGGACGGGATGTCTATGCCATCATCTATAGAGTCTTCGGTCTCATCTACAATACAATCAACGTTTAGCTCCGCCATGCCGACCTCCACGACAAGCACAGGAGGTGTAGATAGCATGGGTGGTATGGAATCGCAAATGGGGGAATGTAAGATCTCTGTGAGATATTCACTTCCAATACGACGAGTCGCATAGGTACCTACCTACCCAGTTCGTCCAACCTCGCTAACAGACCATGAGCGTAAGATGCTTTGGAATTGGGAAACCATTGACGCCTGCTTCCTCTCGGAAACCTGGCAAGTCAAGTCCCGCGGCGGATTTGCAGGCCTGTGTATTGGAGCTGTGCTGCTCGTGATTCTGCTCGAGTTTTTACGCCGCGCCTCTAGGATCTACGACCAACACTTGATCCGCCAGCACATAAGGGCCACGAGCGCCCTCGCCGCGACGACCGTGAACAACTCCTCGGATACCACCAACGGGGCTCTCATAGCAAAAGAAGGCACCACGGCCCTCGTCCGTGTCACACCGTTTAGGCCGAAGCTCTGGCAACAGGCCATCCGCGCTTCGCTACATACGCTTCATTTTGCTCTGGCTTATTGGATCATGCTGCTTGCTATGTACTATAACGGATACGTAATCATCTGCATCATCCTCGGCGCTTTCATAGGGTTCTTCATACTACAATGGGAACATATAGACCCTCGGTGAGTACAATGTCTCAAGGCTTGACGAGGGCCAATGCTAGGCATCGGAGGCTAATATTATCACTAAAAGGGGTGGTGGTGTAGCTAGCTTTAATGGTGGAAAATGCGCCACTGGCTGTCATGGTTAAATCCTACCGAAGTGATACGAACGAGATCGGTGTAATACTAGAGGACTAAAATTAGGGTATGGGAGTATTCTGTTAGAATATCAGAAGGTGGACTTCCGGAATACATAATAACGCAGGCTTGGGGTTTAATGCAGACTAAGTAGAGGTATATATGTACGATAAAGGACCGTTTACGTCGCATAATAAGTATACGTTTATTCTAACATCTAAACGGATATACCAAAGTTGGCGTTATCCGAAGTGATATTTACGAATATTGTCAAGTGAAGGCATTTATTCTTAAGCAATTGTAACATATCACGAAAATTATAAAGCTATGGTTAAAGCTTGGTGAGAATTATAAGGATGTCGGAATCGTTAATTAGCGTAAATTCATTTACCCTCATTCCCTAATCCACCTTTTTGCATTTTTCAACGCCAGTATCGTGAATTGCAATTACCATGAATACCTACGGCTCCGCAATGCCCTTACATGCTACTACAGCCAACGAACCACCAACCCTAACCATTGTGAAAATTAATGAGATAAAGTAGCTAAGTAGAAAAATAAGACCATCCACTACGCTAACGCTCATCGTCCAACTCGAATCACACCGGCCGCAATCAGCTTCTGGATCTTAGAACGAACGTTCGGGTTACGCATGTGCTCCTGTAGCGCCGCGGGGTCGGACTGGGCTTGCTGAAGGATAGATTGCATGACAGGATCTTGCATGATGCTCATGATCTACGACGCGCGGGTTAGCCGTCCCTATTCTGTCCGAAGTTATGGGAGTGTATTCGGTACTTACCTCGGGGTCTTTCATCAACCTCTCCCGAGTCTGATCCTCTGTTTCATTCTCTCGGGCAGAGTACATAGCCTGCAGAGCCTTCTGTTGCTGCTGCTCAATCTCTCGCGCGTTAGCGTTCTTATGATGCTCGTTATCCACCGTGGTAGCCTCGTTGCAAGCGTCGATACACCTGGAGTAGTCACGCATGCCGAAGTAAATCTGGGCCTTGCGAATATACGCCCTGATGAACTTGGGGTCCTTCTTGATAGCCGCGTTGCAATCCTCGAGAGCGCTTGGAAACTCGAATAGCTTGACAAAGGCGGCGGCGCGGTTGCTATATCCACGAGGATCCTCCGGAGCACGCTTGATCATCTCCGAGTAAGCCGCAACAGCGCCAGGGAAATCCTGCTCCTTGAACTTCTTATTACCTTCCTCGCGAGCTTCCTCAGCCTTCTCCGGGTCGATGTAGGACTTCCTGGTTTCCTCGATCTTTCTACGCTCGGCAGAGCGGAGCTTGTTTACAGTATCGGGTGTTCGGTGCTCGGTCAGGGACTTCTGGTAATTTTCAATCGCTGCTGCGAGGTCTCCTAGCTTCTCGTAGGCTGTACCAATGCGGGCGTATGACTTGGCAATCATCTTAAAGTCAGCATATATCTGGCGGCCCTCTTCGATAGCCTTAGTGCAAGCATCGATGCAGGCTTGGTAATCGCCCTTTTCGAATTGAGCGGCGCCGAGATTGTTGAGGTAGGTTATGTCCTTGTGCAATTCCCAGGCCTTAGTATAGTGCTTTATAGCCTCGTCAAAGTTACGCTTCTTGTAGTTTTCGGTACCCAATGCCTTTTCCTTGTCGGCCTCTTCCTTTGCTTTTTTCTTGGCAAGCTCTTCCTCATCTACTTCTGGCTCTGGCTCTGGCTCGGGAGCCTTAGCCGGTTCTGATTTGGATTGGGATTTCGAATCAACTGGAACAAGGTCCGGCATTTCAACGTCTTCCTCTGCCTCTTTAGCGCCAGATGAAGAGGCGGCAGCGGCAGCGCCCGGGATGTCACCCGGGCCCCCCATGCTCATGTCGATGCCCATCAGGACTCCTAATACCTGAATCATTCGAGGGTCGCTGAACAGCTCCTGTGTATTCTGGGGATTCTTCTGTATAGCCTGGATCTTTGCGATGAAGGATGGATCAGCAAAGAAACCGCTGGTCTTAGGATTGCTCATCAGCTTCTGGAGGAGATTAGGGTCGCTAAACATCTTGCCGAGTCCACCTGTAGGATCACCACCGAAACCAGCGCCTATAGAGAATTAGTATATATAAAAAAAAATACGAAGATATATGTTTGAAGGGACGATGAAACAGGGTACAGGTATTTACATACCGGCTTCTTGTTCCATGGCGCGCTGGACGGAGGCAAGAGAACTTTTTAGACCGGCGTTGTTAGGATCGTGCTTGAGACCCTCTTCGTAGGCGTCGCTAGCACCTAGAAGGTCGCCGGAACCGTGCAGGGCTGCGCCCTTGCGACCCCATCCTCGCGGCCAGTCTGGCTTAATCTGAGTAGTCTTCTCGGCATCGTTTAGAGCATTTGTCCAGTCCTTCTTGGAAGCGTAAGCAGCGGATCGGTTGCTGTAAAGAATGTGGTTGTTTGGGTCGATAGAGATGGCCTTGGTGAAGGCATCACTAAGAGAGCTGTTAGTCTAGGGTTCTCAAAAAATTCTTGGTCACTTGGGTTGTAAAGTTAAAAAGATTAATATTATATGGACATGAAAAACCTACATAGCCTCATCGAACTTCTTGTCGGCAATAGCCTTGTTGCCCAGAGCTTTAAGCTCGTCTACAGAGGCCATGGTGGGTGGATGCTACTTTTCTCCACACGCAGTTGTTGTGTTTAAGTTGGACGAATATTGTATGAACTTGAGAAAATCTTACAGAAGAGGGAAGAAATAGTCGCAAAGCAGAAGTTAGATGTGGTAAAGTTGTTTGTAAGTTGTTTGTAAGTTGCGATGTCCAAACTTTGGAATGGAACCACTGGGACTTGGATCTTTTTATGTAGGGCTGAATGCGATGAATTCGAGAGCTTTCTACGGTGGGGTAGGTATTGAGGTCCCTGACGGAAAGCTGCATCTGCTTGTCGATAGCGATAGCGTATCAGTTGTATCAGCGTATCGCGCTAACACTGCTAGGAACCTTAACCTACCTAGGTTAGTACCTACCTTAGGTACAATACCTAGGTACATGCCTCCTACGTTCAAGCATGCGCGACCAACATGCGATAAGAAATATTTCCTCTGGTTGCGCGGGGCACGTCGTCTGGATTCAATTGATCTTAGGTACCTACATAACCTACCTCCTAATCTATTTTCACATACACCTCTTACTCTTCCATTCCTAGCCTCACATATATCAAGTCCTCCATCCTAGACATATTAGGTAGAAGCGCGTTAAGCAACTATGTACCTCTATCCTTTCTTAACTTTTTGGAATTAGGTCCGCTTCAGCTTGGCGCGTTTTTTTATACATATTCCGCGCCGCTTTATAAAGTCTCACTGAACTCATCACCGATCACCAATTTACAATTAACATATGAGTCACGATTCGACCACTCTTCAAAATGGACGACCAGACCTCGATACTCAAAACTCAGCTCTACTCCGCCTGCGAAGATGCCTGTAGAGATAATCCCGAGAGGTTTTTCTCTCAGGAGGACCTAATGGCGCTCGACGTCGTTCCGCCCAAAGATGTAAAGAAACTCCTACAAATCATACAACTTCTGACGCGGGAGCGCCTTTTCGTTCCCGTCCACTTCCACAGTGGCCTAGCATGGCGACTCCGTCCCGAGGCCGAGGCGGCCAAGTAAGTAAAGTATTCTTCCTATTATCCTTCTTATTATATCTACCTGCCTACTTTTGATTTTAATCGCCATCTAATCTTTTCTCGATAGGTATAAGCACCTCACCTCCGAGGACCAGGTCCTAGTCTACGAAATCATCGACTCGGCCGGTGCTGAGGGCGCATGGCAGCAGGACATAAAGAAGCGCCTTAACCTCCAAGACAATGCCTTGCGAAAGGCGCTTAAGGAGCTGGAGACTAAGCGCTTCATCCAGCAGTTCACTACCGTCGAGAATATGTCTAAGAAGATGTGGATCAAGTTCAACATGCAGCCTTCTGCCCGCGCAACAGGAGGCCCCTGGTATACTGATCAATATCTCGACGAGGCCTTCATCGACACCTTGCAGGCCGTGGTAGTGCGCATTATAAAGGATAGGGGTAGCTATCGAAGTACGGGAGAACGAGGCGTTCGAAGCGTGAGCCCAGTCCTGCCGAAGAAGGGCATAATAAGAGGCGGGTTATCCGAGGCCGCGATAAAGAGCAAGAAACGTTCCGCAGACGCAATGTCTAAAGATGATAATACACGTCCTACAGCTCCCGCATCTAAGGTCCGCGGAGCCCTCCGCCTCCCTCTACCTGCAGGTTATATGGGCTACCCCACGGCTGAGGAGATCACAGCGGAAATCGTCTCCATGCACATAGCCAAAGGACAGCCGCTGAAGACGGAACATGTTAAGGAGCTTATCGACATTCTCATCTGGGAGAATAGGATTGAGGAGGTTAAGACTGGTGACCGAGTTGGCTACAGGGCCGTGCGTGTGTCTAAGCAACATCCGGACATGGTCAAGCTAGACAGCGAAGATTTCTGGGAGCCGAGAACCAATGGCTTGACAACCGTACCTTGCGGCAAATGCCCTGTCTTTGAGCTGTGCGAAGAAGGTGGTCCTGTATGGGCGGGGGGTTGTGAATATTTTGACAAATGGCTATTATAAGGTATAATGTATACTTAAGGTAAAAGTGGCGTTTTTGCTTTCCGACATAGCATAGCACGGCGTTTGATGGAGGGGGAAAATACATGTGTCACAACTAAGGACGAAAAAAAACATGGGGAGAGTTTTACCAGATCCGGACAAAGCCACCGATGCTGATTAGTACAGCCAGGATAGTCAGGCTACAGTTACAACGACGTATCACCGAACTTAGGTTAGATATAGATAATTTGAAGCAAGACATGTTATTGACAACTACCTAGCGTCTAACGAATTGCTGGTTGAACTGTCTCGCAAGTTGGCCCCCCCTGAGTTTCCTCATGCCTTTTTGTGTGGCCTACACCAATACTTGAGAGGAGGCAAGTTGGTAGCATCGTGGGCCAAATAGAAATTTTACACGCAGTCAAGATGAAATATTGTCATCTTTTTCTTTAGGCAAGCTCGCCCGAGTTGACGATGGTAGGTCGCTTGCTGTACTTGATAGCACCGCTCTGGGAGCCAGTAGCCTCGATAGCCTTGACTATAGCTATGGAAGCATCGTCCGCAACGATACCGAAGGGAACGTGGCGGCCGTCTAACCAACTTGTCTTGACAGTGGTGATGAAGAACTGAGAGCCGTTGCTAAATACGAGATGCGTTAGTTAGAAGATAGTAGCCAAGGGAATAAATACAAGATAGAAACACGTGAATACAACTTACGTGTTGGGGCCAGCGTTAGCCATGGACAAGGTGAACGGGTGAGTGTGCTTGAGATCGAGGTTCTCGTCGGCAAACTTCTCGCCGTAGATGGACTTGCCACCAGTGCCCTATTGTGTAGTTAGAAGTCGGCTCAAAAACGGACTATAATGGTATTGGGAGGGAGTCGACATACGTTGCCACGAGTGAAGTCACCACCCTGAAGCATGAACTCGGGGATGATACGGTGGAAGGACGAGCCCTTGTAGCCGAAGCCCTTCTCGCCGGTGCAGAGAGCACGGAAGTTCTCGACGGTCTTGGGTACGAGGGACTGCCAGAGCTCCAGGTTGATACGACCAGTCTGGGCTATGAAGTGGATGATGTGTCAGCTCCAAAACAGCTAATAATAAATAAAAAGTACGGTTCTTAATAGTGCCTTGGGAATCAATTGAGCTTCCTAACAAAGATATGAATAATATACAGCTCTGATGCATAGAGGATGGGAGCTTATAGAGATAGCAGAAGCTTCAGTAGAATTGCCGGGGTGGGATTCAACTTACTCTTCACGGTGGCAGTAGGTCTGCCATTCTCTAGGACGGGACCCTCCCACTCCAAATCAAAGAAGCTAGACGATGGTGTTAGCTACACCCGAAAATAAAAGATTGCGGTAAGTTAGAATTTAAGGATGAAGGCAAGACTTACACCTTAATGTTGCCAGACATATTGACTGAGGTTGCGGAAAAGAATCGAACGGACGATTGGCTTGCTGGAGTAGAAGAGAATGTTGATGATACCTTTGGGAAGACTGAAGGTCGAAAACAGGAAGACGAAGTTGAAAATGAGGAAGAGGAGGAAGAAAACGCAGCGCGGGGCACTCGAAGGAGGGGTTGGAAGAAGGTCTGTCTCATCATCTTTTTGCGGTACTGTATTGGGATTTGCTAAGGGAGGGGTCAGCTCAAGCTACCGGCCAATCACGTAATAGAGATGGAGGCAAAAAAAAAGCTCTTTCCGAGGGGCTACAGGTTGCAAGTGGGGTTTATGAGGGTGAAAGTGTGGTACTGCATGCATCTTAGCAGCATCTTAGCAGCCTTAGGTACACGGGTACTTGTACTGTGGAGGGGTTAAACTTGGAAGGAGCTGTCGTCACTTACTCTGGCTCACTTTCCACCCCACTCCATCCACTTTAACAGTTTTGGGTGCTTTCACTTGAGGCGGACTTCCTAAGCATATTTGCCCACATGCATGCCACTAAGAAATACACATGTATACCTATGTATACATGTATAGTGTATAGAAGTACAATGGTACAACAACAGAATACATGTAACCACCACCTGCATTGCCTACATGTACCATGTACGGATTAAACCCCAACAAGAACTAATTGGGATTAATGTACAAGCAGGTTGAGATGGTTTGGTGTTCTGGGACTGATTTGTCTAACAAAAAGCAAACAAATAAGAGGTAAATAAGGAGGAGAAGGGGTAAGTTTTAGAAAAAGGGGGATAACGGCAACAACAACAAAAACAGAAACAAACGCAACCAAAAGACAGAAGGAAAAAAATGTATCCCCCTTCTTCTCCCTGCTAACTCCCAGTCCGAACTAGAACTGGGGTTAGAACTGGGGATGGAATATGTGATCAAAGGGGCAATGGAGGTCAGGGGTCTAGACGAGTACTCCGTCTATCCATTACTCCTCTGACTAGATATTCCAGTGACAAGGGCTCCGAAGGGGACGGTCTTCGGCTTTTATGTTACTAAAGTAAACGCCGAGTAGATTCACCTCGCTCGGAGGTAATCAGCCAACCGAATGCTTCCGACGTTCTTCCAGCCGGCGACGAGTTGAAAAGCTCCTCAACTAATACGGAAATCCACTGTGTTCTCCGTGCTGTCAAGGACGCTGATGACGTGCTCTTAGACATGATCGGACTAAATTCCACGTGCGTCTCTCCATCGGATAGGTCAACGACCCTCCGGAGCAAAGAGGGCAAGAGGGTGGCAGTGCAATGCCGTGCTGTGCCGTGCCTTAGCAATATTTTGTGCTCTTTGCATGCAGCATAGTGTCTTCGGCTTCTTGCCGCGCCTGTTGCAACAAGCGTCTGATGCTGCCGGTAGAGGTAGTAGGCATGTAGGACTGCTTGTCTATAGCGTCTTCAAACATGCGACAAGCAGGCCACTAGAAACGCATGCCACGACTTACACGCACGCATACGCAGACATACACCAACGAGGCGGACACGGGACAGCTGGGGCAAGACTGCAGCTTCACCCCACCTTCCGCCCATCTGTCTGACCGCCCACAGATCCGGCATGCCTCGGCCTGTGAAGAGCAGATGGGGGCCATGTCGTCGCCAGGCCGCAACTTGGCTTGAACACTTGTTCTCTAGCCTTGCTTCTATCTTTGGAAGTTGAGGGGTGATCTTCTTGCGCAAGAAGTCGGTACCAATGCAGCCTGTCGTATCAAAAATAACGCTACAAGCCAACAAGCTCGTAGCTTTCTAACGTGACCATACGGCAAGTCATAGATTCGAGGATTGTGCTGTCTGGAAGTTCCGCTTGGAGTTTTTGAGCTTTTACGGCTTCCTTTCAAACTTAATAAAGTATAAATTCGACGACGACTTTAAGAACAGTTTTCACATACCTTATATGCGGGTTGTAAGATGTAATCAAACGGCTATTCCGAATATAAGTAGAGAAAATTCGAGGTCGGATAACGTATAGCTGGATAGTTCACAATAGTAGTAGTCAAGCTCGAGCAGAGCTCTTAAAATTTTTAAACATATTTTCTTTAAGAGCCCTACAAAAGTTCAACCTGGTCCGAGCTCTGTATATACTAAGTGAACCGGCTATTCTGGCCATTCTGGCATTTTATCTAAACTCTACCGACCAATTGGATATATATATCATGCTTTTTTTTACCTCTATTTTCAAATATAAATGTTCATATACCATTGCTATACTATTATGTATAAATACCCAAATTATAGAAAGTCAAGAGCTTCTTTGTTTAGGTGACATCAATATGTATAAGTCAATCACGCTCTAGTCACGTGATGTATATAGTCCCGTTGACGCTGACGTAAGGAGTCCGCAGTGCCGGATGTGGACCCCATAACTTATCAAGGTGGCCATTGCACAAGTCGGGCAGCGTTTGTCAGGGGTCCGAAAGGAAGGTAGGAAAGTCGAAGTGTTAGTTTTGCTAGATGCAGTTTCGATACACCAATTCATCCATTTAACTAAGCAACGTTTCGAAACTTACCTAAACAAGAACACCTAAACAAGAACAATCCTTCCTAGCCTCGCTCTCTTATTCCAGTACTCACCTCCTACTACAACCACCATTTTCCATTTTCTCTCCTGGTCCCTGATCGGGGACAGAAAAACTACGGCCCAAGATGGATTTCAACAGTCTGAAAGACCAGGTGACCAACCTAACGCTATACGATCTTAAGGCTGGCGTCCGCAAGGTTCAGAATGGTTAGTACTCGTCTTAGACACTCGACGTGCGCCTCGGTTGAACCCAGTACGCTAACTTGTCTGGGTATTATAGCTGTTATGAACTACACAGAGATGGAAGCCAAGGTCGGTAGCACTTCAATTGGTTCTAACCCATGGTACTTGATGTTACGGTTACTTACGCGCGCAACAGGTGCGAGAAGCTACCAATAACGAGCCATGGGGCGCCTCGTCGACTCTTATGCAGGAAATCGCCAATGGCACCTTTAATTAGTACGCGATCATAGTCCCGTCTACGTGTTTATTTTTACTAACGTTGATCGACGTTAGCCAAACCCTCAACGAAATCATGCCCATGATCTACCGCCGTTTCACCGAAAAGGCCGCCGAAGAGTGGAGGCAAATATACAAGGCGCTTCAGCTTCTCGAATTCTTAATCAAGCATGGCTCGGAACGAGTCATCGACGACGCGCGCGGCCATATAACGCTATTAAAAATGCTGCGGCAATTTCACTACATCGATCAGAACGGCAAGGACCAGGGCATCAACGTCCGAAATCGCGCAAAGGAGCTTGCGGAACTCCTGGGCGACGTTGATCGGATCCGGGCAGAGCGGAAGAAGGCCAGAAGCAACAAGGCCAAATACACTGGAGTCGAAGGCGGTACCATGGGAGGGTTCTCCGGTAGCAGCCGCTTCGGCGGATTCGGTAATGAGGCGGGCGGCGGCTATGGCGGGTACTCGGGCGGTGTATACGGAGACGGTGGCGGGTTCGGAGGCCAGTCTGATGACTGGAAAGATACCAGCGCCAGTCGTGCGGACAAGTTCGAAGAATATGATGAGTTCGACGAAGGATCTGCGCCGTCGAGCTCGTCTCGAGCGAAGCGGCCTGAGCGTAGCGAGAGGATGGGCGTCAAGAAGACCGTCGAACCTGCAAAGAAGAAAGAGCCCGAGGTCGACCTCTTCTCTTTTGACGACCCTGCTCCTGCGGCGACCACCTCTGCAGCTACTCCGTCGAATGGTTCTGGACTGGCTGCTCTGTCGACGGCCAGCAACGATGACGATGACTTCGATGATTTCCAATCGGCAACGCCTGCGCCTTCAAACAACGTCAACATCCCCCCACCTATGGTGACGTCGCACGCTCATTCCACCGCCCAATATGCTGCGCCAAAGCCTTTGTCCGGACCGCAGCAAGCTAACCTTCACGACATGATGTCGTCGATCTCACCTCCCGCAAGCACCACTACGACACCTGCGGCTAACTACTCATCTTTCGGCATACCGGTAGCCGCGAGTATGTCGGCCCAAGCGCCAAAGCCAACGACCAGCTATCAAGCAGCAACTCCTAATTATTACCAGTCCGTCCAAGCCCACCCGACGGGATCATCAATCTCTGGGGTATCGTCCGCTGCTGGCGTTTCCACCTCATCCGGCCTATCAGCGCTTAACAAACCAGCAGCCCCAGCGACAGCTAAGCCTACCACCGGCGGTGACCCGTTTGCAAATCTTTGGGGCCAAGCCGGTAACGGCTTGAAGAAACCGAGCACTCCGACTACAGGACCGAAGATGGGTCAGCTTGCCAAGGAGAAGACCAGCGCGTCGCTCTGGGGCGCTCCCGCAGCAGGCACGCAAAAACCTGCGGGTAGTTCAGTTAACGCATCAACCGGTAGCAGTGGCTTGGATGACTTATTAGGTTAGAGGACTACCCTAGCCCGTAACAAGGCCTTAGCCAAGACGGGGTCTATGCATGCCTACGAAAGATAGGAGACTGTATATCACATTGACGATATTAGCAACGTACAACGTTGCTCGGAACTTAGAATTGGAGGTTGATTGACAGTGGTCTTTTTCTTGTTGTTTTTTCCCCCTGTTATTTAGTGGACTATCGCATGGATGGTCTTGACACGTTCGCAAAAGGGCGCCTGGGAGTAAAATGACTACGGTACAATCTAAACAGATCAAGCTACAGATCGACAGCGTCTTTCGTTTGATAAGAACTCTTGTGAAGACTAACAAACCACAGACAGAAATAACATTCTTGCGGTTTACAATACCACATGATATCGTATCACCACTCGCCTGTTACGATATTACTAGCACGTACGATGCACTATTCTAAATATCGTATCTGCCATGGCTGTTTCAGGTCAGGGTTATGTTAACGATGATAGGACTTCTAAGCTTCCGAGGCTTCTGCTTAATCTCCACCATAGTTGGATTGACCAGTAAAGAAGCAGTGCGGCTTGGGAATTCCATGACTGCATACATAGCAACAGAGCCGCCTTCCCAAGTCTGCGGCGTCTGTCGTATGCGGACCGGCTATTTTACAAGGCAGGAATAGGTTGGCCAACCTATTGGTCGAGAATTCACGATCTTCTTACTATGTAAAACAACAAACTACCTAATAACCCGTGCTCATATAATATAATCCATGCCGGCGGCTACAGACGCAGACACCAAGGCTGCTACATAACCGCGGCCCGCGCTTAACCATCCCTGGTCGACCCACCGATCTCATTTCGCCTTAGCTGAGCCGTCAGCCAACCAGAACTCCCCGACAACGATGCCAACTGCCGGGGGGTCAAGACGACGCTAGGCGATCGCGGTGCTATTGGTCTGTCGTTGATGGCGACGATATGTATCCACGACGGCCTGGATACATACTTTATGCTGGGTTCCTGGTAGCGACGATCATCTCTTTCCCCGATTGGACACGCCCGCGCGTCGTGATTCTGCCATCCGCTTCGAGTGCCGAGCGTTATGTCTGCGAAAATAGCATTGTGGATGCGTGCGTACCTATGTATGTGTGTATGTACGTACGTGCAAACAATGACGGCCAAGACGCGGCTGCTCGGAATGAAGATCGAGTCAGGGATGTTTTGCCGCGAGAGTCTGATCGGTGATGGGTCTAGACGGACTTGGCTTATACATACATACCTGCCTACCATGCTCGATCGATATGATGTGTGATCTGTGATGTGTGATTTTAGATATTTAAGGTATAGAGACCCCCAATACTCAACAATCTTCTTTCTCATACCTCACGAACCAAACAATCTCTCGGCAATATACCATTTTTTTTATTTTTATTTTTTCCTTGAGTCTTTCTCTATTTCCTTCTTTCCCTTGTCTCCTTGCTGTCTCTATTCTGGGAGGGTCTAGTATCACGATATAACGGGGGGTCTTTAGATTTCGACGTCTCTTTCTCTCTAAGTTATACGAAACGGATTTCCTACGTACTATCTTCTCGGTTTATATCTATCGGTCTTTTTCATCGCAGTAGACCTGCTTCAGCCCAAATCCTCGCTCGTCCGAGGTCAAGAAACCAATTTCTCATCTGTCACTTCGGTCTCGAGCCGTCCCTCATTCACAATTCGTTCCTCAAGCCCCCGGTCGTCTCTCCCATATCCGCCGCGGAGTCTCCCTCTGCGCACCATCCTCAAGCCCGGCAGCCCCCGTCCGAAACTCTCGCTTATAACCGACTTCGAAACAAGTATCCCGTTGAGAATGCGTTTTCAGGCACCTCAGCTCGGCGCCCTCGGCGTGACCTTCATAGCTTTCCGGGCGATGCAATTTGCTTCGCTCATCGCCATCATCGGCATAACTGCCAACTTCATCAACGAGATCGTAACCTCGGAACGCGACGCGCCAGACGTGCTGGTCGGTACCCTTGCCGTGGTACGTGTGCATATTTCTACCCCTTTCGTCGAAATTTCCTGCTAACAGCTCCGAAGGCAAGTATCGCAACTCTCTACGTTTCGATCTCCTATATCCTGTATTACGACCAGCTTCTCCCCCTCCTGGTCGCAGGCGGGATAGATCTAGCGCTCCTCGTCGCGGCTATCGTGGTCGCGGTCACTATCGGAAAGCCCCTATCCTTACTTAAGTGCGAGCTGCTTCCGCAGCCTGCCGCACCAACCCAGACATTTACCATGTCCATCTCGGCTCGTAACTACGCCTCAGCAGCTGCCAAGTACAACAACTACCTGGCCTTGATTACAACCGACCAGCCGCACTGCTACGAGATCAAGGCAGCCTGGGGCCTGAGCATCGCGCTCTGCGTGCTCTTCGCCTTTTCTAGCGTGATCTGCGTCGGGCTGTGGCGCCGCACCAAGGCCGTCGCCGCAGCTCCCAAGGACATCGAAGGCTAGGGGCGCGCGGGCACGCGTGGGGACTCCAGGGGAGCTGCTGTGACTGAGAAATCCGAGAGGGGCTTTGGTCCCCTGCAGCAGAATTCGGGACCGGCCGCTCTTGGAACTCGACTCCTCGCCGCCAAGGGTTCCGACCGGTGGATTCCCCCGCCCCAACCCGCGCGTCGCCCTCCTATTTTCCGGTCTGTCGACGAAGATGTCAGATCGGTTCGATTACCTCCAGTTGTAGTGAATGCCAACTCAGGTCCGACCATCTTCGGGAGTCAGTCTTTAGGGAGCAATATTTCCGCTCCAGCTCCAGTGATGATGGTCCCTAGGTCTTTAAGCTCGTCCGATTCATCCGAGGACGACTATATACCCATCATGCACAAGCCATCCCACCACGGCGGCAACCACAAGAAAAGAACGAGCCATCCTCCCATCGCGGTCATCATCCCCCCGACTCCCAGCGACGACGGATTTACGCCCGTCACGCCCACGCCCGCCTCGCCCAAGCTAAAGGACTACCGGCTTAGCAGGGTGCCCCCTTTGCCCAGGGACGCTCTCGGGATATCGGTGGGGAAAATGCTGGCCCGTACGAAGAGTAGGGTGGTTCAGATACAGCACGGAGATGACGACGCTACGCCTTTGAGCCCGATGGCGGCTAAAGCGAAACCGAAGCGGAAGACCCTCTGGGGCGTGATTGAGGGGTGGTGGGATTTGGGATTGCTCGAGAGGGGCAAGAGCTTGAGACGTAAGGCTTAATATGGTTATATATATATATATATGTGTGTGTGTGTATGACAGTGTAATGAGATGAGACGAGATGTAATGCGCAGCTGATGGTCAGTCAAGGTTGGGTTGGAGTTAAAGGTTTGTTGTTTGGAAAAATTAATGGTATGTAAATTGGATATAAATAGCGGTAATCACCTTAGGATAAAGCCTATTATATATAAAATGGTTATACATTAGTTTACCTCACGTCGGTCGGTATGGATTATAATACAATCAGACCAAGTATAGTATGTATTTCATCGAGACTGTATCTTTCCCAAAAATAAAAGGGAGACGTCCTTGTCTTATCCTTTATATGTATATTTTCTTAGTTTCTTTTCCCAACGAACTACTGCCAGCCTTTTTCTTCTTCTCGTGATACATCTGGTGGTGTAGGTATAAGGGAGGTGCACTTGACTTTTATCATATACCTAACCTTGTATGAAGCGAGACAACGGCGAGAAAGTAACAGCTAGCCATAGCTGTTTGTTACTAGGATATTCATGGGAACACATGAGTGTAGGTAGCTAGTCGCTAGTCAGCCTATAACCACCCTACCAATAATTTCAAGACTGACTTTCACGATGGCAACGAACAAACGTAATCTGTTACGATTAAGACCAAGGAACGATATTTATCTCCTAGTTTAAAATCACGAATATGCCTAACTATTAGTAGTATATAGAGTAGTTGTTTTTGCTCGTGGGTGACTATTCGAATACTGATGCTAACCCTAAAGATATATGTCAAAAGAAAGGCTCACAGATAGCAAATAGCAGTAAGCCAGATAGCTCGAGGCTATTTTTATTTGGTTCACTGCCTAGGTACTTACCTATTAAAGTAAACAAGTGAGAAAACAGTTGTTGGACGAGTTAGCAAAACCGGCTTCTCGTTCCCACGATATCAACACAATCAATCAGATCATCAGAACTTTTAGCTATCAATATAATCTCGTTGGAATTTATTTTTAAAAATCTTAGTTTTTGTTATAGCCGATATACCTGGATTAAGGTGTGCATGCTTAAACAAACACTTCTACGACCATATATCGTTTCTCAGCTGTTTGTTGACTTGGCCTAATACCCGTACAATATACATATTGCTACTACACAATAGCAACCGCCCCACTAAGGCACAATCTAATTACGAAGAGGTATTAAACTACCAGTAAGTAAATATTCGTATTGGTAAAAGAGACTTAATAGAGAGTGTCAAAGTCCCCAAGAGAAAAGGAGAGGAAAGTGAAAGCGAGGCGAATGATAAAAAGATGATAGACTTTAATATAAACCCCTATTCCCTTTTTGCATTGCCTTCCATAAGTTCCCAAGTATGCTAAATATAGAGATAGGTTGAAAATAAGAAGTTTATGGCTTTGGACTATCATTTTCGGAGAGTATCTTCGGGTCGTAAGTTCGTCACGTTCTTACTAGGAGACTAAATTGCATACATGTAATTATCTATATGTAACTATCTGTAGCAAGGTTATTACCAACGAGGACATATACTTCTAAATATCAAAAAAAAAAAAATACCCATTTACGACTATATATTTGGGTAGAATTCTCGGGTCTGCTTTGACTATACCTACCTCCTATCCTATAGTTGCCGGTAGAATACTTTGAAGTTGGGTGTCTACATTTCTATAGACAATGAAGGCCTAGCCACTCTATTATCATAGCTGCCACGTATGTAATACTTTATGTCCTTAGAGCCAGTCTCACCAATTATACTAATAAGACCATCCAGACTTTTCACGTAAGCCTCTAGCGCTAGATAACCCTTAGGTTAGCCACCTACCTCACCTGGACAGAAAAGTTCGAATCAAACTACAACACGAAGATCTACCCGACTTCACTCAAGCCTCAGGGGAAAGCAGAATCACAAACCAAAGCCACAAGGGTGACTAGACAAATCCATCTATCCTCAACCTTAGCGTCCAGGCAACCCCCATAACAGACATCCCCCCAACGAGGCTCATCCGGCAGATAGACAAGCGGCGCCTCGATCGTGTAATCCACCGCTCCTAATATTTCGAAGGATCACATCAAACTCCACGTCACGTGTAAGGGTTTGGAGCCGAAGAGAAAACGATTCCAGCGCGTCTATACCTGGGGCGCACGTCAATCCCTCGTTTTCACAATAAATCCGAGAACTTCACGGCCGGGGACCCACGGGTTTGCGTGATGGGCGTTGACAGCTGCTTCAGCTAGGCACCCAAGGGACTTTGTTCGTTACCTAATATGTACCGGCTAGGACGCGCAGCCCTGCCCTGCGCGCAGTAAGTATATTATGTAGACAAGGCTTGGATTGCTTGGGTGAGAGAACCAAGACCGAACCCCCGCCGCGTTCAGGTAAGCATGGGCTTATAGTTGGACCGCTGCTTGTGTATAATCAGACGTCGGGCTGTGTGCGGCGGGTTTCGTTCCCCGCCCCTCTTACAGCGCGCTGCAAGACCGCGGCGCTGCGTGGGCGATCGCAGCGCAAAGTAGACTTGCAATATCTCGGTTAGGTCCCTTGGTATTGTATGTTTCTTGTTTTCAATCTGGACTTTTTTTATTTATTTGCCATGTGGCTTTCATGTACTTACTATTGCTATAAGGCTGAGAAGGAGTCCGGGGTGCGATCGATGCACGAGTTAGATATTAGGTCGGTATGTAAGTACATACCTTATATATATCCAAGGTACATAGTATACGGCAACTTAGCCGAGACCTAAGCCAGTTCACGTGTCTTGTTATATGAAGACACCACCTCCCCGCATTCCGCGGACGGTCCGTTATACATGGTAGTTGTCGTGGATGGATGGAAGGAAGCTTCTAACCTACGAGGTAAGTTAAGGCAGCCTGCTTTGCCTCGGGCCACACGTCGGCGGCGTTGGCTCTCTCTGTCGTCCTCCGTGATACGGCAGATCAGACAGCATGGATCCTATGCTGTATATAATATACATACGAGTTGGGGGTCAAGCCAAGCAAGCCTACTTGGTTTGGGGGATGGATGTTGTAGAAGATATGTACCTAATATTTTGGAGAGAAGATATTAGGGGGTATCCTAGACAGCGGCCGAGACATGCTATCAGGGCAACGTGCTGCGCCCTCATTAGCCCGGCAACCCACGTGGCGAGGGATAAGGTTAATTAATACCTTGCAAGTTGTGCGCGAATCCTTCGGACCCCTTAGCCTCCACGTCCCATCATCTCCTACCTCACTATCTGACATAGATAATAGTGTATTATGTAGAGCTTGCATGTATGTATGTACGACTTGGATAGTTCGGCGATAGCTTGTCTTACAAACAGATCGGCTCTGTTCCTACGTCTAAAAATACGGAATGGCGGTGTTTTCTTGTTTCGTCTCGCCCCTCGTCCGCATGTCTGTCTGTGGCCTGCAGTGCAACGCTGAAAAGACTCAAATGCACGCAGGGGGGTTGCAGCACACGATTACATGGAATTACGCTGTAGGATGTGGTGCGAGTTGAGCACAGCAGCAGTTTCGTATCTTGCAGCAGCATATACCTACATGGAGGTAGAAGTGTTGCAGCCGCCTTTAGAATTCAAAAATTGCGCTTGTCTTCATCGTCGATATTCGATGACGATGATACGTTGGTGACTTGTCTAGGTACTGCGCCGCTCTGTTGCGGGTATGTCCAATACCTCGGGAAGATTGATCTCACGCAAACAGCGGAGCCCTCTATAACCCGAGAGTGGAAGTGATACCTAATAATAATTTGACAGGTATTACTTAGAGGATTCGCTTCCCGGCTCGTAGTGGGATGGGATGGATTTGCAGCTCGCCCGTGGAGATAGATACGTCTGTGTTCCATCTTCACGAAGCATTCGCCAAAGTCCAGGGTCGATCCCCAGATTTTCAAACGGCCTAAGACTTAAGCTCGTATTCTCAGACGCGGTAATATACCATATGTTTCTCATAGAGGTTTTTTCTGTCTGCGACATGACGAGGTGGCGCATCGTTGATGGTAATGTGTAGGTACTTTTGGTAGGTACTTTTGAATTTGGAAACCGACTTCGTCTAAAGTCCCATCTATGAGGACTTCTTCAATTGGCGAATATATGCATATAGCAAGCAGCCATTATCGTCTGAGTTGGTAGGATTTGTAGTTGCCAAGAGACATTTACCAAGGTCCAACATTCAGCTATGAGATTAGCTCGACAGTACCTAAGGCACTGCAGCTCTCACCATGTATGTTGGTAGATATTGGATGACGGGGTAAAAGGATGTTGTATTCGAAAAGATTCTAATCCTCCACTTTTACTTGGTGGAAATCTTATATATGCCCCTCCTTATCATTGCTCCTTCCCATAGTACCTTAGGTACCTACATAGGTACATGTGTACCTAGGTAATGAGGGCAAGGCCCCATCCTTACATGTTAGGTACATATGT